CGTATAGTGGGGTTCGAAAGTGGGGTATGATGGTGGGGTACGATATGTACATATCTAGTGGCAAGACCCAATAAACGCACCCTATGTTAGATAAGATGATGAATGTTGGTGTTTGTGATGTATTGATCCTTTGTGAGATTGTTGGTGGTAAATGTTTTATGAAAGACAAATCAGACTGTGAGGGATTGGTTCGAAGGTGTTATCGCCTCCCTACCCCCCCCCCCCTCTCTCTCTCTCTCTCTCTCCCTTCTCTTTCTCTCTCCCATCCACCTTGGTTCCGGCGCTCCATAGGAACTTCTAACAAATAAACAAAACAATTCCACCAATTTTGTATTACCCCAAAATCACATTCTTCTTTTCTCCCGAGATAACCGCGACGCAATGATCAAGAATAATACATATTACAGGTGACTAATTATCAATTGACTCTGAGGACTTCTATCCGTTTTCTGACTTTCTTTGATTTCTTTTCTCTCACCCGCTCTCTTTCTATTTTTATTTCTATTTCTATCCCCCTGGTTGTTCCTCGTCTGAGACCAGACGGTTTCTTGTCCGGCTTCTCATTATTTTCCCGTCGATCTTTCATTTTTGTTTGACAACAAAGCTGTGATGACATGCAAGTGGAAGATGTGTCATTCTTTTTGGCGAGTCGGTCTTTCTTTTTATAATGGTTTTCTTTGTTGTCGAAAGATGTGCAACGGAAGCGTCACTTGGGACTTATGGAATGAAACTACCGTCGACCTTTCAAGGAATCCAATTAGAAAGAAATGTTAACTGGGTATATGAGACGACTTTGAAATAATACACAAAATAAGTTTTTTTCTTCTCCCGAATAGGGTGTTATTCATGACATAAACATGTAACCTGCTATTATCACTACTACTACTACTACTACTGCTACTACTACTACTACTACTACTGCTACTACTACTACTACTACTACTACTACTACTACTACTACTACTGCTACTACTACTACTACTACTACTGCTACTACTACTACTACTACTACTACTACTACTACTACTACTACTACTACTACTACTACTGCTACTACTACTACTACTACTACTGCTACTACTACTACTACTACTACTACTACTACTACTACTACTACTACTACTACTACTACTACTACTACTGCTACTACTACTACTACTGCTACTACTACTACTACTACTACTACTACTACTACTACTACTACTACTACTGCTACTACTACTACTACTACTACTGCTACTACTACTACTACTACTACTTCTACTGATGTTGCTGCTGCTAATACCATTAGTTACTACAGCCACCAACGAGACTATAAAATAAAAACTTGAGGGTAAAAACAGATTCAAGAAAAATAAGAAAAATTAGAAAGAATTCTGAAGAACAAAAGGCAATATGAGAAGGGGAAGGAAAGGGATGACGTAAGATTAATGAACACCAATTCCATCTAATAATAATTATAACATTGCTAGAAGAGTAGTGATTTCACAAGAGTTCCATTGTAATCTTGAATCCAATAAACTTTGGGTTGATTTGTTTTGTTCTTCACAACTTATACCATTGAAATTTGATCAGTACCTTTTATTAACATTCATAATTTCAATGCAACCGTCATTAGAGATCATTTCAAAAAAGAAATGTTGTGATATAATTATTTGGCAATATGATTAGCAAGCTGTGCTTACATAGGGATCGCTGAAGTGTGGTACAGTGCTGTATGTTTCGCCGTATAACGCTCCAGCCCCCTGCTTAGCTAGAAAATGGGGTTTTGATTATGAGCTAAATATTTGCACTGTTCCCCCTCTTTCTGATACTTAATGGTAGCCATGTTTGCCTGGTGTATTTGTCCCAAGCCTTGTTTTCTATGTCTTGTTGATATAGCTTCTTAAATTCTTCATTAAGATTCGGTGAAATGCTCCACTCTGTGCGGTAACACACACAAATAAGAAAATGTCTTTGTTGGTGGGTATTATACATGCGCTGGTTTTTTTAAAGAGTCTGTAAACTCCCTTGAGAGGAGGAGGAGGGTAGTCGACTATTCAATGAAAAGTCCAGTGGGTGCTTACTTTCTCTAAACAAAACCCCTCAATTCAGATGGCAATCAAAATTCAATTCTCTTCTTTTCATTGATCGTTGTATAATGTTTGTGTATGCTAATGTATTTTTATGTGATATATTTAGATATAGTTCTTGTTGCGTATATATTACCGGGGTTGCCCTTGGTTTGGTTTAAAATGCTCAACATAAACGTCATAATGTGTTTTAGAGAATTCAAATTCAAATACATACGAGAATACGATTTACAAATATAATACAAATCAAGAATAAACCACGGCTGGAATGCTCTATTCAGAGCCATTATCAGAATGGCTCTGTTCCTCATAGAGGTCCAGAAATAGATAATTAAACATAGAAATAAAACACAAAATATACCGAAAATATTACATATTCGCACTACCCAAAAAACCCTCCCAAACCCTCTCTATCACTTTGTGAATACGATTGTTACCATCCCCTCCGCCTCCCCGATTACACCAAAAGTTCTACATAAAAATCTAGTTTTCATTCATTTAGAGTTTAGACCATGCCGAAATAGATTGAGTGTGTTCGGTCTACGTAAGTTAATCGGTAATTCATTATACAATTTAGATCCGCGATAAAAGAATGTTCCTTTACATTAATTAGTTTTAAATGAAAATTCTTTTATCGCGGATCTAAATTGTTTAACTTTATATAACTTAATTGTTTACTACATGTGTTTACGTCATCGTAATCATCATTTCGCGTTTAATACCGCTCTCCATCTCGTCCTGTCTGTACCAGCTCAATTTTAATTTTTCTTCCTGGCCCCTCCTTTCTTTCTCCTCCCTTAATGTACAATATTATGAATGATGAAATGAACACGAGTTGGATCTCATTCTGACTGCTGAGCATAATGTTCACATTTTAGTCGCGATTTCGATCGCTATGTGCATCTAGACCGCAAAAGAAAAAGATTGTAGCGAGGAAAATGTAAAGGGCACAACCTGATTGAGTGAGTAAGCCTGTAGATTTTGATAATTATTGATAACTGATTATTTAATTATTCTTTTCCACACAAAATGGAAAATGTCATCCACCAATTATTACAAGGTACTGTACAGTACAAGACAAAAATACAGCCTAACAAAAAATATTTATAGAAAGACAAAATGAATTACACATTGATTTTGAACTATATGATTGCTGGAATTTAAGTTTGTTCCATAAGTGTGGCTCAATTTTTTTTTTGGTAATATTCTTCTAGTCTATTTTACTCCTATACTATCTATTTTCCTGATTCACTCTTTATTCTGTTTCCTCAGGTTTCCTACTGTATGTATTATGTTCTTGCGATCATGACTTGTATTCACGTCTATAACTGTATTTATTAATATTACGAAAAGGTTAAGATATATTAGAGTTCAATGTGTTCATTTTTCTTATTCTTCTCCTCCTCCTTCTTTCTTTTGGAAACTATTTTTTTCCTCAGCCACATTACAAGGCCTAATGTGTTATTGCACGAAATGCGATTTACAGTTATAATTTTACGCACATCGGATTCCTTCAACAAGCCCTTATTCACGAATATCCCATTTGGCCATTATTTTATAGGCATAGTGTCCATACGGGGGAGAACGAGCGACGTGAGAGGGAGCTTGTCCATCGATGGGTCATCATCGTTTGCCGGGTCCGATTGAGAGAATTAGTCGGAAGAATTCAAACTTAATTACCCTCGATTGAAAACTATTTCTATATCTGTATTTTCCTTAAAATTGAACATACCTTGAAACCGACAAGGAGTACAGCCCGTCATAGCCTTCATTCGCCTTCCCTACTATGAATGATTGTGGTTAAATTCATTGTAGCCTCATTTTTGTTCTTCACAAAATGAGAACGGTGCCACTAAAAAGCTCCCCATTAAGTCTCTGAAACGAAACATACTTATTTCACTTTTCATTTCCCGAATACTTATATCATTTATCGAAATTGGGTAAAGACATCATGAAGGAAATTTTTTCGTGGGTGTGGTGTGGTTTGTTAAACACAGTCTGTGTGCACATAGTTCCATTGAAATAATCGTAACTTCTTTTTTTTTTGGTCACGAAAAAATCGCTACGACTTAACCAGCGGCTGAATAAGCGGGGGGGGGGGGGGGGGGGGGGGGGGAGGGGGGGGGGGGGAGGTCAATATATATATATATATACATATATATATTTAAATAAAAATTTTAATAATTTTTTTGGCCGGGGGGGGGGGGGGGACGCGCCTGTTTTTCAGTACATTTGGGGGGAATTTAGGGCTGATTTTAACATATTTTTGGGGGCCAAGGGCCAAGTGCCCCCTGTTCTCCCCCCTGGATCCGTTACTGGGGGGGGGGGAGTAGTAGTGGGGCGGTTGCAATATAGGGTCTAGAGGCAATGAATGACATAAAGAACACAAAAATAGTGAGAAAAATCGGAAACACCATAAAAACTAAATCTTTAGAGTTGGATAAGATTTGATTTGATCCGGTTATTTTTTGATTTGCTGTTTCGGCTTACTTTTATAGAAGCAACAAAATAAATGCAAATACATAAACGGCAGAAATGTCGTCATCATATATTGCAAACGGGCAAAGGGAATTTATTATATATTTTTTTGCATTCACAGACACCATAGTACACAAGTCATTCTTTTTTTGTGAAGGTCGGACGTCGGATGACGTTAAATGGTTAGCGGAAATACCTTTTCTATGATCCACGAATACATATATTGACTTCTCTGGATACTCCTGAGAGAATAAACAACTCGTAAAAGAACGAGACAAAGGGTAAGGTTTACGATAAAGTTAAGCTCAGTTAACAAAACTGAATGTCTTGAACAATTTTAACTTCTCATAACCAGATAACGCAATACGTTACGTATGGGACTGTAATGAGTGTAATTGGGTCACTGACTCCTGTAACTCCAGCTCCAGAGCCGGAGCCTGCATAGGAAAACGATTCAGACAGCGGGTTGGGGCACATTTTCTCGCAATGAAAAGAAGAAGTAAATACAATTTAGACTTTAAATGTTTTTCGACTCACGACTCCTCTGGGCATTCGTTCAACCACTTAAAAATAATAATTTGAAGAAGTCTTTTGAAGATTTCTCGTCCTAACCCAATTCATCCCATGTTGAATGTGGTCGATTCAACACGGCGAAGAGAAAGTGAGCATGCACGGTAGCGGCGCAGCATGATTACTTTCTCTTCGCTGTGTAAACATAGTTTTTTTGTGTTGCCAATTTGATACTTACTTTACGATGATAGCGACTAGTAAGTATGGTGGTGTGGCCTAAGTTCGCTATCTCAAAAAATCAGTAAGATTTCGAAAATCTGATATCACTAATGGAAAGTGGAACTTCAAATTACCCAGAAATGAAACTTTCTTTGGAATTGGGAGTGAAATTGTGAAAATACTAACAAAAGATCGGCACATTTTGAGGTCATTTGCGTCCGTTCCGAAAAGTTATCAACTTGCAGATATTAAGGGTCTGAAAATCTTTAATTTGAGAGCAGATTTCCTCAAAATTGTAAGTAAAAAGTGGTACCAACTGACTGTAAAACATCTTGCCTTGCAAATTATGATATTACCTTTTTTTTTGATGGATCACATTTTTGATAAATCAACTGTAAACCCCTGTGCGCAAGGTAAGGTCTCATTTTTTTAATGACTATTTTAGTTGCAGCGCGCACGCCGATCCAAAATCAAATATTTAGATCACGATATCTCCGGAATCCTTTGATGATAAATGTTTGAGTTGAACCAATTTGTAGTCAAAAACTTTGCCGTCCATTTGGTAATAATTAAAATTTATAAATTTGTGTAGAATATGAGAATTCATGAAACGAATATCACTTTTTATAATATTGTCAAAATCTCCGCAAACTTTGGTTACCCCTTCATATATCATACAAAGGCGCATGCAAGTAGTTTGCTGAACATAGCAAACTCTCTGTGCGCACGCCTTTTTTACACTAATCACTATTATTGTAAAGTAAATATTTGTCTTCTGTTATATATTGTCTGACATAAATTTTGAAAGGTTTATGAGTTGTTGCTCGTAATCTTCTTCAAATTAAATCAGCTGTCTGTACAAATAACCTGTCCGGACACATGTATGGCATTTAGGTATAGACCACCACTAGCATAAACACAATAACATGTACATGCAATCATATCTTTTCGTGTATGCATGTTTCCAGATCACTAACTTATGGCCAATTTCAATTTCAATAGGTTCTTGTAATGAAATTATGTTGAATTAGATGTGGCCGCTGCAAAGCAAATGTAACAAGAAGACTTTATTATTCTATACTCAGCTTGAGAATGAAATTATTGTGGTTTCCTTGATGGACCATTTCTTCTTCTTTTTCATCATCAAAGACTGATCCCAAGAAGGCCGTTGATCTTTCCCTTGGGTAGTTCTTTGACTGAGAACCTGCTTTGAATCCAAGATGGCGGTTGAAATAGCTCAGCTCTTCAGTCACCGAAGGTAGGTTATTCAATTAAGAATTTCTGATATATGACATACTGAAATGAGTGTATGAATAGCACTCTTGACAAATAAGAAAAACAATCTAAGATTCAGTTTGTGGCCTTTATATGCAGGTATGTGCTTCAAGAGGAAACATTGATTAATGCCTCAGTCACACCTTTGCGTTTTTAGCTTGCGTATTTTCGCGTTTTCAAATTCTCGATACCAAGAATTACCATTGCTTTACAACAGAAAATCATTTCTTGATATCAAGAAATAGGAATAAATGTTAAGACGGCTTGCCATAAATATGCAAAGGTGTGACTGAGGCATAAGGGAAAACAGAAGATAATCATCTCTTGGCAGTTGGTCTGTCTAGATGCAAATGGTTGCTGCTTACCATATATTCAAAAGGTAGTAGTGGAATCATCATCTAGAATTTGATGATCACCCATGTGTCCTTAGATGAACAGATAATGGTTGATTTTTTTTGTTTTATTTCTTTGTGTTTATTTTCATATTAAATAAATTCATGCTTAATCAAAGATACTAATGAAAGGATTGAGAGCATTGTCCGACCAGGTGAGGTGAATGGATACCTGGAAGGATTATTCCTTGAAATGTACTGTGCGCTGATAACGGCTGCCGGAGCTAAAGGTAGTGTAATAATTTCCAAAGCTCTTTGGAAGTACATTTAAGCCATAGAGACGTTGTTTCATGCACTATACAAGAACTGTATTTTATGATTATTATTATTATTATATCCCCTGATTGAATCCATTGTTATTTGTTAATCATTATCTCTTTATGCTGCAGGCTAGGGGATAGTAAGACGGCAGTTCTCCTGGCCTTGTATTTCCCTATAGGTCTTATCCTAGCAGTGCTAAGACTCTTCATTGGTCTACATGTTTTCATCATTGCTTGTATTCTTCCCGTTCAAGTGCCCTTCAGAAGGTAATAAAAACAAATTAGTTCAGTTTTTTTTAAATTAGAGATTATGGGTTGTTTTAAATCTGTTTGTTAAATTGATTTTTCATGTTTATCAAGTAAGTGGTCTGTATACTTTCTTGAGCAAATTTTGAAGTGCTTTTTTTTGTTAAAGGCAAAGGCACTATACTGAATACTTTGTTCTTTTCATTGGATCGGATACGAATGTTGTGCTGGGGAAGGAGGACATTGCTAGAATTGGAGTTTGGAACAAAAATTGATTAGGTTTTTATAGGCTAAATTCACATGTAAGTTTTTTTTGGCTTACCAATAGTAACGTTGTTTGTATGAGTTATTCATTGTTCAACTCACCCTGGCATCTTGAACTGCATTCATCCAAGCTTCCTGGGTGCAACGATTTCTAGTTTCTTAGATTCCCTGAAATCCCTACAAACCATCAATAATTTTGTGATATAAGCTCTGTACTTAAGTGACTCACGCAAAGAAATCATTGACGTTTATTGATGAGAAGCTCAACACAAATGAATATGTTAGAAGTTTGGCTAGAAGCAAATAGCATAGCTGCCAACCATTCCCTTTTGGGGAAATGATTCCTACTTTTTGGCCTTCAAACTTAAGTTATGAAGACTTGATTCCTCTTTCTTTCTTAAAACCGATGTGTAAAATGTTTACGAAATAGACTATTCCCATTTCTGTCTTGAGAGATTCCTAAGCTGTCCTCTGAAAGGTTGGCAGGTATAAAATAGGCAATTACAAACTCTTATGTTCTTCTTTTCCCTTATGATTCAGAGTTCTGCTAAGGACGTTGTACACTGTTCTAGGATTCATCGTTTACCCTTCAAATCTACAGCATAGAAATCAGAATGTGAAGGTGATAGTAGCCAATCACGTCTCAGTACTGGATCATGTGATCATCGGACTCATATTTCCTTCAGTTGTTGTGAGTAGCTCATTCATTCCGTTCACACAATGATGAAGAAGGCCTTCAGCCAATGATTTCAAATATTGATATATTGTTATCATATAAAAATAATAATGATGAACATTATTTGTAGATCTCTGTCTTCATCATTTCCATGTGATGTTTTGTTTTATTAGTTGAGTTTGTTCTGTAAGAGCACAGTTGGTCTAGTGGTTTACACAGATCTTTCATCCACAACTTTTAAGAGTTGGAACCTAACTTGGTTCTTAGACAACATATCTTATATAGCTATGATTAATATTTTGGTACGTGTAGTAGTAAAGTACATTTATAAAGTGCTTCATGAAAATGTATTAAATCACTTTACAGTTGTCTTTCCAAACCATACAATGTAAATGGGTGTCCGTGTGTATCCTAGTTGTAATGAACTCCTTCCTAGCTTCCATATCAGCTAATATTTAGCTAGGGTGAAATCGAAGCGTATTTAGGAACAGGCTTTGTAATTTCTTTATCCTATTCAAGTGCTTGCTATGATTACTTTACCACCTAGCCCAATGTGTGGAGCCTGCCCCCATTTCTCAACTGGGCGTTGGGATACACCAACATGGGAGCCTCTCAAGGGAGACAGGTCTTCTTAGATGCAGTCAGGAAACATTGTCAACACAACACCAGACCGGTGTTAGCCTTCCCTGAGGGTGCTATGACTAATGGCAAGGCCGGTCTCCTCAAATTTAGGTGAGTAAGCAGTTAGACATTATAGCTAGGATTTCAATTAACCAGGATTTTATCCATGTGTCATTTGAAATTTAAGAAATCATTTTGATTTTTAATTTGAAAGATTGATTTTATATCTAATTTGCCCTTCTAGCAAGTTGCATATTTTGAAAACATGTCACACACAAAAAAAAAAAAATCACAAAAAAATTATCATTTGCTGAAAAGGGTTACCATAACATATATTTTCTTCATAAATGCTTCATCCTAGAAACTATTAGTTTTAAACTCTGCATGTAGTTGTCAGTTGATATTGTTAACATTCACGTAAACCACTAATTTCTTCCCCTTTTTTCTGGATAGAAAGGACACATCAGATTTTGATGACCAAGAATAGTACAAATATAATCTCATGTACTCAAAACTTTTAATATTTCATTTTTGTTTTGTTTCTTTTCCTTTCCAGTACATGGGCCTTTGCTTTAGAGCGTGATGTTCAGCCAATCACAGTGACAATCAGTAGACCACTCATTAACATGAAAGCAGAAGTACTGGGTAGTAGTCTATGGCAAGATCTACTATGGTTTCTATTTGTACCATTCACGGTCTATAGAGTCAAGTGAGTATTCCGTTCAAAGGAAATATTAAACAGTGTATTTTATTGTGTGCCTGGCAGAGTGGTGTGAACATGAATTTAGAACAACTTGTTTTGTATAGTCTATAGAAAGGAAGATAAAATGATATACTGTAGCAAAGGAAAAATTGTCAATGTTAAAAATACATGTACATATGCCATATGGACTAAAATAGATTATGTAGATGCAGTCAGAGAGAGTAAAAAACTGTATAATGTGTTTTTCTAGAAATCTGCATTATACAGTCTGCCTTGCATGCTTTTGGGCCCCCTTGCAAGGTACATTAAGTGGATTGAGATGGATGGGTCATGTGTTGAGAAAGGAAGATGATGAAGTGGGGACTGGTAGTGGATGGACTGGAGTGTTGGCTCAGTCAGTAGAGCGTCCGCCTCACAACCAGGAGGTCGTGGGTTCGAACTCCGGCCGCGTCATACTTAAAGACATTAAAAGGAGTTGTTGCTACCTTGTTTGGCGTTCAACATTAAGGGATAGAGCAACGTCGATCTGGCGCTGCTCAGTGGCTGCCGGGCTCACGATCAATTGGGCAAAAAGAATTTCCGTTTTGGTTTAATAAAATTTGGAGTGGACTATTAGGCTATAAAAAAAAAAAATTTAAAAAGAGGGAAAAGAAGACCAAAGATTACATGGAAAGATATAGTGAAGAAAGAAAGCAGTTAGGTTGGTCTAATTGGAGAGGATGCTTGATTCCAGAAGAAGTTGAGGGAGGGAGTGTCATCATGGTGCAAAAGCCATTAACCCCTCATAAGAGGGAAAATGCTGACTTTAATACAATGATGATGATTGGAATTTGTTATTCCCTGTATACATGTACATATATTTTTTTATATAAATACTCAAATACTTCTTTAGTGCCATCACCATCATTGTCTTCATCATTATCTGCATCACAATCATCATCATCGTTATCGTCGCCATCACCACCATCACCAATATCATCATTGCCACCAGTACCATCATCATTTCAATATCACCATCATCACTCTCCTTATAGTTCCCAATATTACTGTGACTGGTATCATTTACTACCTAGGGTATTACCTGTAGAGAAGAGGAGTGACTTTGAGAATGCAGATGAGTTCTCCCGAGGAGTGCAGCAGATAATGGCTAATGAAATGCGTCTTACACCAACTCCATTCACCAGTGCAGACAAGGCAGAATACGTCAAGAAACTGGGTGTCCAACCACCAAGAGGTTTGTGAGCTTTATATTAGATATACATGTAATAATACATAACTATCAAATATTTATATAGACACAGAAAAATATTTTCCCCAATAGACGTTAAAGGGATCCGATAACTTTGTCTTAGAATCTTGATTTAGCTCATGCTGCAATGATAATTATAAACCTTTAGGTCAGTCAGGAACTTCATGACTTTTACAAGCCGATCGCCTGTCTAATTATCAAGATATTTATGATTGAAAATTGAAAAATCAAATTTTGCGTTTGCCAAACGGTTTTCATATTGGGGAAAACGAGTATGGTAAAACCGGTCACTCAAAGGTTTTTACTTTTTTGAGGCACTGTTTGATCATTTTGAAGCACAATTTTTGTTAGGGCTTCAATGTAACACCATATCACAGACACTGATAAAACGTAGGACCGTGTATCTCAGATTTACCATTGTTAAACAATCCCTTTAAGTGTTATAAAAACTGTTTTAAAAAAATTTTAAAAAATGAAATTTCGATTTCTAATCATAATTCTAACTGTGACATAGACACATTCATTTTCATAGAACATATCATGCAATTCACGACCTTTGCTTTTGTTGGTTCTTGTTACAGAGAGGAGCACTCAACGTCCACAGGTCAGACAAACAACCAATGCACCATCTAGATCATCGGGGGAATCCCCTAGGTCATCAGGGGAGTCCCCTCTAGACAGGATGATCAAACAGGTCCAAGAAGTCATGCCTAATATACCTCGGCACATCATCAAACATGATCTAGGTAATTCATTGATTTGGTGATGGTTATAGCAGGAAAGCAAGAGAATGTGGTTTTGTCCACTCGTTAATAGTCACAAGACTCAAGATCATATCCCAAGCAACTGCTACACATGTATGTTCCTTTACAAGGCCTTGTATTGCAGTTTTCTCTCATTATCAAGTATGTTTATTATGAACCTTAGCTGCACATGGAATTCTTGTAGAGCCTTTTAACTTGCACTGTACGCTCAGCACTTGACAAGCACAAGGTACGATAATACGCAAACGGCGGTCTGTACTATACTGGAAGAAGAAGAAGATGCTTTTAGAATGCTTTAAACATGCAATGGAAGCCATGTGAAAACCAGGGCAATGGTTCCAGTTTTAAAGGAGTTTGAACCCCAGCCAGAATAGTATTTGAAATGAAGTATCTTTTCAAATGACATATATATATATATATATATGTTATATTGAAAGGCAGTACTTGAGAGAACTTAAGCCGATCCCTGTACAGAGTTACTTTTCCCCCTTTTCATTGTCAGCCTGGGGGTTAGTTTGGGGGTTATAGCAATGTTCTAGAAAATATAGAACCATCTTTGGTAAGACAATTAATTTCAATATTAGCAAGTCTCTTGGATAAGTTGTAGAGTAATACGTCCCCTTAATTGTCAACTTGCTGGCAATAATGTCTGTCCATTTTCTTCCATTTGTGCAGAGACCACCAACTCAGTTGATGCAACAATCTTTAATATCTTAGAGAATGAAACAGCCATCCCTATACCAGCAGAAGAGGTACCTGGTACATCAACGGGGCCTGCTACACCCCTCTCCACACCTCAGAGTTTACCCCATAATACATTTTGTGTGACATCACAAGGCAACGACTCATCATCTTCTACTCTTTTAACTCCATCACCGGCAGTAAGTTTTACTCTGATTGATTTCTGTAACCTTTGAATTCCTGAACCACCTGGGACTTTTGTAAGCTTTCATTTGCTGTAACATCAAAAGTAGACAACTCTTAATAATAATGGGTGTTGCTCATTTCACTATGGTATAAAAAACAAAAAGTTACTGCAGATTTTTGTTTTGCACAGCAGAGTTGCATTGAATGATGCTTCACCGAGCTTCCACAAGGACTTTTAAGTTTGCATGTCGACATAGTGAACTGCTACGTGTGACTTCCTTTTAAGGCACTGCCTAAAAGTCCCTATTATCAATTCAATAACAGAGCTGCATGTTCAGGACTTCCTTATGGCTCCAGGCTTGATTTATGAACATAAACATTTACAAATGCTAGGTATTACATAGAATTGTTTAAGGCAAACTGTGTTTTGAATGCAAAAGAAGAGGCGCACTCTCACAGATACTGAAAAAAAAAATTTCCTTGGAATAATATTTCTAATTAGATGAAATGTATGTCTACTTTTATCAGTGAATGACGAATTAGGCTTGACAAGTTAGATTTTTTCCATTGAATGCTGATGACTTAATTATATTTCTTGCAGTCTACCAAGTTTGCAGCAGATAAGTTTGGATCATCATCGAAGGAAAGACAGATGTCATTACAGGATCGTAAAGCTGCTCTACTTGCCAACGCTAGAAAGTAAGCCTTTAGATTTATACCTGGTTTCCACATGATGCAATAAGCTGCCTCAAACACCCTTTTTGCAAAATCAAATGACCTAGGGGCAGCACAATTCTTTATTATCTTTTTTCTTTTGAAATATGCAGATAATTGAGTACAGTAAACTGTACATGTAAAAGTCAAATCTGTTGGGACCACACAATTCCGACTTAGAAAGTGCATCTAACACATGTTTTGCATAGTTTGGTCAAAAAAAATATTTGACTTGGGGAAAAAATTGACTTGTGCGACATCAAGTTATGCAGAGTTAACTGTGTGCTGATTGGCCTTTATTCTGTCCAGCTACTTTTGTTTTCACCCCCATTTTATTTTATTGTAAGTAAGAGGAAATAAATCACTTATGCCTGGAATCCAAGTTGATTCTCTAAAAATTAATAATAATAATAATCTTTTAAAGTCCACTCCAAATTTTATTAAGTTAAACCGAAAAAGGAAATTCTTTTTGCCCAAATGATTGTGAGCCCAGCAGCCACTGAGCAGCGCCAGACACAATATACGTATATGTTTTATTCTTTCTCACATGTCAATATTTATAGAGAAGAAGTGAAACATGTAAAGAATGATATAAGTGATCTCAATATCTTGTTTGTAAATGTGGTCTCTGCCAAAAAATATCAGTTTTCATATTAAGGATATATTGACTGCTTTGAGAGGCATAGTGGTTTCTATAGGGTCAAGGGAAACTCACAACCTGCTATGACCCCAAGGCGCTTGCGCCGCGGGGTCATAGCAGGTTGTGAGTTTCCCGAGACCCTATAGAAACAACTATGCCTCGAATATTAAAAGCAGTCAATATATATTTTATATACCGAAAAAAAGGAAAATGTTGACTCACCCATTTAGGTTTCCATCTCTTTGAAGTCATGAATATTACCAAAATCGACTAAAATCGAATTGCACTCAAACACCGTTAACGGTATTGCGCATCGGTCATCGCACAAAAGAAACTTATACAGTAACACGTAAACCAAAATGGGAATCGCAGCAAAATGACGTCACGTTTCACAGCCATGGAAAAAGTGCTATGAAAAATGGATATAAACCGGTAGAGCCGGGGAAAATGACTATGAATTTCAATTAGCGGGCATGGTTAAGAACATGACTGCATTTTCAACCAATCAGAAGACAGGATTAGTAAAGAATCTTAAAATGAGGTATACATTCAATATTAATGTCTATATTCTTCTAAAGTCAGGGTAATAATATGATTGCAGGGCCCTCTGGGAGAACAGTATTACAGTAGTCAAGCTTGGGTTTATAGAGGGCAGCACACTGAGCCAATGGGTATTGCGCTCCCGTGCGAACTAGTGTCCCTAATATGCATACGTCCGTACAGGAGCGTAAAACCTGTTTGCTCAGTGTTCGCCACATTGCCTACTTTACGAACGATTATATACCGATGCATAAACATCTTTAATACAGATGAGACTAGCCTGGGTAAACAAGACATATTATTATTGTCATTATTATTATGATCTTTATTTTCGTTTTTAATTTCAATACTATATTTCTCAATCCAATGCTCTCACTCACTTCTTTCTATTACTCTCTTATTTTGTTTACAGGCGATTCACTGAAAAATCTCAAGTGGAAAACTGATGCACATTACGCTTCACTGTAAACAAGTAACGAAGGAGACAATCCATACATGTATACTGGTATAATGCACCACCAAAACAATTTAAAATACCTTCTTCTCAAAGTGAGGGGAGCCTCGTAGCATCCATTCTGCCAGGGCTCTCTGTCAGTGCTGTTGATTCGATGTAATGTGAAAGAGCAGGAAACATTGGTAGGATGACACATGAAGATTGAAAAGTGCGTAGTTGAGGATGGGGTTCAAAGGCAACAGCTTATTATCACGCCTCTACCACTGTGATGTTACACGCATTATTCTTATTTTTATTGGTAAAAGGAACGTTGGAAAGAAAGTAAAATGATGACTGTGGGGAGATTTCATGTTGAGGTGTTGTGGACTGGTATACAGGGCGTATCATAATAAAGGATATTGAAGTTTAATGACGATTTATATGAAAACTACTGATTTTATAATCAAGCATTTTATGTCTGTTGTAAAGGACAGAATGTCCTCTTTTTAATGACACCCCGATCATACTACTACTGTCACAGTTGACTGAATAACAAAGCATTGCTGTCCACCATGTGAAAGGTGCACTGTGCCAAGTTTGATAACATTTCCTTCTTAGACACATAATCCACTCATTGTTCAGCATTTCAATATGTCTGGGCTGACACAAGCACTAATCTTTATAATTTATCTGTGAATGCTAACTTGTCACTGTGCACCTTTCACATGGTGGACAGCAATGCTTTGTTATTCAGTCAACTGTGACAGTAGTAGTATGATCGGGGTGTCATTAAAAAGAGGACATTCTGTCCTTTACAACAGACATAAAATGCTTGATTATGAAATCAGTAGTTTTCATATAAATCGTCATTAAACTTCAATATCCTTTATTATGATACGCCCTGTATAATTCACTGGACTGTAAGATTACAAGGGTTCAAGTCCTAGCCTGGCACTAACGTCCCTTGGCAAGACATGAATCTACATTTGCCACACTCTTCCCAAGTGTTAAAAGGTACCCGGTAGGATGGCGATGCCAATGTTAATTAAACTGGCGCCTGGCTGGAATGCTCCCCAGGGAGTGGAGAATGTGCATACATTGTGTGCGGGAAAGTCTGAATCCGATGACCTGGGTCATAATATATCTATAAAGCATGTAGAGACATCATCGTTGTATTAAGGACTATATAAATACGGAATATTATTGTTACTGCCTTTTTTCAGTCACTGTTTGTACATGCACCTCATCATCATTATCTCTATTGGGTTTGTTTCACACATCGGTGTATTTTAAATTTCTAGAGAAATTCCATACTGTGTACTTGGTGACTTTTAGAGTGCCCTGCGGAAGGGTGCAAGCTGGCTGTTTGGAGCCAGAAGGGCATCTAATCTTATACTTTTATACAATACACACTTAGTGCCCTTCTGGCTCTCAACAGACGAAATGTATGCATGGACTATGGATGTAGGTTGTGATAAAATCTCTGGTTCTGGTTCTGGATTTTACTCCGACAAAGCGGGATCCGGCATCACGCATCTCAGTGAAAAGTTGTGAATTTTCTTTGAATACGCATTTAAGTCTGGTTGTCATCTAAATTATCTGATTAATTTAGCAATGAAATGATAACAGGTAGGAAATTTGACTAAAAAGTTATGTTAGCCCTCGTCTGCTGGGCAGATTTCCATATCTGTTTGGAAGTTGTGAATTTTCTTTGAATACGCAATTAAGTCTGGTCGTCATCTAAATTATCTGATTAATTTAGCAATGAAATGATAACAGGTAGAAAATTGGACTAAAAAGTTATGTCAGCCCTAGTCTGCTAGGCAGATTTCAAAATGTGATTGATTTTATGCATATTTTGAATTTCATCAACAGATTGAAGAAAAAGAAAATCTGAATACTGCAGGTCAGATAATTTGATATTTTCGATTAAATAGCAGACAATGTACTGTTTAAATGGGGAAAATTTGAGATTGCAATTGTAGCTTTATTTATTTACTTTCATAACTCGTTGGATTCAATTTCATTTTCATTTAAAACATGGTTTAGTTTAAACAAAATAAAATATTGTGAGGCATAGTAACCCACAGTCTATTTAATGTGAGATGGAGTATTTATCTCTTTCTCTCTCTTCATTCATTAATATTTGATTCTGTTTTCAATTGATATTTGGTACATGAGTAAATCTCATTGTTGTTAGAAATTAGTTCTAACTCACATCCAAACAGTATTTTACCTGTGGCAGTATTGACGTCTGTGGTTCAGACACCTTCCTCAGACGTTTACTGCCTGATGGATTTGGGATAAAATCTCATTTTTGTGTGTGGAACTCTTACTTTTGTTCAGTTTACCTCTGATCCTTGGAATTTTTATGAATCACTGCCATGATCCAACATTAGATCTTGAAGTGGTTTCTGTCTGGTTTGCAGGTAAATGTTTTTTCAAAAATTCACTCATTTGATTTTGTATTTTTGGATTTGTTCATACTTCCTGGAAAGCATGGTTCATACATGTATGAGAACATGAGTTGGTTGCAAATGAGTTAACATACATGCAAAGCTGTTTATATAAAAAATACCTATCACAAAATTAACCAGGCACAGATGATGCCAAATACTTGATAGTAGTAATGATTAATGATTAAAGGTCATATATGGTTTTGGTATTAAAGCCATCAACAAAATTTCATCAATTTTCTTTGCTTTTCGTATTCTGCTGTTAATCTTCAAAGGGCTATATTATGCTGATAATTATGTCGATTACCAGTTGTGTTTACAGGCACGCTAAATACCAGGTTGACACTCTTCTCTTTGCGAAAAGTGCAGCATATTATGGTGTATTGGGTGTAACTGTCCTGCACACAGGGCCTCTAGTGGTGGATGTCCTGTCTGTGGAACAGAGTGTTATCCCCTGACACAGAGTCTGCAGGGAGAAGAGCTGGGAGGGGCGGCCTTACACACACAACACTGCAACAATCATTTTTGCATTTTTGCCTGCTCAGCGCAGTACTCATGCACATGACAAAAGTGATGAGAGTCCAACGATGTTCTTGCTCAATTGCCTCCTAGATGATAAATAAATAGTTATTAGCAATTCTAAAATGCGGTGAAGTTTTTTTTTTCCTCAAGTGGGATATTAAACAAATTATGGGAATTGTTTCAGTTACTGAAGTCCGATTTTTCTGACATTTATTTTTAAATGTGCATTATCCCATGTGCTGCAGGTAATTCAATGAGATGTACATGTAATTTTGTCGGTAACAATCTGTGCTAATTTTTAATCTGAAGCTCTGCTGTACTTTATAATAAAGGCTGGCCATTTTCATTTGAATTTGTTTTTTCCTTATTTTTGTGTATTCCTCTGTCTCTCTCCCTCTGTCCAACCCCTCCCCTGTCTGTCTGTCTGTCTGTCTCCCTCTGTCCCACCCCTCCTCTGTCTGTCTGTCTGTCTCTCTCTCTCCCCCTCTCCAGCTGTCTCTCTATACCATTCCATCCCCTCTCTGTCTTTTTCTTTCTTTCTCAGTCTTCCTGTATGCCATACTATGTTAAAGAGACACATTTAAATGTCCAAGACTAAATTATGCTATTTCGGGTATTATAATGGTACTTAGACTACACAAAATTCTGAATGAGTCCATACATCACTGATTTGCTTTATCCTTTATTTAGTTCCAAAATATAATAGAATGTTCCAAAATGTTATAAAAATTCCTAAAAATGTGCAAAAAATATATAATTCATGAGCTCACAATCTAAAAGGTTTTTTCAATTCTTTGATAACAAACGCAAAATATTCTTTAAAATAGTTTCAAGACGAGCAATAATTTGTTTAACTGATTGATAGTAAAATTCAAGCATCTAGGACAAAATCCTATTTTCACTTATCAGAATTTTGTTATGATTGTGACATCTTTAAAAAAAGGTTTTTGGGGGAAAAATTTTATACTTTCAATCATTTCACCTTATCACTTTTTTTTCTTTCAAAAGTCTTAAGTAAAAACAAAATAGTTTATTGATTATTGACACTTCAATACCAAGTAAGAATGAAAGGTGAAAGGTTTGATACTTAAAACTTAAGAAATACCATATTACATTAAAAAAATAACAATTTTTTTTTTTCTTAATGAATATTAGTAACAAACTACAGAATGTAGAACGGCAAAGCAAGCATGGTAAATATGCATATTTGTTCATAAGAGGCTTGATTGTTCCCCTTTCCTCTTCGAAAAATGGTATTCATCCTCTTTAAAAAAAAATATACACATGTATTAGCTAATTTGATCGATAATGTTAGTAGTCTTCATAATTTGTGTAGTTAACTAAAAGGTGAATGCCTATAAACAAGAACATACAAACACGTAAGATCTATAAAACACAAAAATAGCATATTCAACTTTTACATTTTGTTTTTTTCATTTAAAAAACAGTGAAGCAAAAGAAAAAAATGTAAAAATAACGTTATGATTTTGACAGAGACAGCATAGCCGTGAACCCAGGATACGAAGCAATTTGAACGTTATACCGCAAATACTTACAATTGACCATTCTTTAAGCTTAAAAAAACTCTTATCTTGTATGAGGGGTATATACAGTCATAATGCTTCTCAAATCAAATGTTATTTGATAATCATAGTCATCATGGGCTTTCTTCTGCTTTTTTGTTGTTTTTTGTTCCTGGATTTAAAACTTTTCTACCATCTAATGGATGAAACATAACAAACATTTAAGCACATCATTCAAATTATCATTAGCATAAAAATGCCTGGTCAAACTAAACACACAGGTTCCTTACTCTCTTAAAGCATCAATATAAAACTATGTTTTTGATGGACGGAAGTCACGGAATGTACAAACGTATTACGGAAGCGACGCTGAAGCCTGACTTACGGCCCAGCATGCACACACACACACACAAACTAAATTCATCTTACTTCATCAAACTGTCTGGAATGCCTTTGAATACGGACGGTATGGCTCGTCTTTTATATTTTCAATCATTAAGAAGCATAATGAACGTCTAAATCGTTAACAATTTACATAACTCTACAAAGCACTTTTGTGATGATCACACACATCAATAAAGCATCCATAATTTGCCTAGCTGTAAAAAGCACTGTTGGTGATGATCACACACATCAATAAAGCATCCATGATTTGCCTAGATGTAAGAATGGCTGTTGGAGACTATCATTCTGTGGCCCATTGAGAGCACTTGAAGCTATGACGTGGCCAGTCAGTAGATTGGCATTGTGGACTGCAGTACGCTTGCTTCTGACACAGAGAGCAGTGGAACTGGCCAACCAAACCACAGATGCACAGCTGGGTGATGTCTGGAGAGAGAGGGAACAAAACAGATTACAAAGATTTAGAAATGTGAGATCTTGACCTAACACCTTGCATTTCCCATGGTTTCAAACAGGAATGACCTGGGTCCTAAAGGCAATAGGTTAAAGCCCAACTGTCCTACTTCTAGCTACTTGCTCCCTTTAATCCTCCATAACTGATTATGCTTAAACTATCCTTGTTCATTCCATTTACAACCACATCAAGCTATATAAAAATGAAATGCTGAAGTATCTGACCCATTAAAGGGATGTACATTGAACCTTCCTACATTGTTTTGTGGGATATTCACATTGCTACACAATGCCAAATACATTGGAAAGTTGAAAATCTCTTGTACAAGAGACTGAAACGGACACAAAAAGGCTTTGCTTTTCACAATGTATCTGTAAGTGCAGATGAGATTAAAAGAAGGGGTACTGAGACTGAGTATTGTGAAATGATGAATGAGATCAAATTTAATTACAAGGCCCCCTTAGTTCCCCTTTTTCTCATTTTCGACTGGCAAATTTGGTGTCTTTGATACTGTTAACATGTATGATTACATGTAATTTTTTGTATAATTTATAATATTGCAATGATCTATTGTTTTATATGAAGATGGAAATAAATGAACAAATGAAATGAAAAGATAGCCGGCCTACCTTGATTGTCAAGCCACTTGAGAAGGACACAGTCCGATGAGTAGACCTCGTTCACCATCAACTTCTTCTCATCACCCGGTTGGATCTCAGCCAGTGTTTCCTTGAGGATGACGAAAGGTTTGTCCCTGACCTTGTGAGAGAGACCAGTGTCCTTGAGGTCGTGACGCAGCTGGCTGATCGTACCCACCATATTGGCAGAGACCTCACCAAGCTTCTGGAACGTCCCGTCAGAGTTCTTCACCATGATGAAGAGTCGCACACGATCAGCGAGTTCTGGAGACAACAAAGATAGCACAGAAATGTGACATTTGGACTACAATGGGATTTTACAATGAATCGAGAACTATGAAATATCTTGCAAGGCGATCATACTTTGATACTATTATCATGTTATGTGGGTTGATGGTAAGAGACTTACATTATTCAAGTGTTACTTTAACTTGAACAAAGATAAGGCAAATATATAGTTGTTTCATATGAAACCAACCAGGAAATAAACTGCTCAAGATATCATACTAAAAAAATTTGCGAACTATGCAAATAAATGCATACTTGAAGCAATCTTTCATTGCTGATTTGTAGAAAGGTAAATTTCAGTGACTGTGTGTGAAAAAAAATCTACGTCAGAAAAGAAAGGAAACCATATCCTTACCAGTCTCCATCTGTCCTTCCAAGAATCCAGGAGGCAATGCGCTGACGGCGACCTCGGGTGACCTCCTAGCCAAGTGCAATCCTGGAGAGCGGCTACGAGCTGACAGGGTGCTACGCTGGCTGTCTGTCTCATCATCAAACAGAAGGTGCTTGTTCACCAATCTACAAACAAAGAACACAATAATAAAAACAACTTTTATCATAACGGATAAGAATAGATACATTAATAACAGCACAGCCACAAAGTATCCTATTATTACCCTGGCTGTAGCTAAGCCGTCATGACAAGGTGCTCAGACATTTAAAGCATATATTCCTACAGACTAATAATTCACTTCACCTAGGTGGCGAATGGCAAATGTAGATTAAATTTGACTTGCCAACCAACTAAACACGAGTGCTGAGCCATGAATTTAGCAGAGGGTGAGTTGAGGACTCTTTAGATCTTTCAGACATCCAGACACCTCCTAATCAGTCCCAACCCTGTAAGCGCAGGAGATCATTTAAAGCCCATCGTCAATTTTGCATTATAATAGCAATGCCAAATACAATGACTGAAGGAATATGAAAAGATGTGATTGTGTATACATTATTACATAGTATTCTATTCAGTCCTAGGACCAGGAGGATGGAGTATCTCCAATGAAACCGACTAGACTTACCCTTCATCGGGAGAAGGTGAATGATCAAAGCGGATAGTCGGAGCCAGGGAAGGATGGATCAAACTGCTCTCAGAGCCTACATAGCTCATTAACTTATAGTCCTTATTGTCACCATACTCCTTTGTGGTAGCAAGGGGCATCTCATCCATCTGTGTCACTTTCCCTGTAATTACAAACAAATTATGATAAACACATTTTGTCACAATCATCATCATTGTTTAGAATCTATTTCTCCAATCCTTTGGGGTTGGAATTTTAATTACTGTTGTAGCCTTGCCTGTTTTCAGCATCAACGTAAAGCCAGATACTCTCATGTCTTCTTCTAGTACGTGTCTCCTGCAAGGTTCTGATAGGTCTGCTACAGGGTTTTGAGTGGGCAACCTAGAAGTTCATTGCTCTCTGAAGACAATGGCTCTTTTTTAAAATCTCCTAACCACAAGATCTCAACGTACCTCTCCTTATCTTTATCTATGAACAGAGATTCAAGTTAACATACCAGATAGTCACCATGAAAGTACATGCAAACCTGTACGCAGTATTTTTTTTTTCATGCTAAATGGCTACAGCTCATGTTGATTTGTAGGTACTTTTTAAGATTTTATTCAGTCAGGTTCTAAATGTGAAACACATACTGTTGCTGTTTTTCTTGACCATGATGACTGCAATGACGATGACGGCGATGAGGATGAGGATGACGACCACGACTACAATAATGATCCAGATTGGCAGACTACTTGAAGAAGACTGCGGGGGAATAGACGAAGTATAAAGTTACTGAGCTTTAAAATAATTTGAATAATGAAAACATGATCATTATCCAGATGCCTATATTTTCAAGAAATATCAAGTTATTTTTTTATTTTCAAAGATCTACTTGTTACTGATAAACATGTTGTTTGTCCCTGATTCATTAAATTATTAATTTCTCACAGATGGGATACTACTGCATTAATTATAACACCAAAAACAACAAGTTCTTTACAAATATCATGATGTAGTTTGACCAACACTGTTTACTACCTTCAAGTAAACAAGGTACTGTATCTTACCCTCTCTAAATATCATTAATTAAGATCAGAAGAAAGAGTTGACTGCTTACCGTTGGGTCATATGGTGCTCCATCAACCATGAGATACTCCTCAGCCAATAGGGTTTGACCATTAAAGGTTATAGAAAGGTCACCGTCCAGGATGTCTTCCCAGATCAGGCTCTGGACCGACTCCACATCACCGGTGATATCAAATGATATCAAGATTGATCCTAACAGAGAAGGATAATGAGGAAAACATGATTATATTATACAGAGCATATCACATCCAGGGGTGGTAGCGAGCACTATAAAAAAGAAATTAAAAAAATTAAAAATTAAAAAAAAACCACAACCACAAAAATCCTCAACCACCCCGCCCCTTGAGTAAAAAAAAAGGATTCTGGGAAAAAAATGGCATCTAAACATCCCCCCTTTTGAGTAAGAAAATAAGGAAAATAGGGAAAAATCAGGAAAATAAGGGAAATATTGGAAAAATCAGGGTAAAATCAGGAAGAAAAAAAACTGGGAATTTTTTTCTTCGGGAACTGATTTAAATTGGGTAATTATCAGATATATATTTATGCGCTTCTATATCACATTTTTTACCAATACCCTGGCTCTAGAGTACAGGGTGATTGGTACATCAAGTGATGTCTTTTGACTAGCTTTATAGCATCACAGAATGAGAAGTGTCTGTGATGAGGATGTTGCCCTGTTGAGACATATTCCAATGAATGAGTGAATGAAAGGAGATCAACATGTACTCTAATCAACATACCTTCTGAAACTTGTACATTAGAGAAGGTAGCATTCTCATAGTTTGGCGCAATGTGGTTCAAAAAGTTGGCCGCAATCAGCTCCTCGTTGTCCTGAGCAATGCTGGAATAGTCGTAGTCGAACCTGATCGTGAGCGATGCGGTCTCACCAGAGTTTATGGCGTTGTTCTCAGCCACGACATTGAACGGATCCAGACTGCCGCTGGCATGGTAGGCACTAGAGGGCGACGTGACAACGGACACGGTTAGGATGTAGTAATAGCTGGCCTCGTTGATGCTCAAGCTAAAGGTTGCTCGGGCAGTGGATAGGTCTAGGATGGTGCTGAGATCACCTTGGAGTTCACCTCTGTAGTTGGTTGGGTCAGAGATCGCGATCGTCACTAGCCAGGAGTCAAAGCCCTGAAGAGAATGAAAAGAAAATAATCAAAATGACGATGATGTAACATCACGTATAAAGTAGTGCAGTTCAACAAAAAGTGTATTCAGCAATCACTTTTAAAAAATGCACATCTAACAACAAAAATGTATTTATAAAATATATGAATCCATTAGATTATTGAATCTATTCAACTTTGTACCTATTTTTGCATTACGTCCAACACAAATCTTTTCTTGACCTAAAATAAATGAATGTTACTGGACTTTCATACATCAATGATCAAAACTTAAAACCAAGAATCAGCATTTTTCCTCAGTCTGGCTTAAAGTAGGCATAAATCTGAGAACAGAAATTGAATTTAGTCTGAATGCGATCACCATTCAACACTAAACCAAATCTTTAAATCATTGTCACTCACTCATAGCATTGATAATTGAAAGTACTGGAGGAACATACCTTCTCAGCTAGGTTGGTGGGCACATCACCGGTATGTGTCTCTCGGAGTTCAACGATGACCTCAAACACTTCATTCTCCATCACATCAGACGAGGGCGCCGTGATGATCTCCAACTCGTAAGGCTGGACATCGACGTCAAAGGCCTCGGTGCTCGCCGTTAGGCTGGATGTGTTAGGGTACGTGATTGTGAACTCAAGGACCAGGTCAGTAGCGCTGATGTTAACCCCAAGGTCAGTGAAGTTAGCCCAGCCTCCTTCGAATGAGATGGTCTGGTTGTCCGAGATGAAACCGATGATGCCGTCGGAGGTCCAGCTGCTGATGGTCGCTGTCACCTGCCAGGGTCGGGCTGGGGTACCAAGCTGCTCAATTCGGTTACCCTATTAATCAAAGAATGGTTATTAACTCAGATATTGCTGATAATGCAGTCTCAACATCTTTCATATAACAAGAACAAGTAAACTCAAATTATGTGTTCAAAATAAAAACATGGACTTTGAATGGCAAGGCGGGATGAATAACCCTGAAGAAGATAACATTAGATTCAGACGTATTAGACTCTTGAAGAAGGAGAAGAAGAGTTGGCCAAGCTTAAAAATTCTTAGGAGCTCTTCACTGTTCACAAGAACATTGATGGATAAGCACTAGCTGACAGGGAGACATTTACCTGATTATCCAGAACTTTGATCCTTGGTTGCGTTCCAAAGGCACTTTCCTCGATGGCATCATCAGGCTGTACCTCGATGATCATGGTAGAAGCAACGACGTAAACCGTAGCCTCACCAGCGGTGCTCAAAGCTAACTCTTCCTCCGCTGCCTGCTGCTCAGCAAACCTGCAAATAATCAAGGGTTCTTGTCAACATGGGTCCTTGGATAATAATATTAAGGTCTTGTTCCAACTAATGAGAGGCAGTGAAACTAGTCACAAGTGCCCCTGTAGTTACAAAACATGTCATTAAGAGGCATAGTTCGGATCAAATGTATTGTCTATTTTTCAGGTAGGGTAGGATGAGAGGTGGTTGACTGCTTCATGTGTGCATTATCTCTTACAATGCATACCCTCTCTCTGAAGGTCTTTATTTTCAATCCATAATCTACATCTTCAGAGAGTCATAGCAATGAGTTAAAGATAGATAAATACAAAGAAATAAAAAATGTGAACTATTACAGCATTGACTTTACTAATAATAAATAATAAATAGATAACCTAAACACATTTTTTAAATGCAAGTGATATGTATAATATATTGGAAATGGGATGGCGGACTAGCTGTTCTCTATTCAGGGAACTGATATATATAAACATAGAAAGTATGAAATATAAAGATTCCAAGAGACATAGAAAAGGCAATCGGCAGACTGTTGCCCTGTTGACTAATGATTATTTCATTCTCTCTGGCTTTATACAAATGTAGCCCTTCACTATAGGGTTAAAGTTAATAATGGTACACTTACGTGGTTGTGCCATTGGCTGGTCCACCGGTAGTATTGGTAGCCCTTACTCCTCCCGTAGGATCCTTAGGAGTGTCCACAGGGTCAGTCATGGCCATAGAGTTGATAGTGACCCCAAGACTGTCGCCAAGGTTACCAGTCTGCATCTCATCCGCAAGCATGGCCTGGACCTCTGTCAACTGATCAAAGCTCAACTCTGATGGAGATGCTGCAGTAGAAGTAGAGTAATATTAATAATGATAATAATAATAATACTCAGTTTTTATATAGCGCTTATTAGAATCACTATAGCGCTTCCAAACTTGGAGATTATTACCCCGACTTTAGCTGTGCTGCCATTTCGGCGCTGTAGCATTTCAAAGAATTAATTCCTGCCAGGTACCCATTTACATCACCTGGGTTGAGTGTGGCAAATGTAGATCAATGTCTTGCCAAAGGACATTAGTGCCGCGGAGTAATATTTGTCACAAGATCATATAGCATTGAAGATAAAATCATGCATGAGTATTCCAGTCTCATAGGCAGCAGAGTGACCATGACATATTTATCATTTTCTACAAGTTTCAGCCAGACAAGACAGAAAGACAGGGTACTAGCAAACGATGCAAAATTTCTTGTTGAGAATACTAAAAACGGGTGATTACTTTATAAAACACATTTATAGGACGTTTTATTCCAAACTATTTAAAATCAGATCAAAGTAAACCTTAATTAATGTTAGATAGCATCTTTAACATACACAAATCTTCTGCAGACAAGACAGGCTAAATTCAGTGCTTTTTTTCACTGCTTATAATTCATCAAATCCAAGTACAAGAAGGACCTCCAGTCTTCAATTTTCTCTTATCATTGATATTTTAAACTTTATAATTTCGAACCGATATATATATATATATATATATATATATATATATATATATAGTGTATGACTTACAGGTGCCGGAAGGAGCAGGTGTCGTGGTGGAGTTATCTGTAGAAATAGATGCAACTGGATTTGCCCCGATTTCAACGACTACTTCTGTGTCGGAACCTGTCGACCTCTTCTTCCGTCTGGCCTCCGAGATGATGTCAACTACTCTGATCTGTGAAGGATCAATGTTAAGCAAGTTGGCAAGGTTTTCTACCAGATTCTCTTCAAAGAAATCATCCACCTCCACGGCAGGAACCCCAAACGTTGTGATGACTACTGGGGTGGTCCTGATCTCGACAAAGGTGGACCCTCGGACCAGGATGTAGAGGGTCTGCTTCTCACGGTCAAAGTAGTTGTCTCCCAGTACCATGGAATCCAGTGAAGGCATGAAGTCTGTGTCTGGGGTGGGGGCAATCCACTGAAGCCCACCGTCGACGTACTGTCCGTTGTTTGGAATGATGTAGAGTCCGTCGACATAGACGTCCAGACGTTGAGGGTTGGCATACCAGATACCAACGGTCAGTGCCTGGGACTCTACGGCATTCAGCAGGTGGAAGCGCAGACTCTGGGGGTTGGTGCCTGTGAAGAACAGCTCGTAGTTCTTATTGGTAGCCACTATGGTGTAGAAGGTACTGATCCTCTCCTGGCAGGTGTAACCAAGACACCATCCATGGTCCTGAGGTCCGTTGATAAGATCCACATAGCCGTCGGCGTGAAGGGCAACGGGAGAGACACGACGCAACTCGGTGTCTGCATCCATACTCTCTACAATCATCATCATGTGATCTATACCATGGCACTCCCAGGCCTGCCATCTGTCATGCCACTCACAGTCATCATTACGGATGATACCTGAACAGAGAAAAGAAAGATTGGTTGATACAGGCATCACATTGCTAATGTCTTAGAAGTGCGGTTCATGTGTGTAATCAATCTAAGACAAAGCATCTGTGAATCATACAGATTCTGATTGAAAGGGGAGGGGGGGGGGTTCAAGCACAGTTGTTATCTGCAGATAGCAGTCTCTCAAGTATGATAGTCTAGGGGGTACATGTACACATATTTGTCATAGAAAACACTTCAATTATTTGATTAGAGCTTTCCTATACCCGGTTACACGAACATATCTGATTGACCAGATATCTTTATATCAAGCTCTATATTCTATCCATTTACAAGGAACCATCATCATCATCACCATCATCGTTTAGAGTCCGTTTGTCCCACTTTGTGCGGTTGTACATTTCATTTCTTTAATGGCCGCCTTCCAAGCTTTAATTCCTGTCTGAGGGATCCACACGACCGACACCCGATTTTTTGGCATCCTCTTCGATGGCTTCCCTCCAAGTTTTCCTGGGTCTCCCACCAAATGATTTTAATTTTAATTAACCTTTGCACCTCAACAAAAGTAATGTTCAGTATCATTTGTCCCCCATCATGACAGAGAGGGTGACAAGTTACCATTATTGGGAGCAACATCCTCCTTTGGAATCCTGGCACCGTCGGGTGTGGTCAGCATCATCTTGGGGATGCGGTAGTCTCCGAGTCCACGCCTTCGATCGCCGTCCCACTCAAAAGCAGAATCTGGAATCACTGTCCCTGGGCTACCCAGCAGGCTCCCGTCAACATCTTGAATTATGACCTTCTTGTGAGCATCACAGTCCATGTCTACACAATCAGAGGGATTCACCAAGCTGCAATAAACAAACACAAATTGGATGTGAAATACAGGATTAAATTGAAATTGAAGATGAAACTGGAACTGTAGTTGGAACTGGAATTGGAGTACAAACAGCACAAAAAGTACTGAAGTTCAAAAACAAAACACTGGCAGGAATTGATGAAGAAAAGTGGTGAACTTACCCAAGAGGTGGGCGATGGAACCATACATAGTTATCAGTAGGAGTATCAATGAATGTCAGTCCTTCTACTTCGATAGGATGCATGGCATCACCGCTTTGAGGACTCGTCATAATAACTTTGTCTCCTCCGGAACATTTGTCGTTGAAGTTGGAGAATGTTACATCTAGGTGGCAAATATTCATAAACGTGAAGTAGAGAATGCTTTAAAACCATGCAGAATTGTAATACAATGTACTCTGGTAGATAGACATTGTGATAGTTTTTGTGGATTGAAACTCTTCAAATTAAAGTCTTTCTCACGTGTCATCGGTTTCACACTTGAATCCAAAATGTTGTGGTCCAAACAAAATGCTTTCTTTTTTTCTGATTTAAAGTAGGTTCATAAATTATCAATTGAGATAATATGGAATCATTTTGTATCAATAAATACACTGCAAACAAAATGAACAACGTTAATATAATAAACTTGCCAAGCAAAATGTTAAATACATTAAGATACTTAAGACTGTTAAAACCAGTAACTAAATGCTGTTCAGTGTCTGAGCTGTATCTATAGGTATATCATCCATATTCAGAGCCAAAAGATATCTTGAAGCAGTTAACCACCTAGTCTAACACCTCAATTATCACACCACCCAACCAACTCCATCCAAACTGAAGAATTCTTGACCGTTGGTGATAATGTAAGCCTGGAGTTAGTCTGGTGTCTATCTTGTTGGTTTGACCGAGCTGGGCATTGCATATTTGTTTAACCCTTTCACTGCTTTGTTGCAGAATCACTGCACACTTGGTGCCTGAGCCTTAATTCTAACGCCTCGTTCAAATATGACAGGGATAAACCGCCGCAGTTTTTCTTTTGGAAGACATAAAGTGTAATACCCTTCACATTTCTCCATCTCACAATACAGAGCTCAGTGACGATGCGCAGCACACATTTGCCATTCACATACATGCCTTAAATCACCAACTGTTAGTGAATCTACAAAAAGAGATGCTCACCACGAAGGATCATCTTTCCTCCGATGGCTGGGTAGCTCATCACAGAAGTAAAAGGCTTAAACGGAGCACCCCCTGAAGAACCCTTGAATGAGGTGAAGTAGACGCCTACTGTTCCTCCATTGGGTGACTTGGTAGACCGCTGTTTGGAGCTCTGACTTGACCCTTCAGGAGTAACCTGGAGAGGATAGAAAAAACACAAAACTATGTGAGTATAAATTTTTACACCAGCTCATACTTTTTGCTCAGCAACTGACAAATGTAAAGTAATTATTCCCAAATCCAGACTCGATTCTACTTAAAAACGTTTTACATTCGCTGCATTGAAAATGTGAAACATCCCACTTTGCATCTCGCCTCTTTTAAAGATCTTGTAAGATACTCTTCTTCCCTCAGTAATATATTTGTAAAATACTTTTTTTATGCATGAGTCTATATATTCTATTAATTTCTGCGGTGATCGGCTGTGAAACGACTGAGATCTTGGGGGGGGGGCATATATGCCCCCCCAGATACTAGAAAGATCTCAAACACCCTGGCCTCATTAAAGTTAACAGTTGATTTGGTAGCCACTAGCACATCTTGTGACCACACTTCAAACACTCAACAAAGTAAATGCATGTATTAGTTTACTTTGAGATGTGAATTGGCCAATTCAATATCTCATCTTTGCCTACAAAGTGACTTTGCAGGACCCTTGTCAGTCACATCTTCCAAATGTTGATGGGGTAAAGGTCAATCCCCACACATCATCACATCTTATTAATACATGTTCAGAAAAGAAAAAAATCCTCATGCAGACACACAGTAGAGGATTTATCAAATTGATTGCACATATGAAATATTTTAATAGGATGTATTAATTCATCAATACCTTATTTTGAATAGTGGAACTACAAGAAAAAATTGGCAAACATTTTAAGTAAATGCCCATACTGCTTTTTTACAAAAAGAACAAAAGTTGGCAGAGGTTTAGAGAAAATGTTGATAAAAGTTTTTCTTTCAATGGTGTAGGCCGGTATAGTGATGGTTTACCTTGTCTAGATCACAGTCAAAGCTGTCACTGTTTCCAACAATGAGGGAGTCTTCCACAAGGACGTATTTATTGGCTACTAAATGAGATAGAGCTGAAGGGCCGTAGTCATGAACCAAGATGTTAGCCCCGTTGTCAACGAAAGTTGATTCGCTTATCTCGATGGAAGACGAGGTCAGGGCGTAAAGTCCGTAATCTAAGTTGCGGTAGCTGAAGAAATCATGAACTCGCAAGCATGGGTCTTGCCCCGTCTTGAGGATATGTACGCCATGATAGTTGGAATGGGCCACGTTGTTGGACCAGGCATTGGGATCACTGCATCTCTCTCCCTTGATGTTGAATCCAACTCGTTCTGATCCAGCCACCGTATTGTTGATGAGGATTGGATCCATTGCCTCGGCTACATCAATACCTCCCATCCAGTCGATATTCTCATCTTCAAATCGGTCTTGGTAGGTCCCTGGGAACACCATCAGAGTCACCAGGTTGTTGGTGATCATGGTGTTAGTTCCATAGGATTTAATACCTGGAGGTCAAAGGTCAAAACCAAGGTATAGATTTAATGGCATATCCTGCATCAACAATCATTATACAAGTATACAAGCACAAACAATGGTGATACTGCTACTTTTACAAATACACCTGAAACACTATCTCTTTGCCTTTTAAAAATGAAAAAATCTAGCTTTAGTTGTTACCTGCACCAACAGTATGGTGGATTACATTGTTGTCAATCTCAATGTTGTCTGTTCCAAACACACCAATGGCGAGGCTGAATCCATTGTGGAATGTACAGCTGTGGACGAACGAGGGTACTGCATCCAACAGTACATCCCCAATGTCCAGGAAGGCCAGGGAGTATCGAGGGTCATAGAAGTCTGTCCATCCTTCTTGGCCGGTCCGCTTAAACTCTACGTTGGCAAAGTGACCCGAACCTGTAGAATACAACATTGCAAAGGTAACTCAGGTAGTCATACAAAGTGTAAGATATTTAAGGTTAAAGACGCATAGTAGTGGGCTCTCATGGGCATTTTGACACCAATTTGGTGTTTACCCAATAACAGGTGTTGTCAATCACCAGGATAAGCATTTTATGACCAACATGCCTTATGAAATACTCTGCATTTTCCACCATAGGCTCCATATGGAAAAGTCACCATCTTACATTCCCCTCACCCAAAGACTCTCAGAGAGACAGCGAGGGGTTATTTCTTGATGGGACCATTGGTTTGCTGTGTGCGAGACTTGTATATGCCCATTAATTGCATTTCCACCAAGTCTGGTGTCAGCAAATCATGACCTACTGCACATGCAAACTGACGACCATCTCCCTTTAATGTTATTGATCATTTTCCTTTTCACAGAAGATGAAGATAAAATCTTAAAATACCTCTATAAAATTCTCCATCTTGGATGAATGAGCCGACAATCGTTCTTGCACCGAATGATTCGTCAAAGAGGAGATCATAATCGTTGCCCTCAATGACAATGTTGCGTGTTAGGAGTCCCACCTCTGCAGCAATGGTGTAAGCCTTGCCATTAAACTCTGCAGACTCAGCTGCAATAGAAAGAAATAACAATTATACACGTATCAGTGGTACTGCACATGTTTTGAAGAAGTCACTTACAAAAACAAAGGAATTTTGCTGTTCAAGGAGTTTGTTCATGCATCAGAATAAGTCGACTTATTGGAAAGTTTTCTTTTGGACTATAGTAAAACAAATCCCTTTAAATTCTGTAACATAGAGGTATCATCAGTTTGAACTCATTATATTTTGGTAGTGGTACAATAATCATCAAAATGTTTGAACGGTTGTACATGTACACATATTTTAGGTAATAAAACTCACAAAGACAAGGTTTGGTCACAGATAGGATAGTGAATGTGGATAATGGGTGATCTTGCTCCAATGGCATATTTGTCCAGTGTTTTAATTGTCAAGATATAGTTTGGCATTTTCTTGTGGGTTTCTATAGTAAAAAATGTACAAAGGATTAGGGTTGACATTTGGGTATTAACGTTATGTATAGAGATGGTTTGAGGGTTTGACTGAGGAATTTGGCCGCTGCAAGAAAATGACCATGGATTACTAGTTGCCATAAAAGACATCATACAATCCCATATGCTAAAATCATGGAACCAACCTGTGTGCATATGAGCAAATGTTCCATTGATACTGAATGTCCTGGAATCAGTCTTGGAGGAGATCCTGAAGGTTTCCGTATGCCACGCCTCGTAGGATGTCGCCGTCACAACGATCTCATCACCCACACGCCAATCAGTATCAACGATCACTGTGAACTCGCTGTCGCCAGCCTCGACCGTTGAGGCAAGCTGGGTCCAAGTGACATCACGGGGCATACCATGAAGGTCCAGGGTTCCAAAGACACCTGAAAGAAAAGGAACGAAAGAAGGGTTGAGAAGGAATCATGCATATTATACAATGGGCTTAAAATATTCACCAACTACTCTCAAGAGCAATTGAAAAATATGATAAGCTGAAAATTTGATCATCATGACTAATAATATGGACAAAACAACTATGGCAAAGGGGTATAGGAGAAATCAGGTAAAACATATACACTAACAAGAACATCAAGAAGGCCATGTGTCATAAAACTTTTCATCAATAGCAAATACCAAAATTCTGTAACAAATTTGTTCAGCCAATCACAGTAATGATTTCATTTGCTTATAACAGTTATTATAACTTCATAACATTTCATAAGTTTCATACAAACAAGTTTAATGAAACAGCTAGGTCCTGGTACACGTACCTAGAGCCTTGGATCCCAGGTTGGGTCCATTAGGAAGAGGGATGTCCTGGGTGAAATGATGGCCATTGAGGAGGATACGCAGGTCATGGGTGAAAGGTCTTGTTTCGTTAAATCCTGCGATCAGACGTCCCCCTTGGATCAGGATATAGGTAGCATTGATTACCATGTCTCTGGAGTCATCAATCTCTAAGGTACCATAAATGAACAGCTTGTTCATCCAAGGCAGAGTGTCGTTGGCTACAATCCACCGCTCTGAAAAAAAATATTGTTAGTTTGTTTTATTTCCGTATAAAAAGACATCATGCATTCAGTAGAATAATAACAAATAGAATAATGAATAACAATATAAAACAAACGGCTGGATAGCCCATATTCATCGGTATCGTTATGATATCGCTGGTCTTCCATGGGGACCAGAAACGACACAGTAAAACAATGCAATAAGTAACAGTGCACATTAGACAAAGAAAAATGGCAAAACATAAATTCCCAAGCAAAATATAGTAAGAAATTAAATATCCAGGACAGACAGTATAAAGAAAAAAAACTAGTATTTATAGAAACAGAATTGTGTGAAGTAAACTTAAAAATAACTCAAAAGCATTGTAGTATTGATAAGTTAACAAAATCTATTTCTCTTGATATCAATTTTCAATCTCTCTAATTAAACTTCTGCAAAACCAGCCCAACATTAAGGACTCAATGCAGTATGCTGGAAGTGGTATTTCATATTCTGACTTACAAGCAAAGAAATTTATTTTTTCTCCAGTACCTTTTGTTGTTGATTTTTTTACTTGCTGAGTTTACATTTACATTTGAAATTTTATCTGTATGTTTTCTGGTATATCATGTTTACTATTCACCATGTAATGATGTTTTCATGTATATGCATGTATTTTTATGTTATGCAGGGCCCCCAAGTATAACAGTATTTGAACTATATATACTTTAACATATGCTCATCATGGAATAGCCAATTTAGGCTTGACGGTGTGTCCATTATTCCTTAGCTCAAGTCAACATTTTCAATCTTTCTTCGAGATTTCATGATCAAACATTCACCTGGGAAGATCATGACATCATCACCATTCTGTGGCACATTGCTGCCTGATCCAGTGTTTCCGCCCCATCCATCAGTGACGTCCTCCCAAGCTGCCGCTTCTCCCCAGAAGAGGACACCCTCTGGTCTACCTTCAGGAGGTGGTGGAGGAACGGATGGAACCGGCGGGATGCAATCCTTGTAGTAGCATCGGTACACGTCAAGATTCACTGAGCGATCAACCAGTGAGCTCTGATCCTTGCCAGAAACTTGATGATGAAGACAAGAATTTTAAGATCAAAATTAACCTCAGTATATTGTACATTGAAATCAGTACACCACATATTCAGAGATGCCAACCTCTTGACACAAAAAACAGACTGAGTATCCTAAAAAATCAGATTTTGGAGAGAAATATCAGATTTTCACGAAAACTCGACACTACCAATGGCCGGTTGGCCCCAGGCCAGTAAAATTTCAGAAAAATGTGATACTGGTACGTACTGTCAAGTCAAATGTTTGCTCTTTCATTAAAAATTTTAAAAGAAAATTGTAAAGCAAATTTTTTGGGGGGTTGCAGGGGTTTACTGTACATGTTTCTATGCGATTCCATGTTTTGTTGTTGTTGAAAAATCGTATTTTAAGAGGTGATATCGTATTATCGTATTCCACTCTTATTATCGTACCAAATACTATTAAATCGTACTGGTTGGCATCTCTGCATATTGATCATTGCTTGAAATATGACAGCAAAGGAATAACAATACAAATGCCTCAAAACTTTGCAGTTAGAAGTAATGAAGTCACCTATAAAAGAAGAGAGATTTAGAATAAAGAGCAGTAGTATAAAAGGAAATGATAGTCTAAAGAAGAGTTATTGAGCATGAAACTTGAAAAATGGAGAATATCAAAAATGTTACTCAAACTCACTGAGATAGTAGAGATTATTGGTCTCGTTGTTAAAGTACCAGTCTGCATTTTCATCTTCGCTGTACTCTAAAGGACGCCCAACGTTCTCAGTCACTTGTCCTATCAAGGCAAAGGCATCTGGACTCTGGGTAAAGTTGTGGTTCATGATGACGAAGTCCCCATCGCCAAATCCATCAAACCTGGCTGCATAGGAGATGTTGGTGACGTGATCAACATTCTCAAAATAGAAGTTGTATGTCTCCGATTCGACCAGAGTCAGCATCCATCCCGTCGGATGAGTAATTCTCTTCTTGCGGTACGGGACGCTGGTAGTACCGTAACTGTTGGTCAGGATGGTGGCCTTGTAATGAAGCGATTCAGGGTAAGCGTCGTTGAAAGCCATTCTGTGCAGAAGGACCGACTCATCGCAGACCGCCCCGTTAAAACCCTTACTGAAATCCTCGACATCAAAAGTGCAGTGATCTGTTGGGAGACCGTTGTTTTGGGGGGTCACGATGGAATCAGCATTTCCAGTCAGAGTTCCATCTAGATCTTCAAACCATGTCTCATGCTCCCATTGGAAGGCAGCTTTGTTTGGTGAATCAGTAAAAATCAGGTTCTTGAAGCGATGCTCGAAACCTCCTTGGAATACCTTGCAGTGAGCACAGGCTCTCAATGTAACACATCTGTCTTGATCAAAGTTAATGAACCGTACCCCATCAACTGTGAGAAACTTGGACTTTGGTAAATGGATTCCAGCTGATGTACATCTATCAGCCTCTTGGCCTTCAGCAAGTCCTGGAGTGTAGCCTATAATGACAGAGTCCTTGACCATTGGACCATCTTCTCCCCAGACGCTCCCAACGGTTTGGAACTCGATCCCTGAAGCCTCGTTGTCAGTCATGAGGAAGTTGTGGAACTGGATTGGTCCAACAAGGACACCTTCTGCTCCACGTTCAGTACGCCACGCCGTTAAGTTGTGGAATTCAGTATGGCCAGCAACACCGCCACAGCTGCTATCAGCTTTCGGATGATAGGATGGGAAGATCCAGATACCGTACCATCCCATGGTGTGAGCCGTGTTGTTGTTGAACTCCAGGACTTGCACATTGCGTGGACAGACAGCTGTTGTGAAGGACGGTCCCATAGGGTGCGCGGGCATGTTGTACCAGAATCCGAAATGGCTGCCACCTGCTGCGGCATTGTGACGGACGTAGTTATCAGGGTTGGTCACCCAGAAGGAGGCTGGCGTCACGTCGACATTCAGCAAACTGCTACTAGGTCGGACAAAGACAGCAAGGTTGTACTGGATGATGTTCTTGGTCTCTATACCGTCCTCCAAGAAGAAGGCATGTCCCATCACATTGAAGGCTACATTGTGTTCCACCAGGAGGTGGTGGACACCATGGATAGTCACGGCCCTGTTGAAGGTGTGATGGATACCGCATCCTCGCACATACGAACCAGTGATGTTACCGTTCATGTGGAAATGGATTGGGTAGCGACCAAGACGGAATGCCTGGCCGGCATGGGTCACCTCCACATACTCAAACCGACCTCGAACCAGATGCGTGTCCTGCTCTTTGGCAAAGAACATGATCTGTGAACCAAATTCATCAGTCACAGTTTCTGCACCAAAGCGTCCTTGGAAGCATGTCTGCGTGGCAAATTGATCTGTTACAAACAAGAAGAAACAAAGGTGAAAGTTTTCAGTGGGGGTACTAGGATTTTTACAAGTGAGTTGGGGGAAACACTGAGGACAAGATATCTTTCGGTCGGCTATTTCGTTTTCCCCATCTATAACTAAAATTGAGTCTCACCAGCACTCCAAAACTCAATCAGTTTTGAATCAATTTAAACTCATGACTTGGTGGCAAATCTTTACCTGGAGTGGGAATAGTAATGTAGATTGATGTATTGTCAAGGGACATCAACACCACGGCAAGGATTTGAATTTCGTACCATTTAATCTATAGTATAGTGACTTATTGGCTAGACCATGACATCTCTACAACAATGAATAAATAATAAGAATAATCAATGCTCTATACGTCTCTTTGCCTACATTGGATTTGTATAGTATGTTGTAACCTGAAAGCATGGTTATGAAAGATAAATGAATGTCACAGTCTGGTGTTTAAACACTTTAATGTTGGTCTGAAGGCCATGGGTTCAAGCTCTGGCACAGCACTGGTGTCCTTTAGTAAGACATCAATCTACACTTGCTACTCTACACTCAGGTGTTAAATAGGTACTGGTAAAAAGGGGATTCCTTGAATGCTGTGAGCACCCAAATCGGGAGCCTAGGTAGAGCCTGGATAATATTGAAGTGCTTTGAACACATGGTGGATATACTGTTCGTGTTATATAATAAACCATGTGACTTACTTGTATCAAATTCATCCGGGCATGCCTCTACTTCCTCCAGCCATTCCTCATGGACGGAGCCTCTGATCTTGACATTATGAGTGAGTAGTCCAACCTCTCCCCTGGTCTCCACCAGGATTCCATCAATCACCTGAGAGATGGAGATGTGCTCGTACTCCAACGCCGGGGTGAACTCGATCGTCATGTTGTCATTGGAGAAACCTGGAACAGAAAAATAAATAAAAAACAGTCATCTTTAATTAATACAAAACGTATATAGACATTTTTGCTTAGGTCAGGTTGTCTTTTGAAAGCCATAAGTACATTAAATCTGTTTTAAAAGATGTGAGTTATTGCCCTTCTAGCTTTGAGCAAACAAAGCTAAAAAATTATTACATAACTGCACTTCCTGTAAAAGATAGAAAATCCAAGCTAAATATGATTTATAAAGGTTGATATCAGCCCAGTCGGTAAATTAACATTAATTCTAACAATGTAAAATCTGAGATGTACGGCCCTTCGTGTTATGAGTGTCTGTGATATGGTGTTATATTGACGCCCTAAAAGAATTGCACTTCAAAATGATCAAGAAGTGTCTCAAAAAAGTAGGAACCTTTTGAGTGACCGGTTTTACCATACTCGTTTTCCCCCTTAGACTGTGGTGTTATGAAAACCGTTTGGCAAACGCAAAATTTGATTTCGATTTTGATTCATAAATATTTTGATAATCAGACAGGTGAATAAAAGTTATAGGGTTCCTGACTGACTTTAAGGTTTATAATTATAATTGCATGCAGCATGAGCTAAATCAAGGATTTTTTCAAAGGATCTAAGACAAAGTTACTGGATCCCTTTAATGCCCATTTAGCCCTTAACACACAAGGAGATCTATTTCCATTTTTTTAACAACATCTATAGAGCACCTCTACACAGGTGCCTCAGAGTCATTCCATATCATTCTTGATAACAATCTCCTCCAAACTTGAGGAAGTAGGCCTACCTGTGATTTCGACCTCTTCATTCTGAGTCTGCTTATGCCTGGTGCCAGTGGATGCAAGTACCATATGATCTCCGATCCTCCAGTTTACAACAGAATCCATGAGAGTGAGTTCAGTATCTCCAGCATTCACAGTCTCGGCTAGTCTCGACCAGGTGATGGGTGTCGGGATTCCTGTATACAAAGAGAGAGAGAGAGAGAGAGAGAGAGAGAGAGAGAGAGAGCAGTGGATTAAGGGGAGGATTCACACAAATAGTCTGCTCTGTATTTTTTCATTTCTGCGTACTATATTCAAAATTTCTGTCGGATACATTATTTTTGTAAAGAGAAATTGCAAGTTTAAAGAATAAATATAAATTCTATGTTAAGGTAAAAGTGACCTACTAGTCATTTTTCACCCAGTTGGGCATATGGATGCACATGGCAGTTAACTCCTGAGTCGGCCCATCATTTTCTCTCTATATTGTTATGTCTTCTAATATACAAGTCATTTCTTTTTTTATATTGATCCCATTCAACCCCTAGCACTTAAACAGTCAGTGCCATTACTCAATACACCAATGTACACCTGACACCTGCTATTGCAACAAAATTACGGGTCTTGTGCTAGTTCAAATTGCATGTATTATATATTGCAGGCTCAATGTATATGGAAGAAAAAATGCTACTTCAAAATATTATTTCCCATGGGTCTCTATGTTTATCATGATGTGATATTCGAGAGGTTAAAACATTTTCTAGAAATCACAAACGGTTCTTACCGTGCATATCAACTGTTCCATTTCTGACAGCAAACGTCTTGGCACCGAACAGAGGGAGTTCTACAGACCTCACATGGCCATGCATGACAACGCTTGCCTCGTGCTGGAATGGTTCTTCCTCTGTTCCGATCTCAAAGTGACCTCCGTCAGTAACGACCACGTACTCGGCGTGCAGTTCAATGTCGGCCTCATCGAAGATCATTTCACCACCTGCACAAGGAAGTGTAAAGATCAATCATAAATAGAAGTAATAAACTGTAATTTATTTTGAGCATTAATCACTGGATATACTCAAGTATTACCTTAATCCATTGACAACAGGGCCCTGTCTAACAAAGAGTTGATATCAATCGCAGCTTATTTGCAAGTGATATAAATCGCAACTATGTACATAAGAGATAGGAGTCTGCAAACTTGTGATTGATTGGAGGACTTGCAATTGATTTGGATCAATCGCAACTCTTTGTAAAACATGGTCAACATGCTCCGGCATAAACCGCTGGGTGCTTTCATTTGTCAATGATATAGATAGGGTAAAAATCAGGGTTGCAATTGGTAAAAGTATATTTTTCACTGATTGTGTAAAATGACCAATTTCTCAGCATATCACCATTCGGATGAACATCTTCAGTGCAATCTGAATATGATACTGAGCAGAGTCTACTAGGAATCCTACGTACCTTGAATAAGGAGAACTTTCAGGATAGGTGTGGTAATATCCAACAAGATTGTTTGACCCACTGGTATGATCACAAAGTCTCCCGCAACAGGTGGATCGTTACCACCCCAGGTGTAGATTGACGACCAGACGTCAATGTAGAAATAGTCAGCATTGTCCTGTATGAACAAATCAAGAAGAACATTTTTCATTCAAGAAATAGTTGTGGTCCATATATGTAGTTTATTTGCTGGTCATTTATCCAAGTCAATTAATGTAGACACCTAAATTCATATGCAAGTTCTAGTAAAGTGAATCGCAAAACTGTTCTTTTGTTTGCATACATAAATATAGCCCATGAATGATTTTTTTTTTTCAGGTGTGTTTTTGATTGAGCATGACCAATAAACTTTGAATATGAATGTGACTATTTTGAAGAGATCAAGGTAAATAAGTGCAATGAACAATCAGACTTTTGCAAAACTTCAACCCATCTCAGCCTCACCCCTCCCACACAAGAGAAACAGAAAATAAGAAGCCATTTAATCTACAATCAAGACCATGTTCTAACCTTAATTTTCAAATGCAAATAACAATCCATGTTAGAGTATAGTCACCCATTCATATATTGGGCTATTGCAGCCTTGATAAGCACTGTTAAGACCTAGATAATACTAACCTGAGTTGCGATGCCATCGGAGCCAACTTGAACTCTGACCTGTGACCTTATGGATGGTGAATGAGCACCGGTCTGGCAGGTGATCAATGTCGCACTCTCAGATAAGATAGTGCATGTCGTTCCAGCGATCGTTACCTCGTTACCAGAGTCCCTGTAATACAATGCAAGTTAATAATAATAATAATAATATGAAGAATTTATATAGCGCTTGTGACAAAAGTTTCAAAGTACGTACTGTACATGTACACAAATCAAAATCATAAGGTTGCAACATAAAGATGTTACATATAGGAGCTATTTTGTGGACGTATATTCAATCAGTAAAGCATCTCCCTGTAGAACTACATAGTATGTTTTAATCATGCTTATATGCAGATTATATTTTCTTCTTTAACTTTCATTAAGTATGTCATTTCAACCTTTAGCCTACAGATCTCTAAATTACAAGCAAGCAATTCCATATAATCTAAAGCAGGCATAATCCATGGAAACAGTATTATACTATTACAATCTATGATACGAGAGAAGAGATTTAGTTATTCATGATGGTATTGTCAAATGAAGCTAGTGACTAAGCATACCATTCTGTCATGGTGTGGAAAACTGCCACAAGAATAAATTAATTAAGCCACTGCGAGATCAAAATTGCAATGTCCTTCACATGGTTGTAACAATAAGGATTCTTTGTTGCACATAGCTTTTTTTTTCAACACCATTTGCCATATTCCATATATTTTGCTGAAACATTTGTTGTTGTTGATATAGCGCATGATTGAATGGGCTTTTGAGGAAAAAAAATGAAAAGTATTCTCAAAAGTAGCAATCATGGGAGATATTTGTTGTCACCCCCCCCCCCCCCAGCATATAGATAGACATAAGTTAACATAATAAATCACTGTCAAACTAACTGATCGGATGGTGTATATACTCACAAGAAGTCCTGACCAGTGATGGTAACCGTCGTCCCTCCGCCTGTCCCACCTCTAGCAGGTGAGACAGACTCTATGACAGGGGTCATATCACGTCGGTACTGGTAGGCATCTGATTGGGTCACCTCAGATCCGCTAGCTACACTAACTACAATGTCACAGTCAAGGGTGCTAGACGAATCTGGAAATTTAAATTTAAAATCAAGCATTTATTATCCATTCAGAAATTTGCTTTTCACTGGTAAAAAGTTTACAGATCAGTTTACAAAAAGAAAAAATCATAATCATAGACAATTACAGTAATGGTAAAATATGGTCATAACAGCTTTAGTTTGGTAAGTTACACAAAATTATTTTTGTACGATGAGGATGCGGACATAGCGAGAGAGTAGAAGAGGACCAAAGGTAGGCAAAGGAGGGGGGGGGGTAGAGCAAAGATGAAAAGAGAGAGTGAGCCAAGAGTCACAGGAAAATAAGGGTTTAAATACAATATTTGTTTCATGCAAGATAATAAAAAGCATCACCTTACATTATTCATGAAATAGGATAGAAAGTTTAAAAATTCTATTAACCTAGTATATGATATGAATTTGGTATGCAACATGCAATTTCTATACACATTTCTATTAAATATGTGCAAATTTCCCTGGCATAAATTATTGGGATATGCAGTGGGTTCTTAAAGTGCAAAAGTGGAAACCCTCCTCCAAGAGGGACTTCCATTTAGCATCCAATCCGAGAAATTAAAGTTCTAAACTCACCAGAATTTGCAGGCATATCACATTCCACAGTTGTCTCATTAGCATTGTACAGTAGACACTCATATCCACACACGGTGACCATGGTGGTCTCACTATCAAATCCTGAGCCTTCGATCACTAGAGTCTGTCCACCTCCAAAGCTTCCTGCAATGCACAGAACATCAATCAAAGATTACTCATACATGCGTGCATGCATAGCTATTACATAACGTCAGCTGCTGAGAGCCAGAATGGTGTTAAGTCTAAGTAAGATGATATGGATTAATGCCTATCTGCCACTCAAAAAAGACAAAATTATTTGTTTTACTATATATATATATATATATATATGACTGTTAGATTGATCCAATGTTGATAATGGATGACAAGGCAGTCTTTTATTTTTAAAGCACAAGCTGTAGATGAAATTATCTTGGGATAACTAGTATCATGCTACATAGATGATTGAAGAGTATTCTTAAATGTACAATGTATGACTGGAAAATGGGTTACAAAATGTACATTGAAGACGTATGTTGCACTGTGCAGATTTCAGATTAACTGCCTATTATTGTTGCAAAATGGCCGATGAGGCACTTCAGCAGAAATGGCAACTAGAGAGTTTAATGATGAAGCTTTTTTTAAGTGTATACTAGGAGGAACAACAATTACCTGTTGAAGGTGAGGTGGATGAAACGGTGAGCTCATACTCGAATGTTTCATCATTATCGGCATTGCCAAGTCCATTTACATGAATCATAACATCAAAGACACCAGCGGAATGAGCCCCGACATCACACTCAACCTCTGATGAGGAAGCACTCGTGATGGAGCAATCGACTCCATTGATGGTGACCGAGATGTCTGAATCAGTGTCGCTGAAGGCAGATCCAGAGATGGTGATGCTGGTACCAGTTTCTCCTGACCCGGGAGTGATGGAGGTCACTGTAGGTGTGGAGGATGAGGAGTAGACGTAGTCCTCTGCGTCATAGGTGACGCCATCGCTGGCAACCACAAGGTCATAGGTTCCTGCAGAGTTTGCAGGAGTGATGCACTGAATCTCTGAGAGGCTGATGGACTGGATGACACAGCTGCTGCCATCAATGGTCACTGCAGTCGCGCCATCAACGAAACCATTCCCGCTGATGTTGACCGCCTGACCACCTTGGGTGCTTCCGTCCGACGGACTCACCGAGAAGATGTTGGCCTCGCTTTGGACGGTGTCGTTTCCATAGAAGAACTGTGCAAGCCCTTTACCAGCGATGTTGATCAGAACATCGCGGGTTCCTACGGGAACTGCATCAACATCGCATTCGATCTCAGACTCACCGGCCGCAGTGATGCTGCAGGCTTCTCCTCCTATGGTGATGCTGATGTCATCAGTTATGGATGACAGCTGGGATCCAGTGAAGGTCATACCAGTGGTTCCAGACCCAGACACGGTTTCTGGCATCCAGCTTGAGATGTTTGGTGTCTGTGCCTCAGAATAAGTGAAGGTGCTGCCACCAACAGCCCATAATGAATTCACTTGAACACGCAGCGATTGTGCACCATACCATGAGGTCGATGGCGTTGTACACTCGATGTAGGTATAGTTGTAGAAGGTGATATCGCAGGAGAGTGACCCGATGTAAACCCCAATGTTACTTGGTGACGAGGGTGCAAAGCTATCACCTTGTATGCTGAGAGTGAGTCCACCCATGATTGAGCCATCAGAGTCAGACACAGAGTCAATCCTGGGGTACATCACGAAGGACCTGTTAGCTAGGATATGGGACTCCTGGATAGCAAAGCCTCGATTGGCAACGTTGACTGCAATCTCATGGTACACTCCAATCTAATGAAAGAAAAATATTCAAACAACCAATCAGTGAACATCGTTGCCTTGCAGCAGACGGTAGTTTGTTAACTGTTTTAATACTGTATCACTAACATACCATAACAATACTGAACTCTATAATCATACATGCTTTCTACAGGTGTATGTCACATCTGCTCTTTCACTCTTGCATTCTCCCATGACCTTGGCTTTCAATTCTTGGCCCTGTTTCATAAAACTTGATATCAGTAACAAGTTACAAGCTACTGTTATAAGCTACTGAAATCATAGCATCTGATTGGCTGAGAGCAGATTTGTCATAGAAATTCAGCAGTTGTTATAGATAACAAGTTTTATGAAACGGGCCCCCATGTCTTGTGATCAGCACTTACAAAAGCTACTCAGCTGATACGCACTAAACTATGGTTTGTAATAGTGTATGAAAGTAATTAATTAACAACATATTTTATAGCTATAGCTTGGGGATTTAAATAGATTAAACACTTCCCAAGTCATAAACTTCTAATAGTGAAAAGAAAAGAGATCTTATCCTAAGTAGAATCACACAATGGACTCAGCTGATCTGTGTATAAAGCAACAGTGTACATACCTCCATCTCATCCTGGGTATCGATTTCACATTCCACACGTGTCGCCGAGGAGGAGGTCGTCACGCATGGATACTGACCCACAGTGATAACATTAGCGCAGTCCTCATCACTGAACCCTGACCCTTCGATAACAATGGTATCGGAGCTATCCCCTATGAGAGGATCGATGCTGGATATCGATGGTGTCATGCACTCGTCGAAGATGAAGTTGAATTTGGTATCGTCAGTGATGTTAGGGGACGCCGATGAGCAGCCTGATATGGCAGTGTCCTCGTTGGAGCAACTACCACCAGTTGGGTCGGACTCTCCTTCATGATAGAAAAAAAACAGAAGATAGATCTGTGAGATAGGGCTTCAGTCTGCAAGTCACAATGGACATTAAAGGTCCGTCTTATAAAGAGTTATGATAGATTTAAATGGATAACACCTTCATATCAATTGCAACTCTTTACTAGGAGTTTCTAAGTTTGTGATTGATTTGAGGACTTGCAATCAATCTAGACCGATCGCAATCCTGGGCCTAGAGCCCTGTTCTACCATGATGGATGATGCTACTCCCTTCCATTCCAAAGCAGCAACATGTATACATAGAATGAATTAATGAGATACCTAAAGCACAATTAATTAAATTGACTTTAGTGTCTTGATTAGGGATGGGGCGACATATAAATAAGCCAGTTCAACGATATATTTGTAACAAAATATAAAATTGACTGAGACAAATACTGGATATATGCTCAATGGATATGGGCCCCATGGAAGACCACTATTGGTGAATGGGCTACCCTGTCAAAAGATTAGAAATAAATAAATAAATAAAAATAAAGTAGTAGGTTCCATGAATATCAAACTGATACTTGTATGAGCCTGTATTCAGTTTTGTACTCACGGTACATTTCATAAAATGTACAGATGGATATCGATTTCAAAGGAGAAAATAACAGATATTCTGGAATAGAAGCATCGGCCCTGTCACTTCCAATAGACATATTAAATTACCTGAGTTGACATCATGGTTAGCACTGTATCCTCCCAGCATCACATCAAGCTCCATAGCAACGGATGCTAGTGGCCGTACCTCCACGACTCCCTTTATGAAGATGGTCCCATCACTTCTGATGGCACCGCTGGAGTAGTAGTACGTTCCAGGAATATCAAACTGATACTTGTATGAGCCTGTTTGAGAGATAGGGCAATAAGCATTACCTTCATTTATGCATGAAATGAGATAGTAGATCAACTTGATGTTTAACAAACAGTAGCAATAGATCTAATATGTAAGTTCAGGTAATTACTGTACACTCTTAAAAATATGCATGTGAACTTTCTTGAAAGAGCTGGGAGAAATGACTGAGTCTTACTAAAACACTCTAGAAGCACATAGCATATAGACTGCATCCACGATCCACTAAAAGAATAGTACTATTTCCAGTTTTCATATTCCTCAAGGATTCAATGTTGCACATTACACACCTATTACTTCATGTATTACTTTAATTATATGGACCATACATTATGTAAACTGAATCAAATTGTAGAATGCAATCTTATTTCATTAGATATGGATGTGTCTGAATGGACCTATCAATCTAATCTCTCCTCCAATATCCCCATGTCAGAGCCATGCAGGAGGGTGTTCTTCTTCTTTACATGCCATGTCCTGAGATGTTGGCGACCATGGAATGCCACAACTCTCTGTCCCATATTGTATGAAGTAATTCAGTCTCCCTAGATCTATTCAACTTTCATAAATCCCACTCCTTAAGCTGCTCATCCACAGAATCCTCTTTCTACACCTGCTCCTCTCTCCCCTCTATTCTTACAGCCAGTGATTTTCCAAACCATTCTTTCGAATAACGTGACTGAAGGGTATTCATTCTGTGTTAAAGTGTATGAGTTACCTCTTATCATGCTAATCCCCATTGTGCCAAACCTCCAATCCCCCTTGCCAGGTTTATTTTGAGATAATCTGATTAATGCGATGATTCTATGAATAGCGCGTGCGGAACACACAGCACACTACAATGAGCATGCACAATAATTGTTATTAGGAATGCGTGCAAACATGCACAAGGCAGTAAAGCAATGGCTCGCTCGCATGTACACAGCACTATAACGGTAGCGTGCTTGCAGCCTTATGGCAGGCTATGAGTTAATGGTCTTCTGGCTCCTAACAGTGTCCTCTTACTCACCAGATGATGTGGACCTGCCTCCACTGTAGAACCCACTCCCATCGTAGCCCAGGGAGTCTCCATCGGCTGTCTGCTGCACGGCATAGCCAATGCCGCTCACATATGGGTCTACATTCCAAGACCAAGTGACAGAGTCTCCAGCAGCAATGGTCACCAGCTGGGGATTCCACTTGTAACCCAATCCATATTCTGAAAGAGAAGCCAATGGTCAAAGATGTGTTATTCAATGGACAGCATTTCTCTGATTTGATCCCTACAATGGTTGCAACTGATTGCAACCATTCACAGTGATATTGATTTATTGCGCAACATGACAAACTAAAAAATATAGACATGTGAAGTGTGTTTATTGCAGGTTAGCATTAGGAGATCTATACCTATAATCTATACCCCAACCGTTCCTTGCAGGTCATTGTGGGAAATTTGAAACTACATCACATATGATAAGTCAATCTTGAAGGAAGAAATGAAGCAAATACTATGATAATACAATAAATAAATTACAGTCGAGCCAGTTAATTCACAAGCTTACGAAACTCCTATTCCCTTTGAACAAATCTAATGATGCAATGTCAAGGCTAAAATTAATGAAAGAGGTAATATGACCTAAATTCACAACTAAAAGTCTTTCACAATTGTTCCCTTGGACTGCACTTACTGCTATGCTTTCCCATGTTGTCCACTTGGTGATCGACAGAAGAGCTTGACGTCGTACAAGTCAGTTCATCATCAGCAATATCAGTCACCTCACATCCAAAGGCTCCCATGGACACTGTGATGTTATCAGGGTCAGTACCAAAGCCTGCACCGGTCAGGGTGACCTCTGTACCACCCTGGAGGGATCCAGAGGATGGGAACATTCCAGTCACATCAAGGACGTAACTGAAAGGGTCAATGGCGCTGTGAGGAAAAGAAGAAAGAAAAGAGACGATGATAATGAGTAAACTCTTTTCTACTTTGGTCAACTTTCAACACTGCATCAATCAACTTCACTCAATTCGGCAGCCATAAGATTCAGTTCCTCGCAAACAAATGGTTGAAAAGATGGTGTTGGAGAAGGGACTGTTCTGGGCTCTAACTTATTTAACTGAGCTTACGATGTTGGTACAGAGTGGAGGGTAAATTTTTAGCAGATCTAGCAAATGAAATTCTGCAGAATTAAGTCATGAAGAGACCATCATTTATGAACAGGTACACAAATATTTAAACTTTCATGAATGTTAAGCTTACAAACAAAAACAAGTCAATCAGGATCTAAATTACGAAAAGAAGTAGTTGTTGCATATCCTGCTACACTTAATTAATCAACATGAAAGAACAAATATATATTTCATCAAGAGTATAAGAAACTACTAGTAACCTGGTATCAGCCAGACCAATGCCGTCAATCTCCACGTCCACTTCGTAGTCCCCGGGGACGTTGGCGGGTAAGACACAGACGATGGAGGAGTCACCCTGGGAGGTGATCTCGCAGGATGCAGAGCCAATCATGACCGAAGCACCACTGGAACCAAAGGATGAGCCAGAGATGGTCAAATCATCTCCACCTGGAAATTAAAAGAGGACTCAAAATGCTAATATTCAATTCTTTTTTTCATTTCATTTCATTTCACATTTTGATAAAAATCACAATAACAAACATTTACAATATAAAGTCAATTCTAACAAATAACACAATAGAACAGAAGTATCAAAATGTAGGGGGACAACCAAAGGCCAATTGAAGCCCTATCAAACGCGGGTCCCCAAACTATATAAATAATTAAATATAAATTAAGTGGTACAACAGGAAGACAGACAAAAACAAGGCAAACATACCGCTTTACAGACTCAGAGGGTGTATGATTTAATAAGATTAGATTTAAATATTCTTTTAAAACTAGATAAGAATGGGCGATACTTTATTTCGTTAATACAAGTATAATATATAATTCTTGCTTCTTCTATGACGCTCATGCAAGCATCAAGCATATAGCACTACAAAATTAACTTAACCTCCCTGTAGTAATGATGTTACCTTAGTATACTTCTCAAGGCATTTAGGTCTCATTACATCTAAAAATGACTCTCTACATCTAGGTGTAGTAAATGGGTTTTTTGACAGGCGTCTTTGACTTTCATAAGCATACATATAGTTCATCAGCATTCAACCCTGTACAATGTACAGAGCAAACTATATATCCCTTTACTATGAATGAATTGTTTTGTCAAGACCTCCTTGATCTTTCTTGATATCCTTAATTTCTTGAATCATTTATTATCTGTATCTGTATTTCTGTACTTATATATATGATTGTAAAAAGAAGGACTAGTAGGTTTTTTTTTTTTTTTATTGGAAATTAATAAACTGAACTTGAAATTGAATACAGATTGCGGATATTTCAAGGTGATTAGTTGCCTGTAAGTCATAAGTAAGCAGAAAATCCCAGATGAGAAGAGCATGACGATTTCTTACCCACAACACTGCTTGTTGCAGGGCTGAGGTTACTGACTGTTGGAGTCAGACTTGTATCAAACGTGAAGCCATCGTTGACGGTGAGAGGCATAGCTCCGTCGATATTGATGACGACATCTGCGTCGGTGGTCGAACGACGACGACGACGTGAGCCCGACTAAAACAGACAAAAGAACACTGGTTAGCAAGTCTTCTGTAATGTCAAGTTTGTGAATTGGAATATCTTAATGATTATTTAGCTTTAATAACTGTACACAATATCTTTTAAACAATACAATGGATATGAACCCCAAATTACCTGTCTTTCAAATCTAATCAAGGAAGGTTTATTTGGCATATCACTGTAACTTGGGTTGACCTATCAAACAAATTTGATTTGATGTGCCTGTCTAAACATGATCAAATAAGTTTGCATCACATCATTTTACATGTTAAATACTACCATAAAAGTACTTATGGATCTTGAAATATTGTAGTCAAGACTGTAAAACTGTCTTTTTATTATTATTATAATTCTATTCTTACCTCAACAACGATCACACACACGATCTCATCGTAGGATGCAGATATGACTTCACAGTTGTTACTTCCAATGGACACCTCGATGTCTCGGTCACCTCCGAGCCCGTAACCACTGATGGTCACTTCCGTACCTCCTGCTGCACTGCCCTCGTCTGGTGAGACGGTGCTAACATCAAAGGAGTACTCAAACTCTACTCCTCCTGGAGAGCCATAGAATGGAAAACACAAATGATTCACAAGTTTTATTCCATAGTTAAAGTTTCTGAACATAGATAGGCAACAGATATTTTGAGGCATGGATAGCCGATGCTTTGCAATGTGGCAAATCTGAGGATGACTTAACTTATTTCCAATTCAAACCAAAAGACTCTTCCAAAATCAACACTGGATTCAATCTCACTGGTACCCTTTAATGAGCTGTTTGTATGAAATGAACTCAGGTGAAACAAGACATGAATACTGAGACATTCAAGAAATATCATGTAGGGAACATTTTAGAGTAAAAGTTCTTTAGACAAGCGTCAGGAAAAGGCCATCGCAATTATAGCACTGAATTAAAAAAAAAGTATATCGTCTTTATTAACCTATTGTCTATGAAATCTGGTGGTCCATCTATTAAGCCTATGGGAATAAGAGAATTCAGTATACAGCGGGTTAAATTGAAATTGAGTCTAACCTGATGGAAGGGAGGCACTTCCCTTTCCGTCAATGACGACGGAGATGTTGTAAACTCCTCCCTGAGCTTGCCCCACATCGCATTCGATCCTCGTCGTATTCGCGTCCACGACCATGCAATCTGCTCCACCGATGGTCACATTGTTTTCAGCAACATCGTCGCTGAATCCTGTGCCGGTGATCACTACAGTGGTGCCGTCACTAGCAGACCCTAAGAATATGATGAAATAGAATGACGCTTTACATTACAGTCTGACAACAAAGTAGGCTACAGGGCATAAAATGGAATGAACTTTACATTATAGTTCTTTACACCCAATAAGTGAAATAAAAATCAACAACTGACAATTGATGCCTTCACTGAGAAAGGAAATCAACTAAATCAACTTTATATAATGAAATCACCAAATCTAAATCATGAATTCATTCCATATCTTGATCTGGATGCAGGGCCCTACTGGGCATAATCATGTCCGGTGAGAGAGGGCATGGCAGCTCTTAAGAAGAATCCGTTGATGGCCTTCCTGAATATTGTGTTTTCCAAGTCTTTGTAGGCAAAATTTGAAACAATTATATTTTTTGTCTGGGGGATCCACAAACTACAAGCACTGCTTTTTAGTGGACCCCCCCCCCCCCCCATTTCCTCAGAAATTAAGAATTTCTCGTAACAATTTTATTATGTGCAAAGTGTATTTGTATAGTTTCCAGAAATAATGAATTATGTATGGAAAAAAGTAATATCTTTGTTTACCTTTCTGTTGGAAAAGAAATAAATATGAATATGAATATATATGAATATGTTGAATTAATATTACAAATGTGCATGGCACTGCACTGCGTATATTAATAATCAACTTGACTAAATTGCAATAAAATATCCTCAAAACTTTGCAGTAAAATGGGTTTACCTGATGCAGGAGTGATAGAGCTCAATGTGGGTGTGGCTTCAGGGACGTACTCATAGGTACAAGAGTCACTCTGGCATGAAGATGGTATACCATTCACAATCACTTCCACCTGTTACAACAATCAATTATATAACTGGTTTAATTGAATGCTGTCAGACCATTGTGTACATTTGATTACTATCACAACTTTGTTTTCTTAGTACATCTATTTCAGTTAGTTTATCAGGCAGAGAATCAAAGAAGACAATTTGAGATGAAGCCACTTTTTTCGTAAACAATAAGTGTGTCATAATAAATTCCTGTTAACCCTAATCAACCTTCAAATTGAAAGTATCTACTGGAAATCCTAGTCAAAAAACTATTTTGTAACTAAACCTTTCATAAAACTTGTTATCAAAAAAACTGTGAAAGTTCTATAACAAATATGCAACGATATCATATTAACTATCTTAATTTTCAGTCTTATGAAACAGGGTATTAATAACAATAAATAGTAACATATCTCTTTATATATATGATTTACTGAGCTTCTTAAAAAAGCATGATGTTATTCACAAGGTCGACTCCTCACCTGTGGTTTATCGTTGACTGTCCTCAAAAACTCTCCTGGGATTCTCGAGAGGAACACAGAGCCCTCGTTGACACGAGTCGCGCTCACGTTGACCCATGTTACATTGTTGTACAGGTTGTTATCTGTCACCTACGTTGATACAAATTAAGAGAGAAGGAATGAGATTATCAATATGCATGATGTATCTGTCATTCCTAGTAATGTTAATTTATTGAAATGGCAATCAGTCAATTTTGACTAGACACACAATGAATTGAATTAGATTTTACAGGTAGTACCGGGTATATAGTACTGGAAAAGGCGTATGAAAAAAAAATTCCATTTAAAAAAATGATATACCGGTTAACATGTTGATGGAGAGAACACAGTAGAATTCATTATAACTCTCGACCCCAATATTGTAAACCAATTAACAGGGGTTCCCTGCACACAGAGTGAAACCCTGTAGATTTAAAACCAGGGACCTGTTTCACAAAGCCTTTTTTCAATGACAAATAACAAAAATCTGTGACAAATCTACAGATACCGGTAACCAATCAGAAGCATGGATTTCAGTAGCTTATAACAAAAACTGTCTTTTGTCACTGATGACAAGTTTTGTGAAATGGGGCCCAGACATCCTGTCAAAAGGCTTTGTCTGGAGCCATGTAAGTTGATTCAATACCTTTAGAAGGTAATTATCAAGAAGTTTGCTCTTAAAAATAGAATTTCAGATGTCTCCATCCATACCTGCAGTAATCCCTGACTGCCTCCTTTGCTGTCCCACTTGATGTTCCAGCTGTATCCTGTACATTCACCAGACCGGGTCACCGAGAGGTCGCCTACATCCAAGAACGTCTCTAGAATATCTTTCATCTGAGAGGACGTGCTCTGGCCACTAATACCTGTAGCAAGAAACAATAAAAGAATATTTATTTTTGTTTTCTTTATTACTTTCTATAATTAGTAACATTCCAGAATATCCTTCAACTGAGAGGAAGTGCTCTGACCACTGACACATTTTTGACACAGTAGAACTTATAAGAGGCCAGAGTTTTCCGTAGGGGGGGGTAGAGTAAGAATAAAGTCTCCTCGATCCCTGTATGATCTTCAATCTCCCTAGATTTTTGTGAGGCACTTGTGTAAAATTGAATGCAAAAGCCTAAAACCTCCTAATTACCCACCCCTCCCCCCCCCCCCCCCCCCCCCTTTAACAAAAAACTTCTGGAACTGCTCCTGATTTGACAGTGTAAATTTATGAAGTATATATAAGAAAGAAAGAAGAATAAACTATATGGTACGGAAAGAGAAAGAATATTCAAAAAGATTCAATAAAAGGGGCACTTGATAAAAACAGAAAACCTGATGGAACCTAATGGAAAAGCTGGATTGAAAGATAGTGAAAAAAAAGAAAAATAATAGAGGTAGGAAAGATGAGAGCTACGGCCGGGCCGGGGAAAGAAAACAACAAAAAAATGAGAAAAAGACAAAACAATTTCAGTAACAAATTGAACTTGAAAGAGAGAGAAAGAAAAGAAAGAAAGGAAGAAAGAAAGGAAGAAAGAAAAAAAGAAAGAAAGAAAGACAGAAAGAAAGAAGGACTAGAAATGCAATCGTGTCACAACGATGTGCGTGCAATGACGCCGTGTTTCTACATGTCAAACGAAAGAGCTTCTCTCGGACTATCCAGAGCAATTTGCACGAAGTCTGTAGCTTCTGTGATATTGGAGATAGGTAGGGCGAAAGAAAGGCATCAACAGTGACCTTGATGGGATGGTACTATGCCTACGAAGTTTGAAAGAAATTGGGATAGGGGAAAGAACCTAGAAAGGGCTCGCAAGCACTGCGTGTACAAACCAATGGGATTTGGTGCATGTTTGACATTGCAATCAAGTTCGTTGTGGGGGCCAAAAGCGTGAACCCGATATGCCCCATAGACAATGCGTGTAATGAATGGGCGGAAAACGTGCAGGATCTGTATTATGGCCGGAGTTAAATTTTTTTTTCTCTCTCTTTACGTCTCTTTATTGGCCGTATTTGGTATCATTAGAAAGAGAATTTCATGGTTGTTATTGTAAACCACTCTCTTTTTTTCTATGATAATCCTATCGAAACACGTGATGTAAAATAGATGTATAGGACAAAATGGCGTCTTAAATGGCCCCCTTGACCAATTTCAAAAATCCGGCCAAGAGGTGCCCTGCGTATTGGAACTCGCCATGTCACTGCAAATTTTCAAGGAAAAAAAAGGACGTTTAAGGGGCGAAAAGCAGTCTGAAAAAATGACGTCATAGCCGAAACGTGTTAGGTTCGGGCGGAAACTCGGCGGAATTCGTGTAGTGATCTTTGTTCAAATGCGATTTACTCACAATTTTCTGTGTGAACATATATAATACTTGGTATCATCCGAAAGGGCTCTTCATTGCGGTCAGTTTGACACCATTGTTAACTGCGCTCAATGTATTGCGCGCATTGAACGCGCTATTACGTAATCCATAGTAAATTCATCATTTTGGGCGATAACTTTGCGCTGACATATTCGAATTTTACCAAACTTAGTAAACAGTTGTCACGTATATGGATACATATGTCTGCAAAGTTTCATTGATGTAGGTATAACGATCGCTATTTTAGAGCAAGTTGAAGTTATTTCTCAATTTTCTTGAAAATGGCGAATTTGGAGGGCAATTTTCTCAAATTTGGTAAGTGATAGGGTATATAATTTTGTATAAGGCTGGAAAGGGCATATCTTCAAGTATCTAAATCCAAAAAAGGGTACGGGTTTGCCAAGACATTATGGAGATACGGCCACAGACAGAAAGCCAATTCCCAGAACTTTAGAGGGCGCTATTTATGTTTTGCATAGTCATTGGAGCATGAAATTTGGCATGGCTATGTGCAATTATAAGATAAGGATAATGTGAGATTTAAACACAAAACGGAATTTATATGAGAAAGTTATGGCAGTTTTAGATTTTTAGGGGTCCATTTTTCAAGAATTTGAGAGATTTTTGACGGAGTCAGTTTCAGATTTGAATTTTGAGTACGAAGATGGCATTTTGAAGGTCAGGTCATACGTCGCAGATGAAAGAACATCTATTAGACTATCTAGAGGAATTTGTTAGAAGTTTGTAGAATCTAGGATAGTGGAGATAGGAAGGAAGACAGAAAGGCCTTAAAATGGACCAAAAACGGACAAAATGGCGCCTGGACGGTTATGCATGAGTGATTTCGAAAATCAAAGAATGTAGTGACCTTGATGAGATGTTAGAGACCATGCCTATGAAATTTGAAAGGAAAAGGACATGATGAAAGCACCGAACCAGGAATAACAAACACTACGTGCAAAACGAATGCGATTTCCTGACGATAAGGAACAGGAAAAGGAGGAAAAGGAGAATATTAATGGGGCAGAATGTGAACGAAAACAAGGCAATGACGAAGGTTCGTCATTGCAAAAAGTCAAGAAAGAAGGAAAAGAAAGAAGGAAAAGGAAAAGGAAAAGAAAGAAGGAAAAGAAAGAAGGAAAAGAAAGAAAGAAACATTAAACAAAACAAAACAAAAAAGAAAAGAGCCATTCGTTTCACTCACCATTCACGACACTGCCTCCTTCCTGAGCGAGATTGAAGGTACCATACACCGGGGGAGTAGAGCGCTGGACTGACTCTACCGTCACGCTGGCACTATCCTCCCACCTACGGCTGCTGTACGTGACGAAGTCGCTCCCAGATTCAACGTACCCGTCATTGATCTGACCGCCTTGCACCCCGATGAGTGGGAAGTTGTGACCGCACTGGGAGGGCTGGAGCTCGATGGTGTAGCCGTTGGTGGTTGATTCCACCGAAGCATCGAGAATGAAGTTATCATTGGGTCGAGCAGCTGGTACACGAACTCCATCTTAAGAAAGATACACAACAAGAGTGATTTAAGTACCTATATACGGACGACTTGAATAATAAAAAGCCATCTCGCCGATCAAAATGATGTGTGTCGATGGAGAACTGTAGCCATGGCACACCGTCGATCTCTCAGTCAATGTTTACCTACAAGCCAGGGATGCTGATTTAGCCGCCCCCCCCCCCCTTCCTCTATTTTCGCGATTTCGGGTCAAAGGTCCGGGTGTTATGTAACATTTTGCGGTCGCGTACGCAAAGAGTTTTTAGATGCAAGTTTTATGTTGCATTTTTATACCCATCTTTTCTCATGTACTGTAAATAAACTTATTGCATATTCTCATTTGCATGAAACAATACAAATAAATCAAGAATATTACAAAGAAAAAAAAGATAGGAAACTATAAAACGAAATCAATTTTCATTATTAAGACAAAGCGGGGGGGGGGGGGTGTTGAAAAAATGCTCACTACCCACCCCCCCCCCCCTCGACCGGCACTCCAACATAAGGAAGTGAAATTTCTTTCACGACTTCACATGAAATCATCGCCAAAACACGACGTGTTCATGATATAATATATGACATCATAATTATTCATAAGTTGGATAATTAATTACCTTTTTTTTTCAGAGGTTTCGTTAATATAATCTTAGCATGTATATTGTACCATGAACACAGTTTTGTTTCATAACAATCAAAATATATAAATAAAATACCCCCCCCCCCCCCAAAAAAAAAAAAAAAAAAAAATTAAAACAATTCTTGCATAATTAATTAGCTCTAATTAGCATATTCTAATTAAAAAAATATTATAACGATGCAATATTGTAGATCTCATTGACATCTATTACCACGCCAAATTTGGAGTCGATCAGAGTTTCGGTTGCCGAGATCTTTTGGTAGACCCTTTTAGCCCACCCCCCCCCCCCCCCAGTTTGTTAAAGGTTCGAAATAGACCAGCTTTTTGAGGGTTAAATTTAGCCACATCTGTCAAGGTTGAGGGAACACCGAATAAGGAGGAAGGGGAAGAAATGCAAAAACTGATGCGCGTCGCACAGGTTGATGATCGTCACATGCACCTGCGACTGGGGCGTGGAAGCCCAAGAGCCGGGGGGGGGGGGAGGGGGAGGCATCCAGGTGACGGATTGCCGCCCCCCCCCCCCCCCCCCCCCCACTGCAGTTGATGCTTTTGATGATTTCTTAGCATTACTTAATATAACCTTCAATTGCTGGGTAAGTCACTAACTTATTGGCTCAGACCTAAACATTTAGATTAAATGAAAAGGCTAGACTGTAAAAAGAAAGACTGTTAAAGCTTACACGAGTCGTCTTTGACGCCGATGAAGATGTTATCAACCCAGAAGTCTTGGTCTGTCTTCTGGTAGAGCCTGATTCGTTCCAGATAGACACCAGTTCCAGAAAGCATTTGGTCTGCAAGCCACGACTGTGATATCGTATCCCACAAATCTACACATGTATGCTGCCAGCTGAAAGTAAAATATATAATTTAACTGTGTTACTTTCAGTCTAATATGTGCGTCAAGAAATGTTCGTTTATCTGGCCTGAAGAGTGGAAAGCATGCATAAAACACAAATAAAAATAAAATTTGAATAATTTTTTCTTACCTTATTTCATAAAATGACAGGGGCAATATAATATTTCTGGTGAGATAAAGTTGTTATCTTTTACACGTTCGCAGAACTTTATTGATCAGTTTAAAATATTTAGGAGATTTATCAAGAATAAACCTTATTGTTCAAATCATTTCGTGAGAAGAGGTAAGAAGAATAACATTATTCCCATTTTATGACCAACAGTGTAATATTATTTTGTACATACTTGCTGTTCTGTATGAAGTCGGCAGAGATGTACATTGCGTTGAATCGACTGGCCTTGCTTGAGTCAATCCAAGAAACCCAGACGTAGAACCATTTCTCGAAACCAGTCCCACGATGTCCCAAACAAAACTGAAATGAAAACCAAACAATATAAATAAAACATTTAAAAAGAAACTTAGGCTATTGTTTTTGTTCATTTTTGTTGTCTTTTGTCGGTTAGGTCTACGATGATAAAAGCTCACGTTTTAGGGCAGTGTTAGGTCTTTTGAATAAAATAATTAAAAAAAGTCTCGAACAAGTTAACCAAGGGGGGAGGGGTCTTCCGATTTTCAAAGTTGTCAACAATAATTTAAACTGGTCGAAAGATGTTCATATTACCGACAGATTGAGGTTACAAACACTATACGAGCAAAAATTATTGGGTTTCCCGGTGAGCCTCTAAAATTAATTTTTCCTTGCTTGTCATTTATTGCCTTAATGTACCTTGCTTGTGTATCTCAGGTCGACGCTTGAAACAGAGCCGATGACACCAGCGAAAAACACCCACCAAGGATTACGAAGCGAGGTTCGTCCACAGAATGGCTCCTGATCGTATACACGTGTTCCGTACTCGTTGCCCACGGCGGCGGACTCGTAATCCACGGAATAATAAGGTTTTCCGCTGCTGGTCGACTCGCATTGAACAGTGATCATATCCAGAAAGGCATCGCGAACCTGGAGAAGGTAAGAGATTTATCTCATTAGGAACTTTGTCAATTCAAGAACTTCAGGTGCACTTTGCACAAATAGGCTTAAGTTCATAAATCCCCGGAGGAATGGAAAAAAACATTTGCTGCGACTTGGAACCTTTAAGTCGATTTTCATCAAAGATACGATTCAGTTATTATAAAAACCAAATTCGTATGTATCGTGGTCCATTTCAAAACATATCTATTCATTGGCATCATCTCGGATCATTAAGGGTCCTAAAACAAAAGTCACCAAAGAGCTGGAAAAAATAGAGATTAAGAGAGAAATAAACTGCTTCCAAGGTGGCGTAAAAAGCTATTATTCCTCGTTCTTATTTTCTATGCTATACTGTATTTGTTTGTTTTGTGTTTTTTCCCTCTAGCTACTTCTGTCTCTTATATACTTACATCGTCAGTTGACGAATCGAATGTCAAACTATCAGATAAACGTCCGCCATAGAAGAGTCTGAAACTAGACGGAGCAGTACCATTCACTACGCCAGTAGCTACTCGACTGATGTTCACTCTAACATTGTCAGCCCAAGTGGCATCTTCAATGAGAGAGAAGTTGCCTGCGGAGAAAATAACATAAGTATATATATATATTTTAATTAAAGTATTATGATTATCACCGTCAAGTATTTGGCGTCACCTGCGCCTGGGAAGGGAGAAGCGAACTTAATCACTGTTAAAAAAATGTAATGTACCTTACGAGATAATGATGAACAATAAATCATTTTCGACTGCACATTTATTAAATCTATTTCCGAGGTTCTGCAGGGAGGGAATATCATTAAAAAAGTTAGTTTTTAAAATACCATAAGTATCCCTGTTTCAAAAAAAGTGATGATATTTGTAAGAAGAGGCATATTCTCAAAGCTCATATTGATATGAATCAATTTGCAAAAGATTATTAACTAAATAAATGGATGGCTAGCGAGTTTATCTGAGTTACTGAAGGTCACCGTTTAGAAAATCGAAATTTTGAAACACAAAAGAAACCGGCGTAGTTTAAATTATGTTGCCTAGGAGTATGGAAGTCTGTATTCTCTAATATCAACATCTGCTAAGAGTCAGATCGGTGTTAACTTCATGTAAAATGATATCATCAAACACCCATCAGACTCTCAGCAGACTTAATATGAAGAAGTTTATCCTGGAAATTCTGGGTAACATTTCACGAAATCGTCATAAATAAAAGTTAACCGACATCACTTTGAGACGCGACTTAATTAGTTGACGAGTTTCAATTGGATGTCGGCGTACTGTCTTGTACTTGTGACGGTTCCGTGAGATTATGCTTTAAAGACGCACCTATTTAACATTTAATTCATCCATTTTGTCTGTTACCCAGTACATCTTGTCATCTTGTCTTTGTATTCTGTTGTGTTTTTCTTTAGAGCGCTTAGGGACATGTTTTAATACTATGACATGCGCTATACAAGAACGGTTAATTATTATTCTTATTATTATGCTGCTTTGGAAATCTATCGCTTACCATAGCTGTTGAACTTGACCCTGTAGACCGTCACATCACCCTCTTCGAATGCAGTCACATTGACGGAGAGGTTACCGTAGGTCATGTTACCAGACGATGAGTTACCAAGAGGTAACATGTTCAGGGCATCTTGCACTTCCATCGCTGAGGCACCGACTTCGATATCATCTGCAGAGTCGGAAGAAAACAGAAGATTAAAACAAATTACGATGGAACGAAATAGTTTTCGCTTACATGGATGACTCAATGAAGCCAATGTATGTCATTTCGATTGCGTCTTTCCATGCGCTAATCTACCCTATAACTCTACGTGATGCACGCACTATTTTGACATACATTTCTGTACGATGCGGCTCTTTTTAACTATGTGCTGTTATATAATTTGACATTCAATTAATTCTACTGACTTTAATTTTATTCAACAATGAATATTCCGCTATAAGCATTTTCATAAAAAAACAAAAAGTAATACAACATGCCCAGAAGATCTGCGCCTAAAATGTTTACCAATCTCTCTCTATCTCTATCTCTTGGAATATATCTCCTATGATTTCTATCTGTTGTCCCTTATATACATAGGCTACTTTTCGCTCGTTTCCTATATATGCCTGCAGAGTTTGACGCATGTGTCTATGGTTTGACGTACCGGTATAGAATTCTCTGTAGTTGAGACGGAAGTAGCCAATGAAGCCACTGCCGCTACCCTCCGTGCTATTCTCTGTAGTCATGGTCATCGTGGTACTCTCAGCGGTGGTCATATTATTTTCCGTGGTGTTGATCACCATGTTAGCCATCGAGGTCATGGTGAACTGGTCGTCATCGTCCTCGCAGAAGATACCGGTACAACCGATGCTGACGCGAATATCCTGGGTCTCGTAGAGACCGCTTCCATATGTCACGGACTATGTAAAAAGGTAGCACAGAAAGGGGTTTATAGATGATGATCATCATTATCGTTTACATGATTTATAGTGATGAAGAAGATGATGATCGTGAGGATCATAATGATAATGATTATGAGGACTAAACTACCATTCTGCCACTCGTTTCTTTGTGGTATATCGTCATTGTGCCTTTTTCTGTTTCTCTTCTTCTCATGTTTTTGTCACTCTTCATTTCTTTTCCATTCTTTTACTCTTATCAATTTTTTGTAGAGCTCTGATAAGTTAAAAGTTAGATATGACCGAGAACCTGTAACTCAATATTTATATAAATTTGCAGATAACTCACTCATATTTCACTATCATTATTTCATTAAGGTCAGCTTTTCCAACTTACGAGGGAATACTGACTTTTGCGTCATTTCGACACTTCTTCCCACCACATCTTCTTGTCTCAAGTATCTTCCTCATTTAATAAGACCAACCTTACTACTTTCCTTCTTCACCATATCTTTCCATGAAATCTTCGGTCTTCCTATCCCTCTTATGCTATCCAATTCGCGCTCTTTTCACATGTTCATAATCTTCCCTTCTCAGAACAAGACCCACCCATCTTAATCCATTTCTATTTACCACTTCCATCACAGTTTCTTTCAGACCCAACCATTTACAAGAGGTTTTCCTCAATGTCTTATTAGGAAAGTCCTATTACCTGATATTCGTTTTTCACATCTGAAGAGATTGTGATGGTCTGTTCCTCACTCGTCGCTCCGTCATACTGTGAAGCAATGATGGCCGTGTCGTAGAAGAAGACACCGACGTACATGTTATCCCCACCGGTGTTGTCTCTCATCCGTGACTCTAGGTAGTAGTACTTGCCGCCTTCCAGAAACATCTTATCTGAGATCTGTCCGTCGAACCGAAAGAAGCTGTTGGAATACGCCTGGCTGTTAGCGATCTCCACCTGGGTATTGGAAATATTAATAAACTGTTAAAATAATGCCAGAGGTATATCCCAGTGCATTTGCGATGGAAATAGCATTGTCTGCAAAGGTCCGTCTAAATTGCAAATGGTTATACAACCGACTATCCTATATCGTTATGGTAAATATTTGAATTGAGACTGCTATATGACTGTTCATCCATAAGTACTCGGATCCTTATCAAGATACTAATTCACTTTTATATAACGGTACAAACGCCACCGGGAACATGCCTTTATGAAGCCGATCTTTTTAAAAGCGGAAATATTGGGAATGTATAGTAGCTTAACATGTCAAACCTAGAATGTTATTAGATTGTCACCAAATTGGAGCGACTGTTTCGGGGTCAGCAGAAAGTGCGACCGATTTGACTAGAATTGAGATGAGAATAGCGGAGGATTTGATGCGCGATGCCTTTTCCGTCGACATGCCCTATACGAGACGTCACTTCGAATGCGTTTTAACCTCTGCTTGTATAATTATGAAGTCAATTAACGAAAGCAATGATTGCAGTGTGTTGCATTCACACAAATCAACGTCAACATTCTTAACTCGTGTGTACTATACTTTCACTGACCATGTCGGCAGGGTATCTCGTCTGACTGAGGTAGAGAGCAGAATTGTCGTCACTTTGGATGGCCAGGGCGTAGTGACCATCGGAAGGAGGAACGAAGAACCCTCTGAAGCGAGAGATGTAGTTATCGAACTCTCCGCAAGGACGGTCCTCCGGGGAACTGGCGAATGGACGGATATGGGAGCAGTAGTCGGAAGCTGATGTGTTGAAGTCCGAATCGACACTGATACTGTATATGCAGTAAAAGAAGGTATACACGATCTTGAAAATATGGAACGATAATCATGTACGGCGTACATACCAAGGTAGTACACGAGTAGACAATAACGTGTCAGAGAGTATAGTTGGCACAACCTATACATAGAGAATTACTCTGTAGTTTTGAGTGAAACATTATACTTCCATGTGGACACCCCCCCCCCCCCGGGCCCCTTGGAATTACAAAAAAAGCTACCTGTGTGCTCTCAGCCTTCCAAAAGGACGTATATAGATTTTGAGGGAGAGGAGCTAGAAAAAGGTACGGAAACTGATAAGACACAATTAAGATACTTAGGGGTGGGGGGGGGGGGGTTCCAGATAGCAATATTATATTTGGCCACCTAGCTAAATCGGCCATGGTCGACACAGTTCCAGTCGAGTCGACGTTGGCTGAGCGCAAACACTGGGCTGCTGGCTCAAACGTCAATTTTCACTATTGAACCATATTAGTGGCCTGATGAATAAAGAGACGCCAGCTTATTAAGAGACAGTCACACTAATAGACGAATATATTGTCCCCGTGTATGCCAGCGTAAAGAAAATATATGGCATTGGCTTGCATACGCTGAAGTTCGTTGAGAAATTGATTTGAATTCGTCTTTATTCGTTTTAATAAGTTCCACTACTATGCTATTCGCTGGAGATGCATGCTCAATTTTTTTTGTGGACGTGGGCCAACGAACAGTGAGTTCGCTCTTCTTGCGACGTTGGAACGACTTAGCGCAACGCTGGCATAATTATATGAGATGCTATATGAGTAATTACTGTTCCCCTATATCATGAAATACGTCTGAATGTTACACGTACTCTCCATCTGTTTCATTCCAGACTTCTCGGGTAATTCCACGGCTACCAGGGAATACTGTGGCATTGACGTGAAGGATGTTATCATCAGCAGGATTGGTACGACACAGGATCTCGGTACTGCTCACGTTGTAAATATCACAGGGAACACCTTTAAAAAAAAAACGTTGCGAATAAAATGATAAAAAACAACACAATAATCAAGAAGAAGAAAAAATCACACAGTGTGAAAGAACATAGCATTATAAATAACAGGGAACGTTCCGACATGCAAGAGTTTTCTAAACGGCATGTGTGTCTCCTAGCTAGACTACTAAATATATATACTCTCTGCATCTTTAATAGATAACCAAAAACAAAACGTTTAAGGCCTGCCATTCATTCATATAACCAGCTTATAGTTTCTGAGGCAAGGTAGTAGTAATTCAGAATGTTGTTCTCGATTATCTAGACTAGTCTAAAGTAGAAAAGTCCTAACATGGGTCTGGGAGAACGGACTTAACCTACCTCCGATGTATACTGCCAGATCTGGATCAGTATAGTCAAAGTAGCTTCCTTCAATAACTACATCTGTACCACCAGACAGACTGCCCTCTACGGGGGATATGCTAGAGATATCTGCAGGAAAGAAAAACCAGTGTCATTGAATTCATAGCAGGGAGGTGAGACTTTAACTCACATGCCCTGTTCATAGTATACATTTATGAAAGTAAGCCCAATTTTAATACCTTTATGGAACATAATATAGTATCTAAGCACTCACACCTTCACTATCACAATATCAAAATTAACACGTACATTCGTATTTACAAATTACATTAGCTATCAGTATCAAGTTGACTTAGGTTGTGTACAATATTAATCTGCAGTAGAACGTAATCTGAGAACTTCCCTTCGAACGTATGAACGTTAAATGTATATAGATTATTATATTGTTCGTTTGTAGGTCGTCCAATATTCCACGACAGGTTCTTTCCAGGGAAACGTCATTAGTTTTTCATTCTAAAAAGTTACAGAACATCGTTCATAAAAGCTTGAGAAAGGGCATATTGGTGATCCCTGCCAAATCCTGCGATGTTTAACCATTTCTCTTCTCATGATTATGTTTGTGAAAACTTGTATATACCAAAGAATATCTATATCCTTATTTACGAGAAGGTAAGTCGATGGGAAACCAGAACATACCTGCGTGGGTCTGGTAATGGTAAAGCTTGTGCTCTCCGCTGACGTAGAGGGTGTTTGTATCAGACAATGATCGACCGTACTCTCCAGAGACGAGATATGTCAGACGGTAGGAACCTGAAAGAGAGAGAGAGAGAGAGAGAGAGAGAGAGAGAGAGAGAGAGAGAGAGAGAGAGAGAGAGAGAGAATAAATTTGACTTTCATTAAAGATATCAGACAACACAGCAGTGGCGAACGTACGGCATGTCCCCCTAAAAGAAGGTAAAAACCGTTCCTACACTAATACCACTACTATCTATAAGATGCCAATCGAAGTCTTTTTTCTAAAGTTTGCCAACTAATTTTTTATTTAAAGAGAGAAAGACAGAGAGAGAAAGAGAGAGAGAGAGAGAGAGAGAGAGAGAGAAAAGAGAGAGAGAGAGGGGGGAGCAGCGGTGTCATAGTGAAAAAAGGAATTCGGACAATTTTTCCAACAAGGGAAAGAAGTAGAAATGAGAGTTGATAGCAAATCAATCGTCAATAAAATAAAGGGTCCTGAAGTTTTGTAAAGTTTGTCTCTGCCGAAAAAAACGTGACGCCCCTGTGATAATTACTGGAGAGAGGGATAAAGAAAGAAAGAGGGAGAAAGTTGGGTAGTAACAAGGCTTTGACGAATAATTAACATTTCATGAAGCATTTAAGTTAGACGAACGTCACCAAGCTATATCAATATACCTGCAGTGTGTTCGCAAGCGTGATCAATATAGTTAAGCAACCAGCTATTTTGAGGCACCAAACAATACAAAATCTTCAGAACCTCCTGAGCAAGTATCAGTCGATATTAGATTAAGTGTCTATTCGATCAATAATTTTTCTCGATAGGTTCCGAAGAGGGGATGTGTGGAAATACAATATAAGAATTCGATAATCCGCTCTTAATGTACGTCATCGGGAGTTCCATAATAGAGTCAACGAAAGCGAAGCCTTTGCAATTTCAATGAGCCCAATTGCCATGATTGTTATCTGAAGTTATATAATTGGAGCTGGAACAGACTATCTTATGGCAGGGACCAGGGGCCGGGTGTCCCTTCTGTCTACACAGCGACCCAGGCCCAGGTTCGAGCTCGAGTGCTCTATCGAAGGTTGACGAAAAAAGTTCACCCCCGAAATTTCAATAATCAGATGTGATTGATAAACGTTTTAAAAAAAAGCAAATATACTATACTAAGTACTAATGAAATTAATACCTAGAATAAAAATTGTTTTTAAACATCAACCAATTCTTATTATATTAAGTAAACAGATTATTCTCATTAAAATCTTCTGTTTACTTAAAAGTTTACGTATGCCTACATCAAGGAAATGATAACCAGCCACTACTGTCTACTTTTAACGCACGTGTTTGCATAACCATCCTTGCATAACCATACACCTGTCTTATACAAACACAGTTGAGCTTTCATTCAAAGATAAATCGGAAATACAATTGCCAAACGAACCTGTCCGTCACGTACTGCTCTCAAGAATAAAAGGTAATTAAAAAGAATTACAGGGTCCTTCGTGACGTTTTTGTTTTCCTTGGATTCCTATTGTCGGGTAAGAAAGTCACAACCGTAAGTTCTTTAGAACCAGAGGTCACACTTAAACAATATTCTTTTTTATCTTGGGAGCAACCAAGGACATGGAATACAAACAGATTGATTTTCAGGTACCTAACAACGGTTCCTTTGCCAAGTGACATAATTTCAGCACTTCTTACTCAAACGCTAAAAAGATCATCTTCATGCCAATGGAGAATGATCGTTATCTCATTTCAGAAAAGCCATCTTCCTACTGAAGTCTCTTGTCAATTTAGAGTCTGCAATTAGGCATTCAGGTGGTCGGGTTGGGAATGAGTACACAATTAGCCAAAGAGATTTGTTTGCATTAGTATCATTGAGGTGTTAATTAGACCATTAGACGGGCAGAGTGGCGGAAATGTCATTATTTGATTTCAAGGCATCGTTTCGCGAAACCGTAATAAGATTGCCGACATCCCAATGATGTTTATAGCGGTTTTGTGAAACGCGACTCAGATTGATTCTTCCGCTGATGGTCATTTTTAATGTCCTTGCAAGACAGTCACCTTCAGATAAATCAATTAAAGATGTCAAAAATGGGGAAAACAGGGACCAAGATTAATGTTTAACCAGTTGCTCCAGTTTCACATGAGTTTGTAGCTTTGTCCAATGATAATTTGGTTTTTATTTCTTCTGCTGTTCAAATAAAATCCGGTACTGAACAAATAAATAGGTGGTTGTAGTTTTTAACGAGTGTATATCGTATGAACTTACTTGACTTGAAAAAGGAAGACAGGGAGAAGGGACAGGAAGAGAGAGAGAGAGACAAATACAATGACATAGAGTGAGGGGGGAGAAGAATAAACGGAAACGAAGTACGGAAGGAATATTATGCAAACAAATTTAAGAAGAGGAGATCGACGCTTACAAAGAAGAACAACTAACTATAAAGTTATCAACGAATAACGGAAAGAGCGAAGAGAGAAGAGGCAATGGAAAAAAAAAGAATCAAGACGAAGAATATGATAGGGAAATATCACTTAATGACACTGAGAAGTGATGAGAATGTGGAAAAACAAAAGATATTACAAAATATGGTAAAACATGACAAGGATACCAAAACAGAAAAATGGATAAAGGAATGGTTATGTAACATACCAACAAGAGTAGTCGCGGGTCTGCACATGATATTTCCCCATTCTGAGTCCTCATCATCCAGCTCTATACCATATCTAAGTAAAAGACAAACATCATATTGGATAATCGTGAGGAGCTCTGACAAGTTCAACTATGAATGCAATTAATTTCCTGAAAAGTGAATAAAAAATATTTAAATAGTCACATAGGAATAGCTGAAAGTCAAAGAGACTTCGTAAAGATTATGAACCGAAATCTTAAACAACTAAAAGGAGAGTCATTATGATCGACCCGGCCCGGAAAATGATATTTTTGAGAGTTAACTATTTCCAGAATAGCCAACTACGATTTTTTCACATTGCTACTTCCACTTCTCTTCGTGTTATAGAAGGTTCGTTAATCAAGCGGGAAAATAAGCCCTTGGTCCTTTAATACACGTCACACTATTTTACAATTTTCACTGTTACATCATTCATCTGGAATAATTCTTCTAAAGTTGACGAAATATCTCAGGAACTGATATCAAAATAGATACATGTAACATTCTTAACGGCCATTCCATGCGTTCAAAGTGCTCCCCACTACACCTATTTTGTACTCGAATTCGTTCACCTACACGCTCAAGATCAATCCTTCCTACCCGGCACCCATTATAACAACCCTGGGTCGAGAGTGGTAAATACAAATAAATGGAACTTACGGCGCTTCTGTTTCAGGATCTTCAGGATCACAGATTATTTGAGGACCCCAGTAGACACTGTCAGTAAAAAATAAAAAAGAATTACAATGTTCAATTATAATTTTCATAAATTGTTATAAAAGTTATAAATTGTATCGAACAAAAATGGCTAATACGATTGTTATATATTCGGAATACCGATAACAAATTGTTTTCAAAAGTTTCATTATTACAAAGCATTCGTCGAAGTCATTCACGTATGTTAGGAGGATAGTACTACACGTATTTATAAACAAAACTATTTATCACCATCATCATTAATACCATCGTCATCATCATCATCATCGTCAATTATCATCATTATCATCATCAATAATATCATCACCATCATTTGCAGAGAGATCAGTGTAAGACAATCTTACCGCTGAATAACGAGGACATCATCGTCGAGTTCGTCGGCGTCATCCTCCTCCTCGTTGAGTTGGGTTGACTCATAAAGATCCGTATAGATCTTCCCACGGATCGTCAGCGGTTGTTCTGACGTTAATAATAAGGTTGTTATTAATGAGTTGTAATTTTTGAACGATTTGGGGAGGGATGGGGTGACCTATTGACGTAGTTTTTTTTTACAAACGTAGGGTAGTTTTCATTAGCAAAAAAGTAGACTTATCGCATTGACCGTCTTTTGCTCCAAACCCCTTCGTGACTTATCAAAGGCATGGTACCTTCACCCATTCTTATTCTTAGCGCAAAATGATGCGCACTAAATTCATGGTAGTCTCGATATCTCAAGAACTAAAAAGGCTTTTTGAATGTCAAAACATGATTGTTTACATATCTTTTTTTAATTAACGATAAAAGTAAACCAAACAAACAACCCTTACATTCCCCAACTAGAACTAGGTAGGTTCATTCTGATACAAGTTATAACTTTTGTTACAAGGATAACAAATGTGGTGTGTGATTTTTACACCTAGTACAAGGCGATATCTGTGGTGAATGCATTCATAAAATCACGACCCTTTTACATAAAAAGTCACATTTATTGTATCTTCTTTTAATGATTCGTAAATCAATCAACCAATGATATATCTTGATAATAAATAGTCACTTACAATTAGTTTTTTTTTTATTAAAGCAAGATAAAAAGCATGGCAAGATGCGTTTAATAGACCGCTTTACTTATGCTATGGTCACATAACCCAAAAGTAGACTGCTCGGCGGTCGAGCGGCGAGTTTTTAACCAATTCTGCCCGGCGGCTGCCCGGCCACCGAGCGGCGACCGCCCAGGCACCGCTCGGTTTAAGGGCATCGCTCGGTCGCCGCTGAAGTTTTAGCGCGGAGTTAAAATTTGGGCGGTGCCTGCTCACTTTTCACTCGCCGCCCAAAATACGCTCGGTGCCTGGGCGGTCGCCGCCCGGGCACCGACCTAATCGCTGGGCGATGCCTAATTCCAGCAGCGACCGAGCAGGCTACTGATCGGTCGGTCGCTGTTCTGATTTGTGACCATAGCTTAACATATTCAAATGCATAATTTTTAAACAAAGGTTGTTCTTGACATCCAGAAAGCTTGTGCGAGACTGGCCCGACATAGCAACATGTAATGTATGCAGACTGGATTCCAAGTATTGTAGTTCATTCATAAATAACAGGTTCATGGAATAACTTGTCACAAGGTCTCCATAAAAGAAACATCCATAAATTTGAATATATGAGTAAATCGGTCTATAACAGCAAGATTGGAGACACAATAGATTTTTTAACGATGATTGTAAGTCAAATTTATTGAAATACAAATAAAGATGTTGTTTACCTGGAACATTATAGGTTGGTGAGACATAGGAAATTGTTGGAGTGCGGTTCGATTGATACTGTAAAGGAAACATATTTGCATTTTGATTAGGGTGCTATTCCACTTTTCGTCATTAATACCAACAACAATTTTTTTTTTTAAATTGTGGGTAAATATTATGCAAAACAGCTTGATGAAAAGACATATATTGTATACATATTGGGAGAAGACGATTGTGTATGTGGGTGCATCTTGTTTTCGCTCGTCGTTTGTTTATATAGATGCTTTCCAAGGAATTTGGATGGCTAATCTTCAGAGCTCCAAAATTCCTGAATTACGTTTAATATAGGCCTACATGCATTCATATCCCTAATAAATATGGTGTGGTGTGGATTTATGAAGAAAATACGTCCTATGTTGATATGTGAAGAAATACGTGTTCAGGGTTTTAAATTCCAATATTTCTCATTAAGGATTAGACATGCCATCACAAATTCCCGGGGCGTTAACAAATAAAAGCCAGCCGGATGGAAAATGGGCTGAATAAGAAATTCAAAGCGGGGGATTATCGGGCCACTGGTTACATATCCCCCCAGCTGTGAAAAATGACAATTCACGAATGGTGATAATAATTTGTTTAAATTATTTTTTACACAGCGGCTTTTATTGGTTTCCAGTTCAGTAACAGGCTTTAATTAATTTCCAGTTCATTAACTGGCTTTAATTAATTTCCTGGGCCTCATCGCATAAAACTTACCACTGTGCCATCAATATTAATTACCATGGCAACATCAATCAACAGTCATTCAAATCAAGGTTTCCATGCCGAAGTTACCATCAATACTAAGTTTTATGCAACTGGGCGCAGTTTAGTAACTGATCGAAGCACCAGAGTGTATGTTTATCCTGTTCATTGGTTTCAAACTTGCTCTCTCTCTACTTGGGAGCAAATCAAGATAAGTACACCTGTACGACCATTTTACAGACGCACACAATTCCAGGTCAAACTATTTGTATCCTACTGGGTAACAGCGAAACGCTTCAAATTTCCATTTTACTTTGGACATTGCACATGGGAAATATTATATTAGATACCAATCATAAAAACTTAGGCGCTTAGCTTGTGTTTAGCGTACAAGCGTATTGACAATATTCATCAATAATAGTCAATATATCTTTAATGGATGGATGAGTAAATGCATAACCTTTGAATAATATCTTCTTTACATAATTATAATAGAATGTTGATCTACAATGTTACACCTTTTATAATAGAGATACAATGAAAGATTCTGGATCACATTCAGATCCGTCACAGCAATTACAACAGTCCTCAAATCATTATAATTTTAGTATAACTACTTCATCAATTTGACAGAATCCAGCTATCGAATTATTATATAATTTACATGTATATACGCATCCTATATACTTCTATCGATACGATTGTTCTGTGATTGTAATTGATGGGAAATCGGTTAGTATGAATGACATATTGACATGCGTCTGTAAAGCTAAGAAGAATACTCGAAGTGGAGAATAGTGCTTTCAGACCCTAAAACAAACTTTTAATGAAGTGTTATGTCGGGTAAGGGCTCTTGTCTAGAAATAAGTGCCTTGAAGACTGAAAGGAAAGAATCTTAATCAATATCTCTAGGCAGCAAAGGAATATTTACACTGTCCGCCGTATAATTATATACCTCAGTCACAACGCAAAACCGACCCTTGGCTATCCGAGGTAATGTTTTTTAATTTTTTATTTGGTCTTTTGTTTGTCTGGGGTCGGAGCACATTGGTGTGACTTGAGCCATTAGAAGGTTAATGCAGTAATGTGTTTGGCCCTGCTTGTAGATGTAGATCAATCGAAGCAAGATGGTCACACAATCACCTTGTTTTTACACGTTTGAATGCGAGAAGAAATGCTGAGGTTGATGTGGGTTAGTGTCTTTTAAGTTTGTGCTATGGGGTAAGACGCTAAGATTCGCTTGGGTGACCAAACCTACGTCAGTAGGTATACAGAAGAGAAAGGAGGACGATTCTTCTCCCTTTGATAGTATAACATGACGTGTTTGAGAATAATCTATTAGACACGCGTCGATAACTTCACTCCCGTACTCCGACACAGTTTTTATTCAATCTGATTTTTGTTGTGGTCGTTTGGTTGTTGTTGTTGTTGATTGGTTATGTTTTTACTTCTTTCTGTGAGGTTGTTGTTGAAGTTCGGTGAATGAATGGCGTAACAAAAAAACGTTTTATAATATTCATGTTTCTACTTTGCTTCTAGGATGCAATCAATCTTTCAATTTTAACTTCGAATTTTACTTTAGTATCGAATTTACCCCTGTTACACTTCTTCAGAATGAAAACATATCATTTAATGTCAATACCCAATCATAAAATAAATTCGGTTTACATAATTAGCCCATTTTTTCATTTCTCCGGTCAATAAAGGATTGCACTTTGAAACCTCATTTGTTTGGTAACTTGGTGATGAGAATATATATTCATAAAATATGTTCTTAATCTTTATACATCTTGGATGCATTGAAATTGCCCATTTTATAATTCTTGCAGAACTGAAACCTACTCTAATCTAAACAATGAGATTATTACAAAAATGGCACGTTCTGTATCACTTCTAAGAATCATGGATAATGTACTGAATTCACCGACATCAACGAAATGTGATAGGTAATACAATGATCACCTATCTGGTTATTAATGTAAGCCGGTAGTAACAAAGTTTTAAAAGTTCGAACATGCTCTCCTTCATCTTCAGTTTATAAACATAAGTAGTATACTTATAGTTTAGAATTACTGTCTTAAGATAAGTATAAATCTAGTGGAACTAGTAAGAATACTAAATGCATCATTTAGAGATTCTGGAAAACATTGAAAGATAAATTGTTTTAGAATAAAATAAACATCTAATTATCTAAATTGTGTATATGCACAAATAAGTAATCCTTTGATTTGTATTTTCTTTCGATCCTGTGCACATGACTGTACTTCGTGTAGTTCATAACATGTTGACGCTAAACTTTCCTTGTGTTCTATACTTGTTTTCTTAGCCTACTCACCACATTGTTTTGTGATTTGCCCCTCAGTTTTAAATGAGATGTGAAAGATCAATACTATTGCATGATAAAGACATTTAATTAAATAGTCTGAGTTTCAGACCCTTGTATAAACCGAATGGTCGTACGTTTTGTGCTGCGCAAAGAATCAATCAGCTTAATTTTGGCCATTACAAGAAATGAGTTATTGATGTAGAGAAATGCTTATTCACCCTTCAAAGCGCATTTTATGTATTTTATTACCACACAAAAAAATAGTAATTCATTCACTCAAAAGTGTCTGACAGTGAAGTCCAGAAATTAAACTGGTTTCATTGCATAATTTGAATATTAGGACATAATCGTGTTTCACAGCTCTCTGAATAGCTTCATGACATTAATCTATGTAGAAAGTGAAATAAGATAAGTGACTTACGGTAAATTGACACCTGGATGCAGATGAGCAGTATGAACCTCCGAGTTCAGTAACAGACCTTCCATCTACCTCTATGTAGATATCAAAAGTACCATCAGATGCTGACCTGGTGAGAGCGAGAGGGTTAAAAAAAGAAGTGGTAAATTTCTCGTTTATCTGAGAAAATCAAGAAAAGTATTATGAGAATTTTTTTTTCTTTCAGACTAATTTTAAATCGTGTACTGATATAAAGTATTACCGTAGACAAAGACCATGAACACCTTGATATACGAATGCCCTTTTTCCCTGAAGTAATATAATATGTTATAATAAAAATACGACTTTAACCTTCATTATTCTTACGGTTGTATATTTTTGTATTGTATTTGTATTTATTAACATTTATTTCCTTCTCAACAGCACAATATAAAACACAATGTATATATATATATGATATATGTAACAATTATTTCAACATAGAGTATACAGTAATTAATTCAGATACGGAAGGAGGCGAAAACCCGGAAAGCGTAGCTTGAGTTGGGAACGCCCATAATAAATTAACACAGTTACCGAAAGAACATTATAGACGTTATTATGAAAATTACATTGTATATAACAGAACGTTGATAGGAAAGAAAAAATAGTGAAAGGAAGAGAGGAGAATTAAGTATAGGAAGGCATGTTCACTTATAAAGAGAAAGTTACATCAATTGGGCTGTACATGTGTCTGCGATTACATCATAAAGATAACGAAGTACAATTGTAAAATAGACAGCGGGTACATATCATTACAAACAAGCAAAATCATCAAACAGACAACAGCTTTATCCGACAGCATTGTCCTGGGAATATACAGATGGTACTAGCAACAAGTTATCAAAGTAAATAAATAATCGGTCATACAAAGATGTCATTAAATTCCACAAAAGATCATTTCACACATAAATACAAGAGAGGGTATCAATATCGAGCAATTAAATACATTTTTGCCTTACGGGAAAAAGTCTGCAAGGAGAGCGATTTGTGTAGAATAGATGGTAAGGTGTTCCAAAATTTTGGTCCAGAGTATCGAATGTCAAATTGAAATCTTCGGGTTCTATGTTTAGGGAGACGAATGTTGGCAGCGCTTCTCGTATTATACGTATGGGTTTCCGAGTTGCATTTAAAATTGATAAAATCATATTGTGATGGAGGAAGAAGCAAAACAAGTGAAAAAATACAATGAATTAGACTTCTTTTAAAGACCGTCAATACAACTGGGCCATAAGGGCTTAGTAATAAGTGTTTTTTTTTGTAAACAACATTATTCTTTTCTTTTTAATCCAAAAGGATCCTGCATGTTTGGCTATTTCCCTCGCTAAAATGGATTCGACTTTGAATCTTGTTACACTGCCTTTAAAATCAGGCATTCAAAGCGATATAGCAAACGAATTGCTTTTTTGGCGATATCGATATAAAAATAATTGCATGAACAACCGGCGTTAAGTCTGGATGAGATTTTTCATCACGACAGCATTATTTGATTTCTTAACATCATTTCAACCATAATAATGAGGATTATTGGTTTACCTAGTCTCGCAGACGATCTTTTTGGCGTTGCTATAGTAATCCAAAACATCACAAGGTATGGAGGTGGTTGAATTGCGGAAATAGACTTTGTTACCGAGGTCATCGTTTCCTTCCCCAAAACTGAACTTGTCCTCGCTAAATCCTACAAACAGAAAAATAGAACGAATTATTGATAAAATGCTACATTTTGGGATTAGTTTAATGATTTCTTGCAGTATTCATAAGTCTCATTGTAAAATTCACAATTAAACATTTTCATGTGCAAATCAAAAGCTGAGTTACAGCGACAGAAAAACATTAGAAATTAAACCTTTTAAAAATTAACATTTTGAAAAGTTTTGGTTCCCAATGGGATCAGCTTCCAAACTAATATATCTGCCACCCCTGTGCACTTAGTGATTACAATTATAATCATGTTGCAGATTTTCTTAGATGATTTCTAATCTGTGGTAAAGAAACTATTTTCTGTATTTATCATTGTGTATACATTACAAAGTTACCTTGTCGTCCTTCAGTATAAAACCTGTGTTTAAGATTGAGAACTGTTCGAAAAGTGTTGGAAACAGACTTGATAAACTATGAGTATGTCATTAGTACTTCCCCTGTACATGCGTTTTATGACACCTTTCTTGTTAAACAGTTCGATATGCCATTAGGCCTTCCAGACGTGTTTAATGGTCTCTCTTTTTGCTTCTCAAGTGTTTGGTGCTTGCAGGGAGTTAAGCTAGGGCCACTTGTTGGTTGTCACGATCTGCATGACTAGACAATTACCATGCAGTCTAATATAATAATGTTTGGTCTGGCTCAAAAAAGGCTATTGGGACCCTGGATATGACTGTTACGCAACCTATTGTGTTTGCGTCGCCACATATTGAAGTGGTTGTTTTTCTCGGTTACCGGCAAGGATGGTCTCGGTGGCGGTTATGGTGGCGGTGTTGGTGATGTTGTTGGCAGTGGTGGTGATGGGGGCGGTGGTGATGTTGATGGTGGTGGTTTTGGTGGTGGTAATGTGGCTTTGGTGGTAGTGATGTGATGGTGGCGGTGATGGTGGCGGCATTGGTGGCGGTGTTGGTGGAGGTGGTGGTTGTGGTGGCGGTGTCGGAGGAGGTGGTGGCGGTGAAGGTGGCGGCGATGATTATGATGACACTGATAGTGACGGTGCTCATGTTTAAGGTAGTGAATGCGGTGGCGTTCAACAATCAAGTTATGTTTGTGGTGATGTTTATGGTGATGATGGTGATGATTGTAGTTTTGTAGCAAGGCTGGAGGTGGTGGTGGTGACGGTCAGTTGTAGTATTGGTGTAGGTGGTGGTTATAATGGTGTTGGTGATGTTTTATATCATCGATAGTGGTGACGATTAAGGTGGTAGTTACTGTGCGGGTGAGGGGGGGCAGTGGTGATTTCGGCATTCGCGCGGAATCAAACAGGTGGTATAATGATGGTAAAGTTTTAAAATACAGCGAGAGGTAATCCAATATTCTCATGATTTTGTCCGCGAAATGTGTACAATCTACCACTTACAATGAGATTAACCTTTAACGATGATGCAGCATTATTATTTTTATTTGTTTAATATTTAATATTTATCACTTACCGCTTCCCGTGATTTCAATCCTGGTTGCTCCACGTAGACTCCCAACCCTAGGTTCAATATTAGACACGCTTGGTGCTCCAATGGATGAAACAACACAGCCTGCAAAGAGGAGGGTTATAAAACATTTTAACAAAACTATACATAACAGAATAAAACAGCGACAGGTTGGATTTTAGAAAACAAAGCAATGTTGAATTTAGATTCAACACGCCCTTTATTGCTTGAGGTTTTCAAAAAATCAATTAGCATATTTTGGTTTATCGATGAATAGAATATACATACAAATTAAAAAAACTGTTTAAAATGTATACAACCTGTTTAATATCTAAACAACTTGTTTATACAATACGAACTATACAACGTGTTGTTCAGTTGATATTGTAAACAACTTTTTGCATTCTCTAAACTGTATTCCTGATTCCTAATTTATTACAATTTACATGATTTATGCAAGTTTCTCACCCGTGTTTATCAATGATTGAATTCAACTGCCATACATAATGGTATCTCCATGGATGGAATTCACTCTGCATGCATTATTATTTTTTTTTCTTCCAAAGACAAATTATATTTAATCATTCTTGAGCAAGAACAAAACAATAGATTTGAACAAAGTACATATTGTGGCATATCGGTAAAACAAACATTGTTACATCAGTTGCACATTTCTCCATTTATCTAGTAATACACAAAATGTATTGCGTCTGATAGAAAGAATCCGCTCAACTTCATAAAAACTTTAAAAAAAAATATAAAGATAGCCGTTTATTTGCATTTCGCAGAAAATATATATTGTTTTGCATATAAAACAAATGCATTATTTGCTGCTATGTCTGACAAGCCCCTGGCCATCTTCTGAGTTTAACAAATCTGGTTAATATACAGTTAGTAAAAAGGTCAATTGTATATCACTTAGAATTAAATCCAATTTATTTCATGCTTGGATGCTGTTTTTAAGGAAAGAAATGATTAGTTTTCTTGCATTTTCATCAATGAATAAACCTTCCTGAACAATGCGATGTACATGTATATTACTTCTCAAATTTTGTAAATGAAGATACAAGAAATAAAGGTCGGACTTGCAAAGAGCATAAAGTAAATACAATAATCCTTCTTTTTGTTAACGCGTTCATCAGATGATTTTTTCTTCTTCGTCTTCATTTTAGTTTTAGAAACGCACACTTAAATTATTAACAATGAATTCTTCGATATGATTGTAGTGCGTCTGTATTTGCATTAGAGGGTTTGTATTAAGTGAAAATAATGAGGTCACTTGTATTTTTTAAGGGGAAACGGATGTGTAAATTCTCTTCTTTACACCTATGCGTGTCTGGATATGTGAATAATACATATTGCTATGCTTTATTCAGCATCTATGTAAGGCGATTTTATGGAGATTTTATTTTTTAGTATTGTTTACAATATTTAACCATTAAATAATAATGTAAACACCCCCTCCTATTATATTTGAAAGAGAACCACTCGACGACCTTCGGTCTTCACCTGCCCGGGTTAAGCGATTAAACCTTAAGCACTACCATCAAAGAAAATCACCTTGCCAACGCTATCAACAGTACTACACAGACAGACAATTGCACCATTATGCGTTTGTTCTTATACATCTATATAGTAGGCCTGTCCACGGGGGTATCTTTGGTTGAGCTACTTCGTCGCATTGTGACGCACAGTTTCGCTTATTTCTTTCAGTTAATTTCATAGGAACTGTGCAAATGCTTATATATCATATTACCGAAGAGTTAGAAGGTAGATGGAGTGATGTAATACGGTTCACTTGTTAGAATAAACTACTGTATAGTATAGAAATACAATGTTCATCAATATCAAAGCCGTATGAAAAAGTTTGACGGTTGTTAATGTTAAAACTTTTAAAACACATTAAGTGAAATGTAAAATCTTGTTGAATATATCCCGTCGCAAATGGAATACCATTTCAACTTCTTTTGCAACGGGAAATCATCGAATCTATCAATTTACTTAACACGTATTAGACTGTTTTACATTTACGGTAATACATTACTTAAACTCTTGCAGAGAAGGATCTTCTGACATGTATTTTGAAGAGTACCTTGATCTTTGCTTTAATGACGGCCATGCTGAAGATGATGAAGACAATGGTGATTATTACGAGTATGATGACGATGACAACTCTTTTAGTATCAATGTTGTTATTATAACTTGCAATAATCTTTTTCTTTTCGTTCATGTATTTAAACTATTCGTCGAATCGAACTTTACTGCTCAGAACCCTAGAAAAGACAAAAACGATTCGGCTCTACATTTTTTTTCGAAACATCTTTGAAAATAAGTCATCTTCAAGTTAGTATTTCACTCGGTATACTGGATTGTCTGGCTGCCCATTGCACTTTCAATCTTACTATCGCGTTAACCTTCTATCTTCTTTTGTTTTCGTTTTCGTGCTAGAATGATAAACTTTACCTGATGAACGTGGTTGGATTCCCTGTTTACAAATTACGCATTGCATGTCACATGGGTTGATTTTATAAACACAAATAAAGCTGGTAATAATAATGGTAAACATGTTACACGCAAGCATTGCCACTAAGGGTGTACACAGTTTCTTTGCCGTTCAGATGAATGAGGACAACAGTTCTTCATCTTTTTAACAAAGTTGTAAGTTTCATGTTTCTTTGTTTTATCATTTAATTTTTTTTGGACATACAAATCTTTTGGATTGTCAGATATATGCATGGTTTACCTTTACAGATTTGTTAAGTTTCTTGATTTACTCTGTCTTTACAACTTAATAACGGTGTTTCTTTTGAGATTTACAGCTATCTCTTACAATGATCAGTCGATGAACTGTCAATGTTTATCGGTATGTTTACCTAGAAATAAGGTTAACACGCTGGTTAAACAGTTTAACACTTATCATATTTATTCATCAGTTACTTAAGCCTTAGAGCAACCTCTCCCAGAGAGCCAAACAGCCCAGTTATCTTTACCAGGGTTGTTAAACCAATAAACAAATCACATTTCAAGAGAGATGTCATGACTCAAAATAATATTAAACCTACATTTTAGTTGTTTTTATATAGTCTCATTTTGTTTCGTTTTATTCATGATTATTACCAGAACAACTGTAAAATATGTGCACTTTGAGGTATGCAATCTACATGATTGGCCATTATTTAGGTTTGTTCATGATTTACGCCTTTTACAAAAAGGTTTTTCATATGTCAAACGTATCCTACAATGAATGGGTGTTTATTGATTTATAATGAGTATTAGAAAATTTGGCAATAAAAGTAAAAAGTGACTGGTTGTCATTAAAAAATAAACAATCAATAGCAACAAGAACAACCGTATAATGAAAGAGATGTGAAATATGGAATTAGACGTCAACTTGAACTAAAATCAATCGATGTTTATTCTTTATTTTTGATATCGTTTGCTCTTCATCTGACGTGGGAGGGTCTGCGGTCTCTTGCCCAAATATCACTGACTTTGCAAGCGAGGGAGAATGTAAGCAATATATCGACACAATAATTTATTTAAAAAAAATTATGATAACAATTGTTAAAACTAAAAGCAATTCAAATGGAAAAATAAAATACGGAAATCATTGATGTTGATTATACAGTGTAAGGACATAGGGACCTTTTTTACTTAGATTTTAATGTTGAAATTTGTAACCAAAATGATAGATAAATATGTAACAAACCAAACAAGACCCTGAATATTAGGCGATGGTTTTCCGCATAATGTATCATAATTTAAATGTTAATGTTCTCACCTTCTTTGTTCTATTTACAATTCTTGCTGAAGATCTGTATGATCAGTATGAATCTTTTACATTTCTCTAAGATTTCTCACTCAATCGGTTTAAAACGATCCATGCAGCCAATGTATATAGTTGGAGAAGAGCTATTGCAGTGACCGTAATTTTGTATACAGACATAATAATTCTAGGGTTGTAGCTTGTATTTTTTCGTTATTGATTATGCAAATATATTAGTTGATTTTTTTTTTTTAAATCGAGGACCTGTAAACAGAGATCCAACCTCTAATAACGTCGGAAAGAAGATTTCGATGTGACAACTCTCGAATCACATAAAAGTGATTATGCTTTACTGCTAATAAATGATATCTAGGCTATGAATTTATTAGTCTTTTATGATATCGTTGTTGCCCATCTTGTCGAAGTTAGATCACTCACTTTGAATGTGAATCGAATATTGAGCAGATTTAATACGGAGCCTTATCCTGGCTACGAGAAACTGATGCTATAACGAGACTCTGTCTGTCGCAACTCAATGACTCACTTTAATTTAAATTGGTCTCGGTGGCACTAAAAACAATCAATATATTCATCAAGTTTTCAAAGTTATGAAGTGATGGCGAAGCGGGATAATTATACACAAGTTAATTAGTCAATTAGTAAATGCAACCGTACTGAAGACATGTAGATACAAAGTAATAATAGCTGAAAAACAGTGACATATCAATAAAACCAGAGTCCCGTGATGAAGAAAAAGTTTCCAGCAATAGATACAAAGTTATAACAGTTGAAAAGCAGTGAAATCTCGATAAAACCAGAGTCTCATGATTAAAATAATAAGTTTCCAGCAATAGATACAAAGTTATAATAGTTGAAAAACAGTGAAATATCAATAAAACCAGAGTCCAATGGTTAAGACAAAGTTTCCAGCAATAGATACAAAGTTATAATAGTTGAAAAGCAGTGAAATATCAATAAAAACCCGAGTCCTATGATTACAATAATAAGTTTCCAGCAATAGATACAAAGTTATAACAATTGAAAAGCAGTGAAATCTCGTTGGTTAGTACTCACCTGAAATCACGAGACACATAAGAAGCCGTCGTAATGCTCCACCGTCGGGACAGCAGCCCGCTGCTAGGGACGCCATTCTCGAAATGTCAAAGCAGAAATTCTCCCACTTAATTAAGCCCGAATGGCTCCAAATCGAATACTCTACACTACGACTCAGAGAAAAATATGAATATATTCAATGAAGAAATGAAGAAGAAATCATCACAAAGTGAATAAAAATGAAGGAACGATCAACATTATATTAACTTCTTCTTAGGCGATTCCAGCTCGCTCAGAAGAACTTCGAGTTTTGTTATCACGCGGACATGCCTCAGCTAGCTTTGTAAATTATGTGCGCCGCACAGCTAGGTATCCCACAATTTGGTATCCCACAATGCTGCTACATCCGCGTCTTTATAAGCGTGATCAAGGATCTTGTATAATGGCGTAATTTGTATCCTACTATGCATGGCTCTGGACCATCCATCCAATCGCTATGCACGGATACACACAACTAACGCTTTCGCAACAATAGGTACCCGCTGGTAGAAAGTATGGACGAGTAATTAAGTAAGCCACCTTTTTATTTGCCGAAGGAGCTTTGTGCTCCTCTTCTTGGTTTTATTGATCGATGCGATAACAGGAAGAGAAAGAGAGAGAGAGAGAGAGAGAGAGAGAGAGAGAGAGAGAGAGAAACAGGACACGTTTGATCTCGTAGCCATCTTATTTTTTTGGTAAAATTTCAGTGTTAACAAAATAACGACAATTCCTTACATGATTGTACTGTATACTTCAAAACAAGGCGTCAACATTGCTGTGTGCCAAACATTGGTTATTCAAATCATGTTGTCAAATGGTTCACACCAGACCTCTTCCCTATAATCAAGCAAGGGCAATAATAATTTTTTAAATGTGTATGTGGGGGGGGGGGGAGAGACAATAAAGTCAAATATGAAGTGGACAGGGGGTGTCTGAGGGGGATGTGGCCCCCTCTGAAGTTGAAAAATAAATTAATATTTAAACTCATTTGGCGCTTTGATGCATACTTTCTAGCAATATTTGACTAAAAAATCATTGATCATATTCCAATGGATTTTTTTTTCCTGAAAGGGGAATATCTGATATCACTATCACAAAGACTCCGAGACCCGTTTGTTATACAAGCTTTTTTTATGCGAAATGATTCCATGGAGTATCTTGATAACACCAGCTAGGTTCAAAATTAGTCACTACATGTACCGGTCTTGTTATCACTAACACAACGTTTTGGTCAGGTGCGGCCGAGCGACTTCCAAAGTGTGGGAGGGGGGAGGGGGCACCAACAAAAAGGGCACTTTCTAGAAATGAAGAGCACCTACAAAGAGAAATCTCCAAGCGGAAATATACATTATTGTTTACACATTTGTATATATCAATTATTTGATTTCTAAATTTGTTTCTCTTTATACATCATACAAATAAATGCTTAAGCAACATACTTTGCAGTTGGATGTGATGGTCTGAATATTAATTTGCGAGGTCTCAGGACGAACAACTACTTCTTATAAAGAGAGAAAACTCCAATCCTGATGGGGTTATAAGCACATTCTCATAATGGAAGACTGAAAAGACTTAAGATAAGTAGGCTAACATAATTGTATCATCTATAAATTCGAGCGAGAGTAGCGATCAAATTTTGGGGGAGATTGTCGGTCCTTCCTCTAAATTAGGGGCAAGTCTAATGATGAGAGGAAAAGGGGAACCCTCAAGTTTCAAGTTTCAAGTTTCAAGTTTATTTATCTTTCTTTCATAACACACATTATAAATATGACATAGAAAATAACTTAGAAAATATTAAACATAAATAAGTACAATAAAATCTACTGACTACTAAATAATGGCTATAAACAACAGGAACAGGAATATACTACGAGCAATAGGACTGAAAACACAGACAAAAACTAAACAAGACAGACAGAAGATTTGATGTGAGAAACGGGAGTAGAATTATGCTGACCTATATAGCACATAGTTTTCTTAAATATTGATCACAACTATAAATCTAGACGATACCGACTCAAATACAGTAACTTCAGTTTGCGCTTAAATACAGTCATAAATACTGACCGATTGTGCTATTCTTGGTTCAAGGGAATTCCAAAACCTAAGTCCAGTGGACCCCAAAGTAGTAAGGGCAAATTGCGTTCTAACAAGAGGTAAGTGATATGCTTGCGCCTGTCGTGTGGAATAACTATGAACTTGATTATTTTTCTTAAATATTCCAGCCATGGCTACTGGCAGTAGACCTGCATTTAATTCATACATTAGAGCTCCTAGTTGTAAATGATAAATATCTTCAACTTTCAAAACACCACTATTAAAAAAAAAGAACATCTGTATGCGCAAGATAGTGAGTATCACAAACAATTCGTATTACTCTTTTCTGTACCAGTAGTAATTTATCCATTTGAGATTTGAATGAGTTGCCCCAAGCTAGCACACCATAGTGGAAATATGGCAAAATCAAAGTTGCGTACAACATATGTAAAATATTCAGTGGGAACACAGATTTCAATTTATAAATTACACCAGTATTTCTTGACAATAATTTACATACTTTACTTATATGGCACTTCCAATTTAAATGTTCATCAATATGCAAGCCAAGAAATTTAAATGTAGATACCCTTTCAATCTCAACACCATTAAACATTACATTGCCAGGCAATATACTCAGGGAATTACTAAAGAGCATATAATTAGTTTTTTTTAAGATTTAAAGACAACTTGTTTGCTTGAATCCACTAAGTCGCATTAATCAACTCGGAGTTTACAGTCTGCAAAAGAGTTTGCGAAAGGGATATGACACTTATTAGTAAGGAAAGGAGCACGTGTCAAAATACAAAGGGTAGTTATCAGAGGTTAAAATGGAGCACTCCTTACATCTGAAATGAGACACACACCAGGGATGAAAAGGGGCACTTAGGAGAATGGGGAATGGGCATTTGTCGACGGAAAAGGGACACCCATCAGATTTTAATAGGGCCATTTATAAGAGGTAAGCAGGGGCATTTAAGAAAAGGGGATAGGTCCCTTATTAAAAAGGAAAATGTGTACTATCCTTGTTAAAAGGGGCACTGACCAGATATGCACTTATGAGAATAAAAAACGGGCCTTTACAATAAATGAAAATGTGCATTCGTTGAAAGAAAAGGGGCACCGATCAGATTTTGATAGGGGCATTTATCGGAGGAAAAAGGTTTTTTTTTTATTTGAAGGGGGAAGTGGCTCTTATTATATCAAAAAAGAGGAACATTTTAAAATAAACACGATTAAGGTGTGTGCCACGGGGCAACGGGACACAGGGTTTGATCTCGAACAGTGCAATACGTGAGCTTCAGGATAAAGGAGGTCAAAAACATGGGGGACATTGATATTGTGTCCCCCATCCTTGAACAGTTGCATTTTCATCAGAAAGGATCTTCAAAATCCATCCTCACAGTAAAAGACATTCGATCAAAATTCGGTTTAAAACCGCGAGTGGGTGTGTAACATTCAAGATCACAATAAATAATATCGCCTTTACCACGTTTTTAATGATTTTTTTTAATAGTATTTTTGTTTTATTCCTCCAAATGTGTAATACAAACAAGTACACACAATTGAATAGAATGAATAAACTTTTTCGATATTAATTGCTTATACATAAACGTTAGTGGGTTAGTTGCCTTTCATCGTTGTTACAAATTGATTGAGAAAAGCCTTTATCGTAGTTACTGTAAAACGTAAATGTCATGTCAATATCAACCTGGCTATAACCTGTTCCATTGTTTTCCTTATTCTTGAACGGGGTCACGTTGGAAAACGAAAGCCAGATTTTTTTTCCTTGCAGCTTTAGCTATATATCGCTCAAATATTCTTATTTCTAATGTTATCTATGCCTTAGGTTGAGAATATAAAATAAAAAACCATCCGGTGCTTGATCTATCCCTCTCTGCATTTCATTCCATTTCTAAACATATTTTTATCCTCGAAAGAGTTCACTTCATTGTTTGACTAGTTGTTAAGAGATAAGCCATGAAGTCTCTTTTACCTCGTGAATTATATTTTGTCATAAACTTAATAACAAAGAGGATATATTTCAAGGAGTGTACACTGGCACAATCGTTCACCCTTCAGTATTTGAAGCGATGCCCAAACCAGGCGCCAAATAATCAAAAGTGGAATCCCAAACTAATTTAACTCTAAGGATACCAGGCTAATAGTGTACGTGATTTACGTGCAGGGTCTTTACAAGAGTGCTTCAATGGCACTGTATGGATTTCCATCACAAAATTGTGCAATCGTGCAATCTACAATAGACTGGAAACGTGTTTGCGCTCCTTCCAAACAATGTACATATTTTCCTTTCATGGTGGAATCAAAGTTAATAAGGAACAGTAACCTTTAATGGCCCGTTCACACATAGACGACACACGGCCGGCGCATTTAACATCTGAAAAATGTCATGAGCCCGACTTTTGTCAGGATTTGGGAGAAGCTAGCAAGCTGACACCGAATGCATAGCGTGTTGCTAGCGGGTAATCGTTCCACAGACCTTCGTGATAGGCCGCATGGCCCTTTAAATATTAACAGAAGAAAAAAAAAGCGACAACGGGTATTAGTCTTGCATGTACCATTTTCCATGTTCTTCTTTTAACTCCAAAACTTAAAGGGATCCGGTAACTTTTGTCAGATTCTGAAAAAAAATCCTGGATTTAGCTCATGCAGCAATGATAATTATAAACTTTTAGGTCAGTCAGGAACCCCATGACAAGCCGATCGCCTGTCTGATTATCAAGACATTTATGATTGGAAATCGAAGTAAAATTTGGCGTTTTCCTAACGGTTTTCATAACACTACATTTTATTGGGGAGTACGAGTATGATAAGACCAGTCACTCAAATATTTTTAATTTTTTTTGGAGGCACTTCTTGTTCATTTTGAAGCGCGATTTTTTTAGGGCTTCAATATTACACCATATCGTAGACACTGATAATGCGTAGGGCCATTCATCTCAGATTTAAAATTGTACTCCTGAAAATGCAAAGATACATGGGTAAATATCATATATGACGATATGCAAACTCATGATTTAAATCAAACAGACTTGAAAATGTTGAAGAGAAGGTTGGGTACATGATCATGTGATTAATGGTGAAATGTTAACTAAACAATCTAGAAATCATCGGGAATAATTTTATTATATTGATTGGGCTTGAGACTGAGAGGTACATCAGAAATATTGCCCAAGCTAAGATCATATTAACCCGAGTCGAAGACGAAGGCAATATGGTCTTAGCTCGATCAATATTTCTAATGTGCCCCGAAATAAGCCCTGTCAGTATAATTATTGTTACCTATACAGCTTTGGTATCAAGCATGATTTTTACTCACCATGTATGCATGTATTTCCCTTACTCTTGTCCAGGGGCTCGTTTCACAAAGCCTTTTTTCATTGACAAATGACAACAACAAAAAATCAGTGAAAAATATGCTGATAACCAATTAGAAGCAAGCATTTCAGTAGCTTATAACAAAAACTGCCATTAATGTCACTGATGACAAGTTTTGTGAAACGCCCCTCAGAGATGAACGTGTATAAAAACGTAATTGTGACGTCAATTGCTACCGCGCGTATACTTAAACGCGTACACATTTCTGCGCGTGTGCACTTTAATAAAAGCGCAATGACAAAAAAACGGTGCCCATATCTGCGCATGCGCACTCTTGTAATTGTACACGTTTACAACAGTGCGCGTGCGCAGACATGGGCGCCATTTTGATATGATGTGAGCGCACAGCGCAGGAAATGACGCAACAATGCGTATCTGAAAACATTGACGACGCAATGTTTAAGCGCAAATTAAAATGGCGGCCTTAACCGTAAAAGGGTATACAAATAACGCAAGACCCAGCGTGCATTTACATTACGCACAACAGGGTCATTTGCGTTATTTGTTTTATAAAATAGCGACACATTTATGAAAATCAAAACAAACGAAAATCTAGATCTAAGGTTAGAGTCTATAGGAGAGTTATGTTGAAAAAGACAAGACCTTGGTACTAGTACTTGCTCTACGCGTACGCTGCGCTGGGCATCGATCTTGGAGCGTGCAATGGTACTCTTGACTGCGCTTTTTTGGCACGATCGTGCATGCACTAAAAAGATGCATGTCATTTTGACGCGTTTAAGCAATTACGATGCTTAAAATAATAGAGCAATTTTATAATATGGTTTTTTACGGTTTTATAACATACCATTTTACGCGAAAAGCAGCCCAAACGGGATCACTCTTGTTTACATGTAATATTTGCATAATACATACATGTATACATTTCAAAGAGATAAAAAAAAAAGCATGTTATTCTCAAGATACATGGTAAGAAAAGATATTGCACAATGATGTGATTAGAGAATGAATTTCATTTGCTCTAGTTTGAAAAGTAATCAATACGGTCTTAAATTGGCATGTGAAATATACATAACAACAGGATTAGTAATAATACGTCAAGAGCTTAGTAACAGGGCCCTGGTAACGATTTTTTCACCGGGGGTGCTGAGATATATATACACGTATACACAGGGGCGGATTTGCCAAGGGGGGGGGGGGGGTTTGACCCAATGACGATGCAGAGCATCGACCACGAGCCTCAAAGCGGCGAGACGACTTATATTGCTATTTTGAAAACCCCTGTAAGTGATGTAATCCTGGCAGTGGCGGATCTAGGGGGGGGGGCACAGGGGGCACGTGCCCCTCCGGCCGAAACATAAAAAATAGTGCTCAAAACCCACAACACTGCATAATTGATTTATAATTCAACAAAATGTTTAAGATGTTACGTCATAGATTGATGCACAATGTTTTGATTATTCAAACTCAATTACTCATGGTATGAATCTCAGAGAGTTAAGAGTTTGCGAGAGAGTAAGACAGTGGATGCATCTCTCCCATATCTTACTTCTGAGTTGATTTATTGGCTTTTTATTATCTTGTATCTTCGAGCATTCATTTAGAGACCAGCAATAATATGAAATGTGATTTAGTTCTGGAGAAGAAATATTCATCTAGATGTAAGTAAGTTCATTGTATCAACTTTTGGTCCCATCTGCTAGGAATAATTTTCCACGGTACATTCCTTCATGCCCTTCAGTTAGATCTTACAAGAGAACATCAAAGACGTCATACAGTCTGTGTATTAATTTAAAACATGGTACAAGCAGAAAAAATATATATACATGATATGAACTTTCACAAGGCTTTGCTCAAAAAGCAAGAATGTGTATTTGGCATCATGTTAAACGTGAATGATTGATATTGATGTTGCTCCTTGTATTTAAATCATATTAATTTGATTTTGTAAATGAAGAAGTCTCGTTTTGTGTGACGAGGCGAAATTCTGTTTATGCCACTCTTTGCATTCATCAAAGAAATCGTCTTGAAGGTTTCAACAGTGAAAACTATGTACTGAAAAGTTAATGTAATTTGTGAGGAAGTATCAGTTAACATAATATGTATGACTTAGTAGCACCTGACATGTACAAACAAATACTAAAACATGCTTCGGTTATGTCATTATATTCCTCACAATTAACCTTTTTGTTTGGTAACAATACTGTTTGATTGAATGTGTGAAACCTTCATGAAGATTTATACGATGAATACAAAAAGTTTATAAAAATTCTCTTCGAGGGATACATCTGATATGATTTTGCGAAAGAAAGTTTTAAAAAAGAAAAGAAAAAAAAAGCGTCATTTGTGGCTGTCGGCTGTGTGACATTTCCGTACACGAAGCATAATGATATACATTAAATATATCAGACAACAATTTTTGCAGGGGGTGCTGTGCACCCCCTGAAGAATTTCCAGGGGTGCTGAATTAACGAGAAATCCAACCTTGATCGTTAACTATTCTGAGGAATGCAGAAAAATCAGGTGAAAGTTTAAAAGAAATCGGACAAAAAATGAGAACGTTATTAGTTTTCTAAAGCTTTAATCGCAATAGATATGGCCTCTAGCCTCTGACATGTAGTGGTGGACAACTTTCCCATATGTTCCGACTCACAAAATGACCAAAATTCAAGAGGACCTTTTATAATATGCTATCCATAATATAATTTGAGTAGTGCCCCAAGGGAGATGGCGCTTGGGAAAAATACCAAAAATAATGATATTGTTGTAAACACGACAAAATAATAGGAGGGTTATCCGCGACTACGGAACAATCCACTGACCAAGCTGCCAATATAAGATTCGAATAGACCTAGTGATCTCCTACAGTTCTGTTTATCTTGTTTTTTAGCTTTCATACAATGAACCGATTACAAGGGTTGGATTATCCTTTAATGTTTCTGCTCCCCAACCCCCTCTCTCTCTTTCTGTCTCTTTCTGTCTCTCTCTCTATCAGTCCCCCTCTCTCTATATATCTTCCTTTCTTCCTTCCTATCTCTCTTATTCAACCGTATGAATCAATGTTTAATCCGGCTCTAAATGATCCCCAAAGAAAGACTTTAGCTTTTGTCACTGTTTGTAGTTTTTACAAAGACCTATAAAAAAAAAGGAGGGTGATCGAGGCATTTGTACGTGTGTGTGTGTGTGCGTGTATGGGCGTGTTTTTGGTTGTTGCGTGTGTGTGTGTGCGTATGTTTGAGTGTGTAGATAGAGAGATGGAGAGATAGGGAGACGGAGAGAGAGAGAGAGAGAGTGTGTGTGTGTGAGAGAGAGAGAGAAAGGGGAGAAAAGGGGAATCAAGGATGCAACTGACCGAAATGTGTGACCGCCAAATGAAGCTATTCGTTGTGCGACACAATGCTCCTGTGACACTTTTTTCGCTTCATGTTCAATATTTTAAGAGCTTCCCTAACTTTAACCCTGGACCAAATTTACCAAAACCTACCCCTAGCCCTTAAAATAAATTTAACCCCCCCCCCCCCCCCCATAAACCATATTGAAATCTTAGCTACTTTTTAATTTTTAATTAGTAATTAAAAATTTAAAAATAGCTAGGATTTCTCTTTGGTGACGACACAAAGCCCCGGAGAAACTGTCGCTGAAGCATCTTGTCTATAGGCAGACCTATTCCATTTGTAAAATAGTAATTTTTGTGACTGTGTGTGCATTAGCCTTTTTATGACAAATATGCAACAATTTCAATTTTCTTCCATTGCTATACAGTGTTCTGATGAATTTAATTGTGTCAGAAAGTTGAAGTTATTGCCAATTTTGATCCAAAATAATGATTTTGAACTTCTCTACATATCGCAAATTTAAGGATTTTAAACTTGTTTTCCTAATTACAATACCTGGCAACGAACGCAAAATGGTCGTGCAAGAAAAATGGATGCAGTGTGTGCGGAAGTTTTTGATCCTTTTTACACATGCATCCGGTATACTTTGAAGGGCTTGGAATAACAAGTAACTGAGCCAAACTACAAAATTGGGTGAGATTGTCACGAACCGAGAGGACATCCCATCTGTAAGCTTTTGTCAAGAGATCAAAGATGGTTGGAAAATAAAACATCACAGCACAAAGAGTGTGGATACGCAAATGGATCAATTCCCAACAACAAATCAACAACACATTGCATACAGCGATACATCTCCCATAGCAACATTCATAAACAAACACTAGCATGGGCCTATACAAAGATCGACATCTCTTAACATAATATGAGCCGAAACATAATCGAATGCGCACCATATTTTATTAGCTTAAATCAGAATTATTTTAATGAATTCAAATCTTTCTGAAGAAACTATTTTGAATATCAAAGCAGATCAAGGAAAATGCAATTAGATGAAATAACTGAGCATTGTTGTTAACCTGATCTCAAGGAAAATTAAGAAGCTAGACGAAAATAAAAACAAGAGTACAATATTAATGTGCTATTAATAAATGGTTTTGGTTTCTCATATTGTGAATCATCCAATCATCCACTAAATAAAGATATGTTTACAAATTTTGCTGGCAATAAAAAGTTTCGCTCAAATCTGCATAAAATTCCGGCCGCCCATGATTTGTTGGTCAAGACCTGCCGTTTTTCACAAAGCTATAGATTTGCTTTATTTTCGTCTTTATACCAACCAACTAATTTATTATTGAGTTACCATGATTATTGTTATTATTATTATTATTATTAATATTATTATCGATTTTGCTATCATTTTTTTTATTCTGAAACTTTTGTTCTTTTTGTTTTGTTACATCTAAAAATCCCTCATTATCAAAGGTGATCAAAACCTTAAAGCGTAGGCAAATATTTCTGTCTTTCCCAAATTTATTTTACTTTCAAACGTTTTTAACATGAATTATTATCTCTTCTCTTTATACTATTTAGGGTCATTTTCATTGTCCTCTTTTCCAGATACTGACATTGCTTTCACAGATTTTACGCACTTCTATCGTGAATTTATTTGTAAATGAATGAAGTGTGAGATTCAAACAAATTGTCGATGCGCTTGTGATTAATGCATTGCAACCTTCTGGATATATCATTCCGGATTTACTTACCTAATTTATATTTTATAATTGTGTTGAGATAGCGTATTTACTAGTTTTCTTGTGAGATAGTAAGCTTATGGACCTGCTATACTTGCAGAATGGATATTATATTTGTCTTGAGCTGGTATACACATATTCAATACCTTTCGAGGGTCCACCAAAACCATGAGCTAATGAGGATGCATAAATAGTATCATTCCCGAGGGCAAGTTACCATTTATGCCTCTGAATGCTATTTGTCGTAAGAAAGTATTTAATATATGTCTTGCTATACTATTTTCTATGCGTTGTGAGATATTATTTGATATTTGTAGTGTGATCTTCATGGACGTTCTCTAGTTGCAGTATGGAGATCCGTCATCTGTCGTGAGATAGTAGGCTCCTTCGCCCTTACTCTGCAAGGCACCGTAACCCATCTCCGGACAGGTGCCACAACTGTTGCAGTTGGGGTAGCTGCTCCAATTAGTACATTTCATGGTGGGTGAGAAGTTACAACTAGAATATATACTCTCTGTAAAGAGATATACAGCTCTCATGTGATCGCAGGCTGCCGTAATGCTTGTACCCTCACATCCTGGCTGGGATTCTCCTCCGTTTGGGTAGAAATCCTGATGTCCTAGCTGCAAAGTTAAAGAAAAGAAATATTTGATTTTATATGAGGTGATTTGATTTGATTCCATTCCCATCATTTCGAACAAAATTGATTTGACTTGAATTGATTTGATTTAATGTCATTTGGTTTGATTCGATTCGATTTGATTCGTTTTGATTTGTTTTGATTTGATTTGAATAAATTGGATTGAATTGGGCTCGATTAAATTTTATTTTATTCTATTTTATGAATCGATTTGATTAAATTCGTGACCAAATACCTGCTCCTTCATAGTCAGGATATGAACGTATTGAACGCCCCTCGTACCTGATCAAGAAGTCCAGCTCCTGTTAACTCTCCATCGGTGTGTATGTTATCGACAAAGGTGGCATCTGATTTATCGATGGTACACTCGCTGTCATATCCAGTAAACTCGGCTCCTGCTGGATCCAATCCTATGTACACACACATTAAACAAACCAATATACAAGTAAATAAGTAATATAGACAATTATTAAACAATGGTATTCTCTTTTCCATATTTATTAGTAGTAATATTAATACTAATAGCGATGGTGTACACATAAACACTGTCTTGAGAGGTTCTGGTTGAAACTATGGGCAAGAATTTACCCCAATAGTACTATTTGTTGAGGGGTGCAGCACCGAAGCAACTGGTACTATTGGAGTCACCGAGGCCCAAATACAGTTTTAACCAGTACATCGAAAAGAATGCAGGGTATATATGTAATTTTGTTTACTTTTACATTTTTCGAATTTGTTAATGTTTTGAAATTGTATACATTTTGAATTTTAATAGAATTTATTAAATTAAAAAAAACCTCTGTCCTAAATTGTTAAAAATAAAATTGTAACATTGTATAATTTTACAGTTAAAAATAACAATTTTTAGTCGAAATACTATTTACGGCTTGGGAGCCGTAAATAGTACCTTTTAAAAAAAAGTGTGTTCCTCTTTTTTCACGTGAAGAGCTCTCAACCAATTGAACACCAATAACATGTTGATGCAGGATTTAATATTTAATAGTAAAAGTAAGAATAAGAGTTATACAAATAATTAAAGTATAAGTATTGGTACAAATAGTGATATAATAGTAAAAGTAATCATAATGGCGTTCAACAATAAGGGATAGAGTGACGTCGATCTGGCGCTGCTCAGTGGCTGCCGGGCTCACGATCAATTGGGCAAAAAGAATTTCCATATTCGGTTTAACTTAATAAAATTTGGGGTGGACTTTAAAAGATTATATATAATGATATGATAGTAACAGTGATAGCAACAATAGCACTGATCGTTATAGTAATAGTTACAGGCCTAGCAATAGTAATGGTACAGTAGGTATTGTTATCGTAAACAAAAACACACATAACAAAAGTTAAAGTAGGGGGAGGGGGGTTCAACCCCCAACCCCCCCCCCCCCCCTCCTCCTGCGTACGCGCCTGGTTATCGTAATAGTATACAAATATACACTGTCTTGAGCGCAAGAGGTGACTCCAATAGTACTATTTGCTGGGGGTGCAGCCCCAAAGCAAATGGAACTATTGGAGTCACCGAGGCCCTTAGTTTTAACCAGTACCTCAAAAATAAGGCATGGAATTTTTGTTTTATATCCTGGATCAAACCTTTACGTTTAATTTTTTTCTTCTTTTTTTTTTTAATTTAAAAAAAAAAATTAAATTGAAATTTAGAACATTTTAAATGTTAAAAATTACAGTTTTTATTATAAAAAGAATTACAAATGAAAACAAATGATTAAAATAAGATTTTTTAAAAAGAATTAAATAAAAAAAAATTGTCAACTCCAAAATAGTACTCCCAAATAGTACTCTCATATAGTACTTTCTAAAAATAGTTGAAATATTTTTGGTCATGCGACGAGCTGTCAACCAATTAAAAGCCAATTCATTTTTGATGCAGGATACAATGGTAAATAGCAGTAATATGTATCAAAATATCTTGATTTCCCATTCCTATATTCACCATGATTCACTGTTTTATGTACTAAATTAAATAATCATTACCACTATTACAATAAGTAATCATAATCTTAACTTCAAATTCTTTATCCATATCTGTATTATTCGCTAATGATTATTACAGCCAGTCATTTGTATCTTTTAATCAGACATAGTTTTAAGATTTTCTATTTTCTTGATGAATACATATTTTAATTTGGTTCAGATCTATCCAAACAAGATTCTATTTAATTTAAATTATTGATCATCCTTTTTTTTAACCTTGATTCTTCATCCTTGGATGCGCTAAGTCGAACTGTATTGAGGTCATAGCGTTACCATATAGCTACGAAGGTGGAGCTTTACAAAAGTTTCTAAGAGTATGTGCGTCACAAGGCACAATCGATACCCGCTTCATGAAGGCTAGTGGAATATACCAGTCGCACAAACAAGCCCAACGACAGACTGAACCAAAAATTAAATTACACCCAATGGCCAATGGCCTGGAGTCGTATTGGTGATTTAACTGAGGTTAGGGGAAGAGAAAAATGTTACCCCCCCCCCCCCCCCAACTAGTCATTGTCCGTAGGGGCAAGCAAAGAGCAGGAAAAAATATGGCCTAATTGTATACTTCAATGATATTACAGACGTATGCAAGTTAGTAAAATAATTATAACAAATAATTATTGTGAATGGAATATTTACAAAAAAATGGTATCGATGATAATAGCAATGAAATTAACAATCATAATGAAATGATCGGTGCAAAGTCCAAAAATAGCAACGAAAGCAGACATACAAAAACTTTTCCTCTTGCCCATATCGGAGAAAATCATCTGATAAAGGTATGACACAAAGCTGTAATATATTTGTTTCCGTTGGTATAATAATGATAAAGGTGATTATGATTATAATAATAATTAAAAAAATATGAGTATCAATATTGATAATCAACCCATCAACAAAAAAAGACATCACGTAATGATGAAGACGAGGCCGTGGAAGAACAATCCACTACTAACAACGAGGGTTCCCACGGGACCGAAAAAACGCGTATTCAAAATGTTGAACTACAAGGCGGGCAAGCAGTCATAACCTTAAAGTTAATTTCATGACAGGTAACTCCGAGTGCACCCCCCTCTCCCCCCTCCCCCCGCTCATGGCCGTCGCTCCAGGGGCTTTTTGGAAAAAAGGGGCACCTAAAAGTGAAACTTCAAAATTAACATACACCATTTTTAGACATTGGTATATACCCCTACGTCGTCATGATTGTGATTAGACTATCAGAAATGATATTAATTTTGTTCTTTCTCTTTACGTGGTACAAGTTATCAATTACGCTACATACTTTGCATTTTGGTGTAATGCTCTGCTTATTAATTTTCGAGCGAGCAAAAAAAATTAAGATTTGTGAGGTGGAGGTGCGAACAAAAAACTAGAAACGTTTTAAGCACTATCTAATGATGAAGGACTAAACGGTTCTTTTATAAGTAACATGAATAAATGTGAGCGAGCGTAGCGTGCGAGCTCTAGGGAATATTAGGGACTTTTAGATTTGCACGAAGACAATGTGGATTGCTACGATCGACGTCCTTTTAATGCACGTCGCACGTATCAGTCCACGCAAATCTAAAAGTCCCTAATAAAGAAGGAAGGGCTCTGAGTCGTTTTTAATTAGAGGTGCATTGTATGGAGAAAGGAAAAGTAGGCCCTTACATGTATCAAAAGGGAAAAGGACAGTTATTTGAAAATAAAAGGGACACGTGTCAAAGTAAACAGGGCAATTATCAGAGGTAAAAATGGGGCACTTCTTGCACTTGAATAAGGGACACTCAACGGAGATGAAAAAAGGCACTTGTGAGAATTGAATTTGGGCATCTGTTGAGGGAAATAGGCACCTATCAGATCTCAATAGGGGCATTTATTCGTAGGAAATATGGTCTTTATTATAGAGAGGAAAACGGGAAAGTGTCAAAAATATCAGAGGGAAAAAGGGGAATTTCTCGCACCTGAAAAGAGTCATTCACCAGCGAAGAAAAATGTAATGATGATAATGGAAAAGGGGCGCCTAGTAAAATTAAAACGTGTACCTGTTACATTTGAATAGGAGCAATTTTATCAGAGGTGAAGGAGGCACTTATCAGTTGTGGTAAGGAATACTTCTCGTACCTGAAAAAGGGCCTTTACCAGAGACAATAAAATGCACTTATGAGAATGAAAAAGGGACACTTATTTCAAAGGAAAAGGGGCAGTAGTTGAAGAAAAAAGGGCACTTATCCTATTTTAATACAAGCATTTATCAGAGGTGAAAAGGGACATTGAGGAGAAAGTGAAGGGGATCTTATGAACAAAAACGAGGGGGTTGCTTTTATCACAAGGAAAAGGGGCACTTGTTATAAGGGGAAGGGGCACTTTAGGGGTACCTGAAAAAGTGGGCGCACTGTACCTCCTGCCCCCCTCCCCCCCCCCCCGAGCGTCGTCTCTGGATTGCTCATGGTGTATGACTCTTCGAGTAGACCCTTTTTCATTACCACGAGAGCGTCTGCACCGTTTATTTAATATGATTAACTCCTAAAAGATCAAGTTTATATCTTCCCCAAACTTTATTGATCAATCAAAAGAATCGAAGAAATTGATAAATAAAGTTATGAGAAAATTTAAAAGTGTATCTATCATGGTCACAAACATTTCATGAAAAAAGGTTAACAACTTTATTCCAACTGTATGTGGGCAACAGGGTATGAAGCTATCGATTAATCATCGCACGAATTTTGACAACTTACCAGTTAGTCGTCCAATGCCAGACCTGGACTCGCCAGCGTACCCGGCAGTATGGGCCCCTAGACTATGCCCGATGATGTGCATGCTGCTATAAGACGCTCCCTTGCTGTTCAGCACTTCGATGAGTTTACCGATATCTTGACCTACTACCCGAGTATTAGCTCTACTCTGAGCGTAATTAACACGAGCCGCTCCTTCTTCCCAGTCAACCATTATCACATTCGTGTTCTAAGAGAGAGAGAGAGAGAGAGAGAGAAAAGAACGACTGACAAATTAACATTTTATAAGTTTATACAAGTTTTTTTAACAGACAAGCAAACAAACAAAAACAAAAACAAAACAAAAGAAAAAGAAACAAATTTAAATAAGGGGGATATATTACACAAATAATACACATCAGTGAGGGCATTAGTAAGAATTACCCAAACGAGGTACTTTTGGAACAGTCTAACTTTGGGCTGTTTTGAAGGTACCAAGTGTGGGTAATTTTACTAATGCCCGAAAAAAATGATGTGTATTATTTGTTTTATAAGATTATGTTTTATTTGTTTTATAAAATGATGTTTTCTAACATGATTTTGATAATGACCGGTCATTACCCAAATTACGCGCGATTACGCGTTAGGCAAAATAAATACCTGGTCACGTGTACGCTTTCAACCAATCATTTGATTAGGATCCACGTCATCATCTTATAATTTGCAATAATTCTTTGTTGTTTTGGATTATTTTGCAAATAATACAACTACCCTGACAGCATTCAGAAAAGCAGTGGCGTATCTATAGGGATTTTGGCGCCCGGGGCAGACAATTAAATTGCGCTCGTCCCCCTTCCCCGAGTGGCATATGTATTATTGGTGTTGATCAAATTTTGAACATTGACATAATTTAATAATGGTCTACTATTCCTTTTGTCCTCAAATGGGGTACAATTTTACGAGAATTAAAAATATTACATTCTTTTCGCTTTTTTTCTTCTTCAAATGTGGAACCTTTGAAAATACTGTAGTATACGTTTTACCATATAATCCTATTATGGAGCAGAGCAACAAGGATTGTACTACTTTTATAGTATTCTTCACATTTTAAAGACGCTTTTTACATACTATATTGGAACCAAAGTTACAAAATCCTGAAGAAAAATAATGCGAAATATCGAACGACTGCATTTTCAACCCTAAACAAAAAATCAGTTGTTAAAAAATGCAATTGATAATCCACAATAAATCGTAATATTTTATTCTTTTATGTCCCTTCTCTTTCTAACTTTGTGGGGATTGTTTACTGACGCCCCCTTCTCGAGCCGCACGGGGCACAGCCACCTACCCTTTCACTGCAGAGAAAGCAGATAACAGATTATATTCAGAGTGCATTCACGTTAACACATCTACATGTTATTGTTTTTAGTAGTTAAAGGAGAACTAAAGGCTGGCTCACATAGTAGCGGCAAAGACCCCGCGAAAAGCGGCGGACGTGAAAATCACAAATCTTGGCGGCAAAGCGATGCGCTACCTCTTATTAGTCATAGTGTTAGCCTGCTTTTATCCTAAAGAATAACTTTAGTTGTTCTGAGAGTTTTCTTGTATTCTTGCCCATCAATCTACAAGATTACCCACAAAAGTGTATGAGAAAGGCATAAAGAAAGATTAGGGACTTTTAGATTTGCGTGGACTGATACGTGTGACGTCCATTCAAGGCAGTGTATTAAAAGGACGTCGACCGTAGCAATCCCCATTGTCTTCGTGCGAATCTAAAAGTCTCTAATAACGTACAGTTGCTGAGCAAGACATGGGCATCGCCATTTTCTTGGTTGCATGACTTACTATGCGGAGTCGTTTATCAACTAAATGTATTCAAAATTATAGATGCTTCCTTCCCAGGTGTTTGTGGTAATGAATCATTTCATTCATCTGCTATTATCCTTTGTGCTCTAAATGCATTAGTTGGGGCTGTTCTGAGGCGCAGATTTCGCATAAATATAATAGATTTTTCAACTGCTATATCTTATTATTTTGAAATGATTGAGTTATAATAATATTACCCTGTTATATATTTTACCAAAAGTAACTTTTACCTTCTCGGCTATGATTTTCCATCATTGAAAAGTAAAGGTTTTGTTATAGAGTTAAAAAGTCTTTCCAGTTAGAGCTTTGTGCATGACTTATTTACAACTCCGCCTAGTACGTCACATTTTCAAGAAAATGGCTACGCCAATGCCATTCTAAAAGGCATTACATCATGCCAATAAATCGTCATTTATATATCTCTTGTACAAGTTCGTAAGCTATATTGCATATTAAAAGGCAGGAATTCATCTCGTTTTTCAGAATACCTTTACCTATTCTTTGGGGTTAGTACCACGTTGAGGTTAGCTAGCAGTGGCTCATCTAAGACACAGAAAGTAGAAAGCCCCTAGCCCATTCCAATTTTTTTTCTCTGCAAGAGACTTTTGACACTGCCCCTCCCCCATCCCGTGAACCTGTGATAACCTGTGATAACTTGTTTGCCTTTAATTCTCTATTTTTAGGGGGAATTATACGTCAGTCACACCGCCAAACTGAATCCACGCCGACTCCAACCGGACCAATGTTTGGTCGTAGATGGTAACGTAAATATTTGGTCGATCTATTGTCGGTTTGGTGTCGGTTTTGTTGATGTGACTGTGATACTTACCTTATCAACGAGGGCGTTCTTCATCGATTGAAACCAAGATGACGTGTATTCATCCGTGTAGCCATGGATGATGAACTTGGTGTCGCGACTAGACTGGACATTTGTAATCAAAAGAAAGATTAATCATACTCAAACTGATCGAAAAGACTTTCAAGAAATCACCTCATGGGAACCTATAATATCATAAGTTTACTCATTTCTAAAGATGATTTACAAGACTCGAAGTTGTGTTTTCAAGTCTCTGCGATCATGATACTCAATAATGTTAAGATTCAAGGTCCAAGATCCAAGACCCACACTCCAAGATTAAAGATCCAAGATTTATGGTCCAATATTCAAGACTCAATATTCAAGATTTAAGAGTAAACAATATGAAGAGTCGAGGGTAAACAGTAAAGAGTTCTTAAGATCCAAGATTCATACAATTCACTATATACATGTATATTATAACAAAACATCAATATGTATTCTAACTTATGCACGTTTCCTTAGCAATGGGCTGGATCATTTCCCGTTATGATTATATCATTGTATTTCAGCCCTCAGTGTTCAAATTGAATACATTAGTCATGCTAGTTGATCCTATGTAAGACAATTATTATTGCTTGCCTTACCTAGCACACACAACGAAATTTATGCAATCTGCATTCTGACGATTGGAATATATTAAGATGTAACATATAAATGAAATGATTCGTAACGTTGAATGTAATAAAGACTTATGCCCTCAATTTGTTTACATTACGTTAATATGTTAATAATATATTTTGTGTTTGATCCCAGAAGATCATTTATAATAATCAGTACTTCCTCTCCATCATGTCGACCTACAAACTAGTTTACAATTAAAACCTGCTTTACAACGGAGCTTTGCGGAAACATTGATTAACATGAAATGATTTCCTAATGATAACAACATGAACCAAACAAAAATCAAATGATGTAAATATACCGTTCAAAATTCGCCTTGGTGGGGAAAGGGACGCATAACATTTGGCAGTGGCTGAGATTCGAAGTCAATGAGCCACTCCGGAGATTACACTTGTACAAAATGTCTTTTACACGTGCACGGACACGTCCCACTTTGTGCATTTTAGAATATTCACTGCAAAGTGAGGAAGGTCCTTCACGAATACATTTTGTTTGCCCTCTTGAAAATAATACTCCCTGTGTATCATACCCATACCCATATAGTGTCTCCGCAGCATCTCACAAGAACATGCATGAGGCCGAAATTATACGATATCATTCAACAAATTAGAATTATCACCCCCCAAAAAAGGATTTCTATAATCCCGCCGGGGCCCCCCGGCCCTCTCGCGAGGCTTTTCAGTAGCGGAGGAAGAAACAGAAACGTTCTTCTCGGAAAAAAATGCCGACCTCTGCGGTTTCGAAAGAAGAAGTTCGTGATATTTATAACTCTATACGGCTTCATTAGATGGTGTGGGTGAGGCGGGGGGGGGGGGGGGGGGGGCTTCACTTGTTGGTAAGTGAGTGGGGCACCATTTTGTTCTCTAGATCTGCTTATGTATCTTATGTACACCATATTTATTTAAACGAGCGGTCCTACTTGCTTTCAGTTATTGCTTCATTATTATCGTAATAATGCCCCTATATTTTTTTTAAATTATTTTAATATCTTCTGTTGGTAGCTACAAAAGAGATAACTCTGTGATACGTGATACGGGTTAACACCCTACTGACTCTGAGCAGACCATTTTTATCGCAATGATGTATACATGGTTTTATAAACATACCTGAAAGTTGGAATTAGTGATGGAGCTAGCGTCGTATCTGTCTAGTTCCTGTGGACTGTACTTGTTGTTATTTGTATAGAGCCAGTATCTTATAACGATGGCATCAGGGCTCTCTGGTTTAAAATGGTGACATGCCGGAGCACCATCGCCGTAGTATAACCGGTCAAGGTCATCATACTGTACGGAGTCAGCTTGACACCCTGGGAAAAGAAATATATGACTCTGGGTACGTTTATGCTCAACTTTTTAAGGGGATTCCCGCCCCCCCCCCCCACTCCGGGATCGGAGGGACCGCATGCGTGTTCCCAAAATGTCCGGTAAAGGGGTACTTTTCACGCACCAAAGTCCGACTCGTAGTACACAAAAATCCGGCCCGTATTGACTTTACACACCGGACTTAGGGGGTGTTTTCAAAAGGAGGGAACATGCATACTAAATAACACTGAGTGGGGGTGGGGGGGGGGGGCAGAATGAGGCTTTTGTTGTTACGCGTTTAGTTCAAAACACGGTTGCGTCCTTTCTCATTTTCGTAGAATCACCGTTAAACGACGATCGTAAACTCACAAAAAGGTGAGTTTTGGATCGGCGTTTCTCCAAAAAGATGATTTCTGGGGGAGCATAAACGCACAATCAAGGTGACGATCGTGAATAAAGTTTCTTTATAGTAACCTCTCACAATTTACCAGATTCAATTAGTATTGTCAGGGGTGAATCTAGGGGGGAGCACAGGGGCACGTGCCCCCCCCCCCCCCGGCGAAAAAAATTTAAAAAAATTAAGTGCTCACTAGTGCTAACATTATGTTATGATTAGCATAAACTTAAAGGGCCTCTAAAGAAAAAAAGACCCTCCTGAGCCTTACATTTTGAAAAATTGACATTTCAGTTATTTTGTATTTTGAAATAAAAGGGGCAGTTTTCCAGCACTATACGTCATTGGAAAATTACTGATTTAGCCAATTCTAATATAGTGATCACAACTTTCGAAAATTCACAAATTTCTTATTCTAGTTCGATTTCATTCAAACCCACTTTTCATGCTTCTCTGATTTTTTTGTTGTTTACTTCTAATAACAATATGCTATAAAGATTAGATTCTCCTTTATAAGAGTGGATTTTCTCTCATCATAGCATGAATATAGTCTGAATCTTACCTTGAATAATGGCAGCAGCCAGAAACACGACGGCTAAAGAAAGGCTCCCCATTTTTGTAGCTGATGAATAGACGCTAGATGACCTGATCCTACTCGTAGCAATAATGGGATTTTAATGGAATCAAATCACCCCTATTTATACTATTAAAAAACCATCATATCTAACCTTAGGTAAACATCCAATGTCAATAGTGGATGATTACCGCTGTATGTTGAGTTATTAATTAACAATTATGTTCATGAAAAACAAATGTTAAAGTGACTCGGTACCATTGCTGAAGGTTAATGAAAAAACTGCTTATTTTGTGTATAAATGTTACTTATTATAATATTCCTTCTACTGTAGGCCTCTAACATGCAAAACATCCTGACAAAAATTCTAAAACCACAAAGATTTTTATGGTTTTCTTTGAAGGTGTCACTGTACGACACCCTCTTACAATAAATTCTCCCAACCATTTTTAATTTTCCGCAACCGTTTTCCCATGAAAATAAAACAGGCTTTAAAAAAAATCTTTCAACACTTAAATGTCTGGAAAGGTATAAACATGTAGAGCCAATATATTGCTTTGTGACGATTTTCATTCACCTAAAATGTAATTAAGTTGTAATAATATAGTTTGGAGAATCAGGGAATCGATCAGATCATTTTTCCCAAGTTGTGTCATTAATAATGGTCTGTTTTCACTCAATCTTTCACATTATCTTTAATTTGTACATCTACCAATGAAGTCACTACCTTAGCACCATTTTCTCCCATCTGATCAATGTTACCAAGTCCCTTTAATGAGCGGGAGAAGCAGTTTGTTTTATAATGTTATTCAGAAATCAAATAATCTCCTAAACGTGAAAAAAAAAATCACCTGCTATTTTAACGATAATTCGGATCGCAAAGCATTTGATTGTTTCTTTATAAACATGTACTTGATTATATGGTAGGCGGTCTGATCCTTGTGCAGTATTTCGCTAGATAAATATTGGAATTTGAAAAAGAATATAGAGTTGACGATTAGGAAACAGGAAAGATAAGCTCTGGCTGGGAAGGCTCAAAGCTGTGCCAAAGGTGATGACTAATTCAAGCTCCTAGTTTTTCACAATATTTACGTTAGGTGTGACCTTTTACTTCTTTTTATCATAAGGGAGAGGGGATGATCTTTAAGTTTGTCAAAACTTTCAAATTTGTGCTTTTGTTTCTTTATGCTAGAAAGTATAAAGAACATGTTTCAGTAAAAAATAACTACAATAAGACAAAGAATAAGAGGAGAAGCAGGAGAAGAAGAAAGAGAAGAAGAAAAAGAGGAAGAAGAAGAAAAAGAAAAAAGAAAAGGAAAAAGAAGGAGAAGAAGAAGAATGTCTATTGTCCACAAAGAGTTTGAGTAGTCCATGCAAAAGTATAATTAACAATAAGATGGCGCTTATATATCATCATTTTTGTTTGCTTATATATAATCATGGTATCACATCATACATAACCCTTTCAGCGCGTGGATAAAATAAATTGAACCCTTGGGTTTTCATTTGAGATCAGGATTTGAATAAAAATATTTCATTCTATGCTTTTGACTTACATTTTGGCTACAGCGAGACTTTGAAGCAATCTCATCATTAAGTTGCCTTTTTTAATATTTGCTGTAGATTTCAAAATCTAACTCAGACTAATTATCTTTCCAACTCTAGTACACTGTCGCTCATAAAGTTGGAATATTTTTGTTTTACCCCAATTTATGAAATTATTTTAAAAATAATTTAAAAATAATAGATCTAGATAATAGTATACATTCTCAGATTTTATTGAATAATAATTTGACAATGTGTGTTTTGCGTGACTGCTAAAGCATGTGTATGCTACTATGATTTTCAACTAGGGTACCTACGCCCTTAAATCATAAATGACAGTAATGAGGATTAATGTTCCACAAAAGGGCACTAATGTAGTACATCGACACGGTTTTGATCCTGGGACCTCACAGTTACGAGGCCATTACTTTGTCACTGAACCACGACTGTACGCAGCGGGGTCTAGGGTAGGGGGCAGTTTCCGTAAATAAAAAAAAAATGAAAAAAAAATGAAAATGAAATAAATTTTCAATAATTTATTGCATTTTACCCCGGTCCCCAACATAAACAAATCCTTTGTGTGCCCATGCCTTGAGCCATAATGCATGGCCCTCCACTGTTTATGAACGAACTAGGGTCCTATTATAGACATTATTTACACATTATACCCCGACCACAACCCGTTTTGCGATTTTCTAGGCCGGTTCCAGAACGTAGCGAGAACTAGTTTGGTGTGATGGGGGGCTTAACCACCGAAGTCTCTAAGCCCTAGGTCTTTTTTCATTCATGACTGATTGAACGAATACCAAATTTCTCTTACAGAATGACAAAATTATCTCTTACTCTAAACTACTCACTGTTAGAAAAGTTTGGATGTTTATAATACCCTTTTGAGTCTTAATCATAAAAAAAGAAAAAAGGCTGAAGTGCAATTCTATTATTACAATAATAATAAATTCAAATATTATTAAGTTGAATGCTAGCGATATACTAACAAAATAAGTCTTTTCATACCGTAGGCAAGTACACCATGCAGCTAAACAATTGTAATGATTGAATGCGGTAATCAGAGGGTTAATATATAGCCTCAACTTGACCTTGCAGACTATCACCCCATTTTCACTGTGAACCAAGCATCTGGTCTGTCGTGTGGTTAATTGGTGCAGTGTAGTGACAGTCGTTAGCTCACGTTTACGGGCTATCAGCTTCATTATCACACCATACACGTATTATTTAATTTATATATTTTTTATTTGATATCCAGGAGAATACAATGTAACACAAAGACCAGTATAAACAATATAACGATAAAAGATAATGGGTACCAGCCAGTGCCTGTGGATTGCCTAAAAGGATTAGGACACCTGTCGAGAGGCTCTCCTCACTGGCTGGTACCGAAAATAAAAATAAGACATAAAAACATAAACACACACAATTGCAATTTGATTAACGATCATTACACAATGATGTAATAATAGTAATAACTTGTCATGAGTCAGATTATTCTTACCGAGCAAAATTTCAAAGTTCAAGTTCACTTTATTCAAGTTCACTTTATTCAATACTTTCATTTAAAAAAAAATCATATTCTTATATTGCCCAAAAATCAATCAATTTTAATGACACATAACTTAAATGATCTTAATTCTTTTTTAAATCAAAGATATGTGGCCAATTATATCAAGAAGGGGAAATTTGAAATGTAACGAAATAGAGTATGAAAGTACAAATTAATAGAAATATACAAAATGTGTGTAGTTATTCCAGAAATATTAAAGAAGGATTATAACACAGTATCATTTATTTAAAAAAAAACATCTAACCAGGGAGGTTTAGGCTGATCAGGGGCATTCGCCACAATATGAAAGAGGGATGTAGCCTGGATGATACATGAACGTATCGGCAGAAAGCCGTGATGTGAATCAGGAATAATTTTGTTCGTTTGGGAATGGTTCAGAATTTTGGCCACTACCAGGCGTTCAAGCATTTTGAAAGTTATTTAGCAATATGATATCGGCTGATATTTTTCTACGAGATTTCGAACACCACTTTTGTGGACGGGTGAAACCAGGCGGTACCAATAACGAGAAAGAAGAAAGAGAAAAATATGAAGGACAGAGAAAAAGTGCTCTACCTTTATCTGAATGATGTAAATGATGTATTACTTATCAGGAAAAACAGAAATTAACGATATTTCTGTACGCGACTAAACGGAGAGTTATCTGTGACTACGTCACAATCCACTCACCAGACTGCCAATGTAAGATTCGCACAGACTCAGTGATCTCATATTTCAAACATTCATAACTTTATTATTATTAGTCCACCTTTTTTAAATTTGTCTCTATTATGTGTGTCTTATTTTCTGCTTTCATACAAATGAACTTGTTGGAGTAGTAGGCCGGTCCATGGATTCTGCTTCCAAACCATCTCTCCGTCTCTTCCCCTCTCTTTCTCTCTCTCTCTCTCTCTCTCTCTCACTCTCTCTCTATTATTTGTATTTGCATTACTTAGACTCAACGTAAAATCCGGATCTAAAATGATCCCCGAGGAAAAGATATTAGCTTTGCCACAGATAGTAGTTTTTACAAAGAGATATAGAAAAAGATTGAGGTGATAGAGAGAACGAGTTCGTGTATGTGTGAGTGCGTGTGTGTGCGTGTGTGCGTGTGTGTATGTTTTGTGTTTGTGCGTGCGCGATCGCGCGCGCTTGCGTAAATTAGTGTGGGCGTGTGCTCGTGCTAGTTTGTGATGGCTATCGCCGATCATCCCCCCACTCCTCGGTACGGATTTACGCCCCTGCTTTGGAGTGATCATTATATTGAGCCATGCTTGCACGCATGCGCTGAGTTGAGACTTGGCATTAGACATGGAGTTGGGAGACAACATTATGATGGTATAAATGTTTCCTACTTACTGCGTCTTTGCACATACCCACATTCCTAAAACATAGCAATAGTAAATATAATTTAAAAATCAAACTTCGAAGAAAATAACAGAAATATATTCCCATTTCATTTGTAGAAGCTGGTTTAATAAAATGTTATAAACTTTGACTTTGGAGCTCTCTTTTTACCAATTCCTCGAAAGTTTTGATATGAGTGTTCTCTTTTAAGCCAGGAGCAATACATAAATTTATCTTCCTTAGCTACTGAGATGAAATAAGTGTTAAAATAATATCCTTTAGCCACTTGTACTTATCAGTGTATTGGCTGATAATGAAGTTGATATAGCCACATGAACGAGGGCTAACGACCCTAATTATCCTTGGGTAAATGAACTTAATTAACACACCAATTAATCACACTACAGACCAAACGCTTGGTTCGCGGTGAAATGGGGTGATAGTCGGCAAGGTTAAGTTGAGGCTAAATATTAACCCTCTGATAACCGCATTCAACCATTACAACTCTTTATCTGCATGGTGTACTTGCCTACGGTATGAAAGACTTAACTTTCTAGTATACCGCTAGCAATTAACTTCTTTCAGTTTATTATTATTGTTATAATAGAATTGCACTTCAACCTCTTTTCTTTTATGATTAAGAAACAAAAGAGCATATTATAAATACCCAAACTTTTCTAACACTGAAACTGAGTTTTAAAAGCGAGTATTTTAAAGTCAGAGACAATTTTGTTATTCTGTAAGAGAAATTAGATGTTCGTTCAAACAGTCATGAAAGAAAACAGACTTTGGGTTGGAAAGATAATTAGTTAATTTTGAAAATCTGCAGCGAGTATTCAAAATGGCAATTTAATGACGAGAACTCTTGGAAGTACCGCTGTAGCCAAAATCATAAAATTAAATATTTTGTTATTAAAATCTTGATCTCAATTCATCATCCAAGGGTTTAATCTATTTTATTCACAAGCTGACAGGGTTATGTATGATGTGTTATCCGGATTATTGTTGATAATCCATTTGCTTGGATAACTATAACTGTTCTTTGCGGACAATAGACATTCTTCTTCTCCTTTTCTTCCTTTTTTCTTTTCCTTCTTCTTCCTTCTATTCTTATTCTTCTCCTTCTTTTTCTTCCCCTCCTCTTTCTCCTCCTCTTATTCTTTTTCTCCTTGCGTTCATATTATTGCAGTTGTTTTGACTAAAACACGTTGTTTATACTAGTAGAAAAAAAACAGAACAAATGTGAAAGTTTAGACAACTTGAAATCTTCCCCTCTCCCTAAAAAAAGTAAGAAGGTAACACATAAAGTAAATATTGTGAAAAACTAGGAGCTTGAAGTAGTTAACACTATTTCCATATACTCTTGCCTTCCCAGAGCTTCTCTTACCTGTATCCCAATCGTCGACTATGTATTAACTTTCCCAAATGAAATATAATCAAGCGGAATACTGCACAAGGGTCAGACTGCTTACCTTATAATCATGTATACTGAAAAAACAATCAAATGTTTTATATCCAAATTATCGTTGAAATAGCAGGTGATTAATTTCCACGTTTAGGAGCTTGTTTTTTATAAAACAAACTGCTTTTCCTCATTAACAAGTGTTTTACATGATTATACTTGTTAATCACCCGGCATACAGCAGTTATCGTTTACTGTTGACATTGGCTTCTTAAATAGCTAGATATGAATGGTTTTTTAATTGTATAAATAGGGGCGATTCGATACTATTAAAATCACATTTCTGCTACGAGTATGATCAGGTCATCTAGCATCTATTCATCAGCTACAAAGATGGGGACTCTTTCATTAGCCGTCGTGTTTCTGGCTGCTGCCATTATTCAAGGTAAGATTCAGACTATATTCATGCTGTGGTGAGGAAATCCGGTCTTTAAAGGAGAATCTAACCTTAATAGCATATTACTCTAAAAACAATAAAAAGAATAGTGAAGATTTAAATGAAATCGGACTGAAATAAGCAAGTAATGAATTTTCGACAGTTATATCACTATACGTATGAGCAATTCGAATTGGCTAAATCAGTAATTTCCCTGTGACGTATTCCTGAATCTTTCCCATTCACCTCAATACACAAAATATCCAAAATGTCAATTTTTCTAAATTGCAGACTCATGAGGGGCTTTTTTTTTCCTTTAAAGAACCTATACCATGCTAATCATAACATAGTTTGATAAGTGCCCCATACGAAAAAAAGGCGCTTAGAAGAAAATAGAAAAATTAATTATATTTTTGTACACGGCAAATGAGAGTTTTCCGTGACTTCGTAACAATCCATTGACCAAATTGCCAATTTGAGATTCGCATAGATTTAGCAACAAAGGTCGGATTGCCATTTAAAATTCATATCACTTCACTTGGAGTTGAATCCATTCTATTATCTAAATGGAATCGATTATGAGCACACTGGTATGACTTACTCTTTTAAGAGTGGATTCCACTTTTTTAAGCGTGAAGTCATCCTTGAAGTAACTTCTCTATAAAAATCATGGGTTTCCACCCCTGTACGTTTAATATATGCCATTTATCCCTCCCCTCGTAGTCTCAAACCAATAAGCTTGTAATTATATTCAGGGTGAGTCAAATATTGTTAACATACAATTAGTGTTACTAACTAATAATAGGCCTACTTTAGGACGAATATTTTAGGCTATATTCCAGAGTCGCATCCTATGAATTTGTATGTTGTATTGGTGTTTGTTTGTTTTTAGGAAAACTTAATACACCTGGTGCATATTATGGTTTTTACAAAACCAAAGTATATTGAAAAAATTAAATGAATCTGGTAAATTTCAAAAGATCACTCTTGGATACTTCAAAAGGAATTTATTCACGATCGTCACTTCGACAGAGACATAATGCTTCTTTGTATTTTTTCCCAGCGTGTCAAGCTGACTCCGTACAGTACGATGACTTAGACCGGTTATACTACGGCGATGGTTCTCCAGTATGTCATCATACTAAACCAGAGAGCCCTGATGCCATCGTTATTAGATACTGGCTCTATACAAATAACAACAAGTACAGTGCACAGGAATTGGAAAGAAACGACGCTAGCTCCATCACCGACTCCAACTTTCAGGTATGTTTGTTACCATGGATACTTGCTTGCGGTAATATAATGGTCTGTTTCAAGTTTCAAGTTTTAACTTAATTTGTTCCACATTTTACCAAAAATTAAAACATACATATAAAATAAAGATTATACAATACATGTAGTATATATTAAAGGTACTATGTCCCATTTGCAGGCCAAAAAATTGAAAAGGTTAAATTCCAACGGCATTTGAAAGATAATATTAATTTAGAACTTCCCTAAAAAAAGGGGGACTTGAAAATGTCTTTAAGTGGGAAAATAATGACTAGTAGTTGTCAAATCGACTTAAGAGCTATAGAGCCAGTAAGTAATAGTCTAATTTTCAGACCGTTGTACCGAATGGTCGTATGTTTTATGCTGCGCAAATATTCATTCAGTTTAATTTTGGCCATTACAAGAAGTGGGTTATTAATGTAGACAAATGCTCATGTACCCTTTAAAGCTCATGTTATGTATTTTATTACCAAAGAAGAAAGCGCCAGTCAGTCACTCAATAGTGTCTGTTAGTGAAGTCTAGCAAGTAAACAGGTTTCCTTACATAATTTGAATATTAGGACACTGCTAATGTTTAAATTTCACAGATAGGACATTACATGACGTATTCATAATTCCTGCAAAGTTCTACAGAATTTGATGTTGTCTGCAAGAGGGACATAGTATCTTTAACACGTCTCAAGGATTCTTAATTCATATGATAGATTAAGAAGAATTTGAGGACTATATTAAAAAGCAATGCTTGTACATTTTACTTCTTCTTTCGGAACCGCAGAGGTCAGCATTTTTTCCGAGAAGATCGTTTCTGCTCTTGCACCAATCGCATTCCAGCACTACTTAAAAGCCTCGAGAGAGGGCCGGCGGGCTCCTAGAAAACTATTTCCCCTTTTTTTAATTTTAATTTTAATTTTTGAATGGTATCGAATAATGTTTGGCCGCATGTTCATTTGAGATACTGCGGAGATATTATCAGCTCATGGGCATGTTACACAGATGAAAGTATTATTTTCAATCGGGCAAACAAAATGTATTCAAGACCTCACTCTGACAGTGATTATTCTAAAATGCACAAAGTGGGACGTGTCCATGCATGTGTAAAAGGTTTGTTAATATTTGGAGGTCATTTTGTACTAGTGTTATCTCCGAAGTGGCTTATTTAGAACCTGATTTTAAGTCTTTTCCCAGCTACTACCAAATGTTATGCCTCCATTTTCCTACCAAGGCAAATTTTGAATGGTATCTGTCCATCATTTTATTTTTGGTTCGTTTAAAAATATGTTATCATTAGGAAATCACTTTATGTCAATCAATATGCCGCAAGGCTCCCTTGTAAAGCTGAGCAGCATTACTTTGCCAAAATATCTTAGTAGATGGACGGGAAGTGCTGATTGAGGTTAAAATTAAAAATTAAAAAATCCAAGTTTTATATAACCGTATTCAATGAGAACCATTAACGATAGATATCCATTGAACAAAAGGATGAATACGGCGTACCGACATAATCATCTTCAATTTTCGTAATGGACACAAATGGACCTATTGTATTTCTATCAATTTGAAAACTGACGGCTGAAATACAATGATGTATAAAAGGGTAATGTAATAGCTCAACTGACTACGGACAGGCTTGTACCGCTTGGAAATGGCAAATTTACCCGATCTGAATTTGATATGAACTGACTGTAGACGGGGTACAAATGAGATGGACGTATTGAGGACTGTTTATGAACAAACTAGGATCGTATTATAGACATTTTTTTACACATTTCACCCTGACCACAACCCATTTTACGATTCTCTAGGACGGTTCCAGAATGTAATAAGAACTAGTTTGGTGTGATGGGGGCTTAAGGTCGAATACCAATGACTTCGATATATCTTTATCTGATTCACGCTAATTTATGTTCCTTGTGCTTTTAAACAATTATATATGTAGTATATACTAATGTTTAATATTTTCATACTTAACTTAATGTTACATATGTTGACTGTTGACTATTTTTCAATTGACTCTTCAATTTTTAACTCTTGAATCTTGAATCTTGAGTCTTGAATCTTGAGTCTTGAATCTTTGATCTTGGGCCTTGAATCTTTGATCTGCATGGATCTTTAATCTTGGATCTTGAATCTTGGATTTTGGATCTTGGATCTTGAACTTTGAATGTTGAATCTTAAAATTATTAATTAACATGATCCAGGATTTTTTTACCGTGGGATCACAAAATGGCTATTGCTATGAATTAATTTAAGACCCCAAAATGTGTGAAATTTAACCAATACGAGCATACCAATTCAGCTCCATTTAAAAAAAAACTTGGTGACCGTTAATTATTTATTAAATTAAAAATAACAATACGTGGGCCGGCTGGTTATGCGTAATATAAGCAACACAAAAATGCCAACAAAAAACCCAACATCGGCATTGGCTGAAATACGACGTAAAAGGCGTTATTTTGTTTTTCCAACGGTTTTTTCAAATTTTTCAAAATATTTAATATTTGTGGTGGTACATATTAGAAATCGTTATATTTCAGCCGTCTCTGAACCGATTTTGCTAAAACAAAGATGATTTTGTCAATTAATTGTTATGTTCTTTCAAATTTGACACTCAGTTTTTCATTATCTCACAAAAAAAAAATTTTGTGTAGCGCCCTCTGCAACAGAACTCAACTATCCCTTTAACATTGAATCTTTAGGCAATACAATATGATATTGAAATTGTTCATGAAAGTCTTTGTGATCAATTTGAGTACGATTAATCTTTCTTTTTTATTAAAACCTTCCAGTCTAGTCGCGACACCAAGTTCATCATCCATGGCTACTCGAGCAACTACGAGAGATCTTGGGCTCAAGACATGAAGAACGCCCTCGTTGATAAGGTAATAGGGACTTTTCGATTTGCGTGGACGTGGACGTGTGACTTTCTTTTAAAGTAGTGTTTTCATCTTCTCTTGAGTTCTTTCTCTTACTTCACTACCGTCAGGCTAAATGTACAATCTATTGCCTCACTCTAAACCCCACGCATGTTTTTATTTTGATGACAAATGCAGCGATACAAAAATAAAGGCATCTGTCGCTTGTAAACAAAATAAGACGCCATTGTATATTCAGCTGCACACACCACGGTATGTTCGCCGTTTCAAGAGGGAACAAATGCCGTCCTTAATATCATTCCGGGGGTTTTTCAATTTGACAGTCTGGTTTCTGTGATTGTTGATTAACCCCTATCCTGTGTATTTACAAGCAAAAGATTTTAGTTATCAGAATCGGGTCATAATATCCCCTTTTGAATGGTTTGACATGCCATTACATTTATATACACTAAACTCATTATAATTTGACAAAATAATAGCTTTGCAATTATGTTCATTCTTCATGGGATGCCGTCTGCTTGGGCAGTATTGGTCAATTTAGTGACGTCATTAAAACATCGTTATTTTTCCGGCGAATCTCTCGTATATCCCAGCTGCTATGGAGGTGGTTGTATTTGTATTTTTATAAATCACCCGATATGTAGTTGACCTAAAAACGTGTACGATGGCCATCTGTTAGCTTACCGGTTTCTAGTGATACATTAGTTGACATATTTGTGATTTTCTTTGAATTTCACCTTTAAGGCACTGGCAGCCATGTGTGACGTCCTTTTAAGGTACTGGCAGTGCCTTACAAGGATGTCACACGTTATTAGCAGTCCACTTTCTCGTCGTCCAAATCGAAAAGTCCCTTATATCGCAGTCACGCCAACGAAAATGACATCACACCGACAATAGATCGACCACACATGTACATTACCATCTACTATCAAAATTCGGTCTGGTTGGAGCCGATGTGGATTCAGTTACGCGGTGTGACTGACATATAATTCCCTTTAAAAAAGAGAGAATTCGGTTCTAAAAAAATGGCAAAGGTGTAAGATGAATGGGTGTAAGACATTTCCTCCAGTACGTAACAATTTCTCTGTGGTCAATTCCTACACTAACCGCGGTCAGTTTCCTTCATTAACCGAAGTTCAAATTTCAACCATTAACCAAACACTACACCTAACATTAATCGTCATTGTAAACCTTATCTAAAGCCATATTGCAATTCCAGCCAATCAATATCTTGTACGACATAAAGCCCATAAAGCGTATACAGCATTTTCAAAGGTTCCACATTTGAAGGAAAAAATGTATTCTTCTTGGTTTTCGTTTGGTTGTGCTCCATTTAAGAAAAAAGTTAACAGTAAACCGCTTATCGATCATGACAATGTTAAAAATTCGAACAACAACCACATCACGTACCGCTCGGAGAAGGGGAAGGAGTGTAATTTAGTTGTTTGCCCCGGGCGCCAGAGTCCCTATAGATACGCCGTTGCTTTTCTGAATGCTGTCATGTTAAAAAATGTTATTATTTGCGAAATAATCCAAAAAACGGAGAATTATTGCAATAGATATCCCCCTTTTTATGCTGTGTTTCTATTTCTTTTTTTTCTTTTTTTCCTTGTTTTTTTTTTTTTTTTTTTAATTCTTTTTTTCTCTCTTTTTAATATGTCAAATTGTCTGTTGTTTGTTCCTCTCTCTCTCTGTTAGAACACGAACGTGATAATGGTTGACTGGGAAGAAGGAGCTGGTCGTTACAATTACGCTCAGAGTAGAGCTAATACTCGGGTAGTAGGTCTAGATATCGGTAAACTCATCGACGTACTGAAAGGCAAGGGAGCGTCTTATGGTAGCATGCACATCATCGGCCATAGTCTGGGGGCCCATACTGCCGGGTACGCTGGCGAGTCCGTGTCTGGCATTGGACGACTAACTGGTAATTTGTCAAAATTCACGCGATGATTAATCAATAGCTTCATACACCGTTGCCCATACAGTTGGATTAAAGATTGTGACAATGTGATTTGTTATTGATAAACATTTTCTCAATACTTTATTTACCAATCTCTTTGATTCTTTTGATTGATCAATATCGTCACAATCATTTCATGAAAGTTTCTTCGGGGCTGATAAGGCTATTTCGTTTGACATCATGCATCAACACAATTGTATTTAAACAAAAATGTATTAACATTGTTTGTTTGATTTAATTATTAAAAAAAGAAAGAATTTTTTTTTTTTTAAATAATTGAATAAAAAACTCCCAAACAGTACTCACAAATATTTGTTACCGCCAAACTAAATCCACACCGAATTTTTCAGAGCAACCTTAACATGGTTGAAATATTTCTGGTCACGTGAAGAGCTCTCAGCCAATCAAAAATCCAATACATTTTCGATGCAGGATATAATAATTACTACTAACACTATTACTATTTCTATTTGTATAACTTCTTCTTTTACGCTTACCATTACTTATAACTACTATTGCTATTACTCTTACTACCAATAAATATGACATAGTATACAAATATACACTGCCTTGAGAGGTTCTGGTTAAAACTATGCGCAAGAGGTGACTCCAAATGGTACTTTTAGAGTCACCGAGGCCCATAGTTTAACCAGTACCTCGAATAGAAGGCGTGGTATATTTGTTTTATATCCTGCGTCAAAAATGTATTAAAAAAAATAAAAAATAAAAAAATTGGGAAGAAAAAAATTTAGAACGAAAAAAATGTCAATTTTTTTCTAAAAAGATTTAAAATATTTTGTTTTCTATGAATTAAGATTTAAACCAAAAAAATGATTCAATTCAAAAAAAAAAAATTCACATTTTTTTTTTCAACTCCCAAATAGTAAACCAAAATAGTACTCTCATATAGTACTTTCTAAAAATAGGTCAAATATTTCTGGTCATGTGACGAGCTCTCAACCAATCAAAAGCCAACAAATTTTTGATGCAGGATATAAAATGTACCATTGTTTATTCATTATTGTTTACTTATTTGTATTGTTTCTCTGTTTGTCCGTTAATTTGTGTGTACATAGGATTGGATCCAGCAGGAGCCGAGTTTACTGGATATGGCAGCGAGTGTACCATCGATAAATCAGATGCAACCTTTGTCGATATCATACACACCGATGGAGAGTTTACAGGAGCTGGACTTCTTGATCAGGTACGAGGGGCGTTCAATACGTTCAAGCCCAAGTATCAAGGAGATTTTATTTGGTGAATCTCAGGCAAAGATACCCAATTCCTCAACTCAAATTAAATGAAATCGCAATTGAAGCGATTCAAACCAGATCAAATCCATTTAACTCAAATCAACTAAAAAAATCAAATGAGATTAAATAAAATATAATCGAGTCCAATCCAATCCAATCTAATCAACTCAAATCAAATCGAGACGAATCAAATCAAATTGAATAAAATCAAGACAAATGACATTTAATCAAATAAAATAAATTCAACTAAAAATTATTGGAATGGAATCAAATCAAATCACCTCAAATAAAATAAAATATTTCTTTTATTTGACGTTGCAGCTAGGACATCAGGATTTCTACCCAAACGGAGGGGAATCTCAGGCAGGATGTGAGGGTACAAGCGTTGCGGAAGGCTGTGATCACTCGAGGGCTTATTATTTCTTTACAGAGAGTATATCTTCTAGTTGTAACTTTTCACCCACCAAGAAATGTACTAATTGGAGCAGCTACCCCAACTGCGACAATTGTGGCACCTGTCCGGAGATGGGTTACGGTGCCTTGCAGAGTAAGGGCGAAGGAGCCTACTATCTCACGACAAATGACGAATCTCCATACTGCGAGTAGAGAAGGTCTATGAGCTTATGATCACACTGCAAATAGTAAATACTTTCTCACGACAAAAAGTAAATACTTTCTCTCGACAAATAGTAAATATTGTTTCACGACAAATAGTAAATACTATTTCACGACACGTAAATTTTAAAAATAGTTCACTATAAATAGAAAATATCTAAACTATAAGTAAAGCAGGTCCACGAACTAACTATCACACTACAAAAAGGAAATACTATTTCACGTCAAATACACAATTCTTTTTCAAGACAAATATTATATATCACAGTAAAAATAGAAGATACTAGTTCACTACAAATAGAAAATATCTAAACTGTAAGCAAAGCGGGTCCATAAACCTACTATCACACAACAAAAAGAAAATACTATTTCACAACAAATATAAATATCCATTCTGTTAGTAAATCCAGAATGAGAGATCCTAAACGTTGCAATGCATTCAAAAAAAGCGCTCCGACACAAATTCTTGAATCCTATACTTTATTTATTGAGAAATAAATTCACGATAGAATTATGAAAAATCATTGAAAACTCCGTGAATGTCTGGGAAGCAGGACAATGAAAAAGATACTAAATAGTATGAAGAAATGAGATTATATTTCATGTTATAAATCTTTGAAAGCAAAATAAACTAGAGGAAGATAGAAATATTTAAGGGTTTTGATCAATTTTGATAAGCTCTTTTAAAAGTCACGTATCAACCAAAATTTAAAAACAAATCCCTTTTTAGTGGGTGATTGGATGATATACAACATGAGAAAACCAAAACCATTTCAAAATGGTTAAAAAATATATTGTACTTTTTTTTTTTTTTTTCGTCTAGCTTTTTAATTTTTTTTTGTGATAAGGCTGGTTAAAGACTTTTCTCAGATATTTCATCTAATTGCCTATTTCCTTGAATTGCTTTGATGTTTAATGTAGTTTCTTCAGAAAGATTTGAATTTATTGGAATAATTTTTAATTGACGCTAATAAAAACAATAATGGTGCGCATTCGATTATGTCTCGGCTAATATTATTATAAAGTTGTAGAATTTTGTATATGCTAATTGTTTGTATATGAGCATTGATATGGGAGATGTTTCGTTGTATGCAATATGTTGTTGATTTGTTGTTAGAAATGTCATCCATTGCCGTTTCCACAATCTTTGTGCTCTGATGTTTTATTGTTCAACTCTCTCTATCTCTCTCTCTCTCTCTCTCTCTTACACACACACACACACACACTTTTTTTTTTTTTTTTAACAATTTTGTTTTATTTCTCCAGATGTGTAATACAAACCATGACATACAATTGAATAAAATAAACGTGTTCAATATTGATGCTTTTACATAAACATAATTAAACACAAACTTATTTGCAGTATAATATAACTTAACAACAAAGTAAACGTATAAGTACCTAAACATAATATGTCAATTGTAAATGTTATTTACTTATATATTACAAAAAAAAACAAATCTGGAGATAATTTTACTGAAACAATCCTGCCCCCTCCCTGCCCCCTACATCACACAGACATACTCACCCTCTATCACACAAACATACTCACCCACTCACACACATACTCACCCACCCACCCACCCACCCCCCCCCCCCACACACACACACACAGTACTCACTCAGTGGATGTCTGCCAACATTCTCAACTTAAGAAAAATATACTAAATAAGTTATCCAGGCCGCAAAATCGAGTTACGCTTTTAACAAGCTTACGCTTTTAACACACACACACGCACACACACACGCACACACACAACAAACACACACATACCCAAACACATGTACATACATTTATACATGCATACATACATGCACGCACATGCCAAATTTGACAACCATAAAGTAAAAGAATTGGACATATATTTCGAAATACTGACAGCTGCAAACTGTAGGTTTTATTATAATAAACTCCGAAATAAGACGACACACTTTCAAGTAGTAACATAAAGATTGAGTATTTCGTCAGGAAGATGTGAACTCTTTATTTTGAGTCCCATTAGGGGCGTCGCTAGACCTTTTTTAGTGGGGGGGGGGGTGTAGAGGCCAACGATTACCGACAAAACAAGCCCCCAATTACCGACAAAATTAAATGTCCCAATATTTACAAATTTAACCCTATATACCCGGGGCCGAAGGCTAAATTGTTTTTCCTACGGACTATCTATATAGTACTTGCGTATGCGCAAATGGTCATTTTCCTCGACGACATAAATATACGAATTATTTCGTCAATTTAGTCAGCATAATAGCTATATACATGTATTTTAATGCAGGCGCGGAGCTAGGATCTCATTTTAGGGAGGGGCGGTAGTGAGCAGGCGAATCACTCAAAGAGTGCGCGAAGCGCGCTCATTAGGGGGTGTTGGGTGATAGGCCTACCGCGCGAAGCGCGGAAGCTTAGACGTTTCCTTAAATTATTAGGAAAAGAAGACGATTTATTGTACCGTTTCGACTGTTAACCCTTGTCTGTATGAATTTTCCCGCCCCTCCCGCGCAAAGCGCGAAAGCTTTGGCGTTTCATTAAATTATTATAAAAAGAAGACGATTTGCTGTACCGTTCTCGACTGTAAATCCTTGTCTGAATTCAGTCCCCCCCCCCCCCCCCCCGACCCCCCAATATACCGATAATATACCAAAATGTGTGACCGACAAATAAAGTTATGAGAGCGTTGTGTGACACAAAGCTCGTGCGACACATTTGGCTTCATGTTCAATATTTACCTTATGACAGGTTCCCTAACCTAAAACCGGAACCAAATTACCAGAACCCTACCCCTATCTCTGCAACCTATGTCTTTATTTACCCCTAAACCATATTGAAACCCAAACTATTTTTGTTTAATTACTTTTTATCATTGGTAACGACACAAAGCCCCGGGGAAATTGTCACTGAAGCAAATACTCGATCACGTTTATAGGCAGACCTACCTTCCATCTGTAAAATAGTTGTTTTTGTGACTGTGTGTGCATTAGCCTTTATATGACAAATATGTAACAATTACATTTTTATTTCATTCATATATTGTTCCAGTGAATTTGATATTTCTATAAACAAAATCTATATGTGGGGAAAAAAAATTAATGGTTGCAAACTTGTATCCAAAATAATGACTTTGAACCTCTCCAGGAGTTGCAAATTTAAGGATTTTAAACTTTTTTCTGGCGTCAAACGCAAAATGGTTGTGCAAGGAAACTGGATGCAGTGTGTACGAAAGTTTTAGCTCTTTTTACACACGCATATGGTATACTTGTAAGGGCTTTGAACCAAAAGAAACTGAGCCAAGCCACAACATTTTGGTGAGATTGTCACGAACCGAGATGACATCCCATCAAGAGGTCAAGGCTGGTTGGAAAATAAAACATCACAGCGCAAAGAATTTGGATACGGCAATGGATGGAATTCCTAACAACAAATAAACAACAAATTGCATACAACAAAACATTTCCAATAGCAACTTTCATTTACAAACAATTAGCATATACTGAAAAAACGACAACTTTTAACATGATATTAACAGAGACATAATAGAATGTGCACCATATTTGTTTTTATTAGCGTCAATTAAAATTATTCAAATGAATTCAAATCTTTCTAAACAAACTACTTTAAACATCAAAGCAAATCAAAGGAAAAGGCAATTAGATGAAATAACCGAGAAAAGTTTTTAACTTCATCACAAAAATGAAATTAAAAAGCTAGACGAAAACAAAAACAAATGTACAATATATGCGCCAATTTTAAATGGCTCTGGTTTCTGATATTGTGAATCATCCACTAACTACAGATTTCTTTTTAAATTTTGCGGGCAACACAAAGTTTCGATGCTTGCTTTTGTGACGGATAAGTTCTTTAACTCAGATCTGCCCTAAAACAGCGACAACCCATTGTCTGTTTGTCAATAACTCCAGTTTTCCACAAAGCTATAGGTTTTCATTATTTTCTTATGTTGTGTGTACTAACCAATTTAGTGTTTAATGCAACATGAGCAATTTTAAGTATTGTTATCATTATCATTATTTGTTACTATTATTGTTATTATAACTATAACTATAATTATTATTATCATTATTATCAATATTACTATTATTTTTAATTCTGAAATTGAACTCTTTGTCTGTTTGATTTGTTATATTTAAAAGTCCCTCATTGGTTGATATGTGACTTTTAAAATGGCCTATCAAAAGTGATCAAAACCCTTAAAGTGTGCGCATATTTCTATATTCTGATAATTTATTTTACTTTCAAAGATATGTAACATGTGATATAATCTCTTCTATTTGTACTATTTAGTCTTATTTTCATTGGCCTGCTTCCCATACGCTGAAGGAGGTTTCAATGGTTGTACACACTTCTATCGTGAATTTATTAGTAGTAGTATATTATTCCCAAATTGTGTCGGTGCGCTTTCTCTCTTCTTCAATGCATTGCAACGCTCTGGACCTCTCATTCCGGATTTACTAACAGAATAGATATTTTATATTTGCAGTAAGATAATATTTTTTGTTTGTTTGGTGATGTTAAGCTCATGCACCTTCTTTATTTGCAGTATGGAGATTTGTTATTTGTCGTGAGATAGTAGGCTCCTTGGCCCTTACTCTTCAAGGCACCGTAACCCATCTCCGGACAGGTGCCACAATTGTTGCAGTTGGGGTAGCTGCTCCAATTAGTACATTTCTTGGTAGGTGAGAAGTTACAACTAGAATATATACTCTCTGTAAAGAAATAATATGCCCTCGAGTGATCACAGCCTTCCGCAACGCTTGTACCCTCACATCCTGGCTGGGATTCTCCTCCGTTTGGGTAGAAATCCTGGTGTCCTAGCTGCAACGTTAAAGAAATGAAATATTCGATTTTATTTGTGGTGTTTTGATTCGATTTCATTCCAATCATTTTGAGTTGAACTAATTGGACTTGATTTTATTCAATTCATTTCTTTATTCTTGATTTGATTCGTTTTCATTTGATTTGAATTTATTAGATTGGATAGGATTGGACTCGATTAGATCAGATTTTTTTTTTTAATTATTTTTTCTTTTACTTGATTTGATTATATTTGATTTTAATTTCATCTCATTTGAACTTTTATTTGATTCGAGTTAAATTTGCATTTTGAAATACAATGAATAAACTGGGCTTTTAGTAAATATATTTTTCGAGTTCGTTGTGTTTATCGGTCGCGTAACTCACGGACTAATCAACTAACATGTCTCTGAGTTACATGGGTCCATTCACTGAAGGTATATTGGTGTAATGGGAAGGGGGTGATGGCACGCGAATATTTATAGCGTAGGATGGCAAGTAAATATTTAAATGATGATCTGAACAAGGGAAATCACGTTGCTCGAATCGAATTTCCGTTTCATTGGTTGTTCGGATGCTCACACTTAGTCATAATGCCAACATTAACCCGTAATCCAAAAAAACCCTATATAACCTGAACCTTTACCCAAATTCACATACGTTCTACTAAAATTAGGTTGGTGATCAACACAGAATTAGTATTATAACAAGTTCATGAATTATTATTAGGTTTTATAAATACCGCTCCTTATCTAGTTGTGTGTGTGTGGGGGGGGGGGGGGTGGCTGTCAGATCTTCTTTTTCACTTTCCTTTCCCCTCTCACCTTTTCATATTTCCGTGTTTGCTTGTTTTTTTTTTTTTTCGCTTATTGCGTCATTCGATGGGGGCACATATCACCTCGCCCCCACGTGGCTACGCATTTTGTATTTTACGTTGGGTGGTCAATATAGCCCCACTTTGAAGGAACAGGTGACGTAATTAATAATAATAATAATAATAATTGGATTTATATAGCGCCTTTTCCAAAGGTTACAAGGCGCTGCTCTCCTAGACTTATGTCAAGATTTAAGTTTAGCAGCAACACTTCTTAGGTATTACAGCAGCCGTTCAAAATGAAGTACATGGGGCTTTAAAAAAAATCACTATGTCAATGGATGTTGTTCAGCAAATTGCAGTCATCTTGTGGAGGTGTCATGGTCGAGTGGATACGTCACCGGACTGTCGATCACAAGTTCCGCGGTTCGAGTCCCGCCATTGCGCGAGACATTGATCTACATTTGCCACTCTCCACCCAGGTGTTAAATGGGTACCAGGTAAAATGCGAACGACAATGTAGTATGCGTAGCAATTTGAGCCTAGTAGCTCTTGCTGGAATGCTCCCTAGATACATACATTGTGTGCGGGAAAGCCAGAATCCGATGACCGGGGTAATACAATATCTGTAAAGCGCTTAGAAACTCGGACATTACCGATGTTTTAAGCTCTATATAAGCAGAAATATTGTCATTATTATTATCTTGTCACATGTAATGGAAAGATGAAATATTAATAAGACATAATTACATAATTAAATACAATCTCCTTGATACTTGGGCTTGAACATATTGAACGCCCCTCGTACCTGATCAAGAAGTCCAGCTCCTGTAAACTCTCCATCGGTGTGTATGATATCGACAAAGGTTGCATCTGATTTATCGATGGTACACACGCTGCCATATCCAGTAAACTCGGGTCCTGCTGGATCCAATCCTATGTACACATAAATTAAACAAAAAGACAAACAATGTTAATAATATTGAATAAACAATGGTACACTCTTCGCCATATGTATTAGTATATAGCAATAGCAATATTAATAGCAATATTTATAGTAGGAGCAACACAAATAATTATATTATTATTAATAATAATGACTAGTAGTAGCAATTACTAGTAGCAGAAATTACTATTAATAGTAATTACAAGTAATAATAATTACAAGTAATAGTAATTACTAGTAATATTACTAGTAATAGTATAGTATTAATGACTGCTTTGAGAGAAATAGTTGTTTTTATACGCTCTCGGGAAGGTTACAATTGGGCTATTGCCCTCGGCACGCCTCGGGCGATAGCACAATTATACCCTTCCCTTGAGCGTATAAAAACAACTATTTCTCTCAAAGCAGTCATTAATACAGGAATAGTTAAAGTTTATGAATGCAATTTCGACCAATCAGAAGGCTGGATTTCTTAAGTGAGGTATATAATAATTACTAGTAATAGTAATTACTAGTAATATAAATTACTATTAATAATAGTAGTAAAACAGATATTGATATGATAGTAGATGTAATAGTAAAAGTAATAATAAAGGTAATAATTATAAGTATGGTGATAGTAATAGTAGTATTAATTGTAATTATAATAGTAGTAAATAGCAGTCGTAATTATCAAAATATCATGTTTCCCATTCCTATATTCACCATGATGCACACAGTGCATCATGCGTTGTATGAACAATTTACATAATCATTATCACTATTACAATAAGTTCTCATAATTCTTAACTTCAAATGCATTATCCATATCTGTATCATTAGCTAATGATTATTACGCTAATCAATTAGTTTCTTAAACTGAGACATAGTTCTAATTTTTCTCTATTGTTGATGAATATTAGGTTCAGATCTATCCCTACAAGCTTCCATTTTCTTTACAATATCAATCATCCTTTTTTACACCTTGATTCTTCATCCTTTAGCAGCCAACATCAAATTCGGTAGAATAATGCAATAATTATGACTATGTCGTACACTGTTGGTCATAAAGGTGGAATAATTATTTTGACCCCAAGTTATTGAATGATTTTGACAATGATTTATTCGTAATAGATCTAAATGATAGTATACATTCTCAGATTGTATTGAATAATCATTTGCGAGTGTTTGTTTTGCGTGACTGCTAAAGCCTGTGTATGTGCTACTATAAGGGACTTTTAGATTTGCACGTCGACAGCTTTGACTGCAACGTGTGACGTCATTTTAAGGCACTGCGCATGCGTCACGTCGTCTCAGTCGGCGATCGAGAATGCGTCAACCTTGATTTTCCTAAATCTAGTACAGTACTCGTATATGCCGCGTGCGCTTAAAATATACAGTTCCTCAGGTAGACAAAAGAACATCCCTTCCCTGCTATTATGTAAAAATGTGTAGAACAGGTGTCACATGCATATTCACCTGTTCTACACATGTTTACATATTTGCATTGAAGGATGTTCTACCACAGCAATAGGCCATTTTCGTAATGTAATCGAATTTAATACATAAGTCTTTGTGAAGTGCCTCAATACAAAAGATTTCATTCACCTGATAAGAATAATCGTAATTCCTATAGACGGAATCCGAACTTCATACATTAATTGTTGCCAGGTAGGACAAACATTATGGCTTGACCTATACCTAGCGACATTTAATATATGCAGTTTGCATTCTGACTATTGAAATACTATTATTCTTACTATAATACTATTAGACTTATGCCCTAAATTTGGTTACATTACGAAAATGGCCTATTGTTGAGGGTAAAATGAGGAACTGTATATTGTGGCCTCTTTCTTTGTCCGTCATGTTCATAGTGTTACTTCCTGCATGCATGTATATCGTCGAGTGCAATCTAAAAGATTTCTAATTGTAGTCAACATGGGCAGTTGAGTACGTTGACACGCATGATCAGTCGGCGTTCGTCGTGTTCTCGTCCACTCAATCTAAAAGTCCCTATTCTAACCAACTAGGTGACCTACGCCCTTAAGTAATAACTGACAGTAATGAGGATTAATGCCTCACAAAAGGGCACTAATATAGCTGATCGACACGGTTTTTATTATGGGGCCTCACAGTAACGAGGCCATTGCTTAGCCACTGAATCATGAATGTACGCAGCGGGGGCTAGGGTACGTCACCGCCCCAAAAAATAAAATAACAAACAAAGAAAATGCAGTAACTTATCAATAATTCATTGCATTTTCCCCCGGTCTCCAACAGGAAAAATTCCTCTGTAGGGCCATACATTATGGTTCAATGCATGCCCACGTAGACGATTTGGTTATGTTGGGGCGTGGCAAATTGCATTGAATTATTTACTTGCTAAACTCCACTGTCAGACACTATTGAGTGACTGGCTTTTTTCTTCATTGGTAATAACATACATAAAATGAGCTAAAGGGTACATGAGCATTTGTCTACATCAATAACCCACTTCTTGTAATAGCCAAAGTTAAACTGATTGAATCTTTGCGCAGCATAAAACGTACGACCATTCGGTACAATGGTCTGAAAATCAGACTATTACTTACTGGCTCTATAGCTCTTTAGTCGATTAAACAACTAATAGTCACAAGGCACAATCGATACCCGCTTCATGAGATGATTGAGGATAATAATGGGATGATCGGTACAGCAGAATCGAAAAATAGCAATGAAAACAGACATACTAAAGCTTTCATCTCACCCTCATTGGAGTAATCAAATTCGGATTTAATCTGATGAGGGTAAGACGAAAAGCTTTAGTTTGTCTGTTTCCGTTGGTATAATAATAAGAAAGATAATGATAATAATGATAATAATAATAATAATAATAATAACATAATTAGTTTCAACATTGATAATCAACCCATCATAAGAAAATGATATTACACTCTTAGAATTCTGTTTTTTCTTCCCCCATTCGGTTAATATTTTGCCCATTACGAAGTAATCATTCTATATTTTGACCCTATATGGACAATATAATGTCGAGTTGGGAAAACATAATTAACCTCGTACTTGTGTCTACATGACCACGGGGACAATATAGTTTTAAACACCAGCCCGTGGAACAACAATCCACTGTTGCCTATAAAGTTGATATGCATTTTTGTCAACCTCTATTCATGAAATGATTATGACAATATGATTTATTCGTGTAAATTTGAACCCAATTTTCATGAAAATGGACCCCGAAGGTGTTAAATGAGCACCATTGGGTGCAAATTTCACTCCTTAAAGGGAGTACAATCATAACCTTGGGGTGCAAATTTACACCTTACACAAAATTACTCCCTACATTGGGGAGTAAATTTACTCCCTGAGGGGTGTCACTTATGTGACAAGCAGTTACTCCCTATAGGGAGTCAATTTACACCTATACGTTTCTCTTTGTGTGGGCAACAGTGTATAAACAGTGTATAAACTATTGATTAATCATCGCGCGAATTTAGACAACTTACCAGTTAGTCGTCCAATGCCAGACACGGACTCGCCAGCGTAACCGGCAGTATGGGCCCCCAGACTATGGCCGATCATGTGCATGCTGCCATAAGACGCTCCCTTGCTTTTCAGCACGCCGATGAGTTTACCGATATCTAGACCTACTACCCGAGTATTAGCTCTACTCTGAGCGTAATTGTAACGACCTGCTCCTTCTTCCCAGTCAACCATTATCACATTCGTGTTCTAAGACAGAGAGAAAGAAAAGAACGACTGGCAAATTGGCATATTAGAAAAGAAAGAAACAAAGAATGTATTCATAAAAAACAAGCAAACAATAAATTAAACAATAAAAGAAACAGAAAAAGGGGGATATCTATAGCAATAATTCTCTGTTGTTTTGGGTTATTTCGCAAATGATAAATTTCCTAGCATCACAGCATTTAGAAATGCAGAGGCATATCTATATAGGGATTCTGTCGAACTAGATAATGGTTGGCTGTTATTGCAATAAGGTTTTAGATTAGGTTTACGATTACGAATAAGTTAGGTAAAGTGTTTGGTTCATGGTTGAAGTTTGGATTTCGGTTAATGACGAAAACTGTCTGAAGTTAGTATAGGAATTGACCGCGGAGAAATGGTTACCGGAGCAAGTGTCATTCAACCAACCCGTCTTTAATACACCTTGCCAATTTTTTTAAGAACCGAATTCTCTCTTTTTTAAAGGGAATTATATGTCAGTCACACCGCCAAACTGAATCCACACCGGCTCCAACCAGACCGAATTTTGGTCGTAAATGGTAATGTACATGTTTGGTCGATCTGTTTTGTTGATGTGAGTATGATATTACCTTATCAACGAGGGCGTTCTTCATCGATTGAGCCCAAGATCTCTTGTAGTTGCTCGAGTAGCCATGGATGATGAACTTGGTGTCGCGACTAGACTGGAAAATTCGAATTAAAAGAAAAATTAATCATACTCAAATTGATCGCACAGACTTTCAAGAAATCACCTCATGTGAACCTATAATATCATATCGTATCGCCTACAGATTCAATATAAAGATGACGTAATATGTGATTGTAAAGTTCACTCATTTCACGAGGTGACGCACAAGACTTAAGGTTGGTCTTTGCGATCATGGAACTCAAGAATTTTAAGATTCAAGGTCCAAGAATCAAGATCCAAGACCCAAAATCTAAAATTCAATATCCAAGAACCAAGAGCAAAGAACCAAGATCTAAGATCCAACACTCAAAATCCAAGATTCAAGATCCAGGATCCAAGATTGAAGGTCCAAGGTCCAAGATCCAAGAGCCCAGATCCAAGATTCAAGTTTCCAAATTCAATAGTTCAGATCCAATATTCATTATCCAAGTTCAATGAAACTCACTATAGTTATGTACAAAATACCAAATAAAATGTAAAGTTTCATGCCAAACGGCATTCGTTAAATATGACAAAATAAAGAGCATATACTGCATGAATAATAGTTTAAAGGGACAAGGAACATAAATGAGCATGAATCGGATAAGGTTCAAACAAATTAATGGGTATTCGACCTCTGGAATGTAGTAAGTAATTTTCATTAATGTTTAAATTGCATGTATATCAACGTTGGGTGGACGAGATTGGTAATTAACAGGGCATGATTGGGTGACGTCAAAATGTTGTTTGTTTGTTTTTTAAGTACACCAAAGTGTATAATTTCTACAATTTTTTCCTATGAATCCGTAAGGGGAAAATATTAGGAAAGTTGAAATGGATTTGATTTGCAGGCTACTCTCTAGTAATTTCTGGGATAGGATTAAAGAACATGGAGAAGGTAGAGTTGACTGCCCTGACATAGAGGGAGCTCTAACGGTTCAATCTATTTAAAACATCAAGCATCGAAACAACATGTTTATATTTCATCACATCGCTCAAAGTCGAGCAGAATTCTAAGATTGTGTCATGTTCCATAGATACCTCGGTCACGGCCGACACCAAACTGACTGATTCGTAGCCATTCGGGGTAATGTAATTTAGTTCGGTAAGTTTTCGGTCTCGTGTTTGTCTCGTTGGTGCGACGGAGGTATACTGTGTTTGAATATTTTCAATATATATTCAAATTTATGCACGTTTAATTAGCAATGGGCTATTCAATTCCCCTGTTAAATAATACTGTATTCAAATTGCATATAATTGTACATATATAAATATATATATAGAGAGAGAGAGAGGGGGGGGGTAATAAAAGAAGCTCGTAGGTAGGGATGGTGGAGGGGGGGGGGGTGTCGAGAGGAAATAAAGAAGTTACAGTAAGAGAGAGACGTAGAGAAGATTGAATATAGAGAGGGGGATATAGAGAGAAAATAGAGAAGACAGTACGGAGCCCGGGAAGGGACATGGGAAAAATATTTTTTATCTCATTAAAATAAGATAAATATCTCATTAAAACGACATATATCTCATTATAATGAAATAATTATCTCATTAAAACTAATTGGCGAATTTGTGCACCGTACGCGTATCATACCAAGCAGCTATAACTAGCTACGACTTCGACTTTGCACATTATTTTGGTCATGGCGCTGATAAGAGCAATGTGATCGTTTTGCTGCCGATTAAAATACTAAGCTTTATTAATGATAATCAGACCTTTGCACTGCCTGAATTTGTCTCAATCAAATGTGATTGAGTCTTGACGGTTGACACACTTATTATAAAGTCTGATACTACTCTAGTTGGATGTATCCCCCCCCCCCCCCACTCAGTGTTATTTAGGGTACGCGTATGCATGTTCCCTCCTTTTGAAAACACCCCCTAAATCCGGTGTGTAAAGTCAATACGGGCCGGATTTTTGTGTATTACGAGCCGGACTTTGGTGCATGAAAAGTACCCCTTTTCCGGACATTTTGGGAGCACGCATGCGGTCCCTCCGACCCCGGAGTGGGTGTGTATCAAAGGCGCACTCTTAATCCTTGTTTGAATTAAGTTCCCCCTCCCGCGCGATCGAACCGCGGAAGCTTCGACGTTTCATTAAATTATTAGAGAAAAAAATGCATAGTTCATTGTACCGTTCTCTATTCTTAATCCCTGTTTGAATTCAGTTTCCCCTCACGCGCGAAGCGCGGAGCTTTGACGTTTCATTAAATTATTAGAGAAAGGAGACTATTCGTTGTACCGTTCTCAACTCTTAATAATGTCTGAATTTTCAAAAACGTTTCTTTATCTGCTCCTTTTTCTTCCTACGTCCTCTTACTTTTTTCTCTTCTCTCTCTCTCTCTCTCTCTCTCTCTCTCTCTCTCTCTCTCTCTTTATGGCCGGCGTTGGGGGGGGGGGTGGGGGCGACCGCTCCCTGGCTACGCGCCTGATGTCAACTGTCAAGACTCAAGTACATTTGATTGAGACAAATTCAGCCAGTGAAAAGGTCTTAATGATAAAGCTTAGTGTTTTAATCGGCAGCAAAAGGATCACATACTGACATAGCACTTACCTTTCCACACGTATATACGTCAAAGCCATATGACCATGTGGATGTGCAAAATCGAAGTCGTAGCTATCAGCTATATAGCTTGGTATAGGCCTACAAATTCGCCAATTTAGAATTATCTCGTTTTAATGAGATAAATATGTCGTTTTAATGAGAAAATTATCTTATTAAAATGAGATATTATCTCGTTTTAATGAGATAAAAACTATTTTTCACATGTCCCTTCCCGGGCTCCGTAAGACAGAGATATTGACTTGAAACAAAAGAAGATAGAGAGAGATAGGTAGAGAGGAAATAAAAGATCGTAGATAGAGAGAGTGAGATGTACAGAGAAAATAGAGAGGAAATAAAAGATCGTAGATAGAGAGAGTGAGATGTAGAGAGAAAATAGAGAAGATAAAGTAAAAGATTAATATCGCAATGATGTATGATGGTAACAAACATACCTGAAAGTTGGATTTCGTGATGGAACTAGAGTCTTTTCTCTTCAGTTCCTGTGCACTGTTCTTGTTTTGTTTTGTATAGAGCCAGTATCTAATAACGATGGCACTTGGGCTCTCTGGTTTAAGATGATGACATGCCGGAGAACCACTGCCGTAGTATAACCGGTCAAGGTCATCGTACTGTACGGACTCAGCTTGACACCCTGGGAAAAAAATACAAAGAATCGTCATGACTCTGTCGAAGTGACGATCGTGAATACACTTTCATACAAGACTGATCTTTCAAAATCTACAAGATTTAATTTAATTTTGTCATTATACTTTGCTTTTGTAAAAAATATATATTTACCCACCATGCGTATGAAGTTTTCCTAATGAATCCAACACAAATACAAAATACAAGTTCCTACGATGAGACTCTCGATTATTAGGCCTATACTTATTTAGTAAGTAGCGCTAATGTATGTAAACAATATTTGAAGCACCCTGACAAGCACAGTGGTTTAACACATACGCCTAGATGAGAGGGGGAATTGCATGCTCTCTATTAAACGTACAAGGGTGTAACCCCTTGATATTTATTGAGAAGTCACTAAAGAGTCTTAAAGAGCAATACTCATGAATTCCACCTAGATTATGGACTGGATTAACTACAAATGTAGTTATATCAATCTTAAAGGGCAATCAAACCGTTGTTGCTAAATGTATGAGAATCTCAATTTGGTCAATGAATGTTAATACGAAGTCACGGACAACTATCCTGTTTGTCGTGTACAAAAATATCGTTATTTTCTGTTTTTCTTCCAAGCGCCTTCTTCCTATTGGGTACTAGAAGAAATATGTCATGATTAGCATGCTATGGTATTATAAGTCCTCTAAAGAAAAGACCTTCGTGAGTCTTATTTTGTGTGTTGAAATAAATGGGAAAGTTCTCCAGTACTACGTCAAATGAAAATTACTGATTTAGCCAATTCTGATTACCCAAACGATTACAACTTTAGAAATTTCATAACTTTCTCATTTTAGTCCGATTTTCATTTAAGTCCTTAATATTCTGCTTTTCTGATTTTTCTTTTAGTTAAGATTCTCCTTTGATAAAGTGGATTTCCTCACCACAGCATGAATAGAGTATGAATCTTACCTTGAATAATGGCAGCAGCCAGAAACACGACGGCTAATGAAAGGCTCCCCATCTTTGTAGCTGATGAATAGATGCTAGATGACCTGATCCTACTCGTAGCAATAATGTGATTTTAATCACAAATCACCCCTATTTATACAATTAAAAACCGTGATATCTAGCCTTATGTAAACAGCCAATGGCAACAGTTGACGATGACTGCTGTTTCCAGGGTGATTAATTAAAGATTATAATCATGCCTGTAAACTACTTGTCAATGAGGATAAGCAGTTTGTTTTAAATTTGATATGTTATTTAGAAAGACAAACAAACTCCTAAACGTGGAAATTAATTACCTTGCATTTTAACGATAATTCGGATATAAAAGCATTTGATTGTTTTTCAATATACATGATTATATGGTTAGCGGTTTGACCCTTGAGCAGTATATCGCTAGATAAATATTGGAATTTGAAAATGAATATGAAGTCGACGATAAGGAAACAGTTAAGATAAGCCCTGGGAAGGCTGGCATCTGTGGCAATGGTTTTGAATTATTCAAGCTCCTAGTTTTCAACAATCTTTACGTTTTGTGCTACCATTGACTTCTATTTAACGGAGAGAGAGAAGAAGACTTTCAGTTGTCAAAACTTTCAATTTTTTTAAAGAATAAAACTTGAACGATTTAGTACCAAAAAAAGCAATAAGATAAACACAAATGCCATAATTTAGACATAAGAATAGGAAGAATAAGAGAAGGAGAAGGAGGAGGAGAATAAAGAGAATAAAATGAAAAAGAAAACGAAGAAGAAGAAGAAAAAAAAAAAGAAAAGAAAAAAAGAAGAAGAAGAAGAAGAAGAAGAAGAAGAAGAAGAAGAAGAAGAAGAAGAAGAAGAAAAGGAAGGGGAAGGAGAAGAAAGAACGAAGAAGAAGAGGTAGAAAAAAACCGAATGAGAAGAGGTAGAACAACAAAAAGAAGAGAATGTCCATTGTCAACAAAAAAAACAGTTGGAGTTGTCTATTAAAGCAAAGGCAATATCAACAGTAAGATGGTGCTTTACATCACTTTTGTTTGCTTATACATAATCATGAAAGCACATAATACTAAATCATGTCAGCGCGTGGATAAAATAGATTTAACCCTTAGGTGGTATTTTGAAATCAAGATTTGAATAAAATATACTTTCATTCTATAGTTTTGACTGACATTTTGGCTATAATGAGACTTCGAAAAGATTTCATCATTAAAACGCTATTATAAATATTTGCTGCAGATTTCAAATTAACCAACAATCTTTCTTCCCTATAAGTTTGTTTTTAATAATGACTAATTGAGCTATCAATCAATTTCTCTTACAGAATAACAAAGTTGTCTCTGACTTGAAAAGTTTGGATGTTTATAAAACTCTTTTGTTAATTAATCATAAAAGAAAAGAAATGCTTAAGTGTAATTCTTTTATAACAATGATGATAAGCTCAAATTAATTGTATGCTAGCGGTATAGTAGAAAATTAAGTATTTCCATTCCATTGGCAAGTACACCATGCAGCTAAACAATTGTAATGATTAAATGCGGTAATCAGAGGGTTAATATATAGCCTCAACTTGACCTTGCAGACTATCACCCCATTTTCACTGTGAACCAAGCATATGGTCTGTAGTGTGATTAATTGGTGCAGGTTACCGAGGGTCATTAGCTCTCGTTAATGTGGCTATTAAATCCATAATCATACCATACATTAATTAGTGCAAGTGGCTGAAGGATATTTAAATATTCAAACACTTATTTTCTTCCAAGTAACTATGGAAGATGAATTTATGTATCGTACCTGGCTTGATAGAGAAGACTCAAAACTTCCAAGGAATTGGTAAAGAAAGAGGGCTCCAAAGTCTTGGAAAGTTTATAACTTTTTATTACTGAGAAGGGAAGAGATTTCTTGTATTTATTTTAAAGTTTGATTTCAAAATTACATGTAGGTCAAAGCTTTGACCAACAAAGAAATACTTGTTGGCAAACTACGTGCATGCGAATGGCCTGGCGATGCGGACTGTCGATCACAAGATCCGCGGTTCGAGTCCCGCCGCGGCACTAATGTCCTTTGGCAAAACATTGATCTACATTTGCCACACTCAACCCAGGTGATGTAAATGGGTACCTGCCAGGAATTAATTCCTTGACATGCTGAAGCGCTCTATAAACGGCAGCTAGGCAGGGGTAATAATAAATGCGCCACGGAATAGAATTATCTAGATAGACGGCGCTATATAAATTGCCTATTATTATTATTGTTATTAATATCAATACAGCATGCCTCGGACCTCTGGCTGGGACTAAAAGATATGAATGCTATCCAAAGAATACCAACGGAACTTCATGTACGTTCGTATTTTTTCACGTACAATTGAATTTCTCGAAAATAATATCGCTAGTGATATTCGTTTGTCTCGCAATGTATGGTCAACAAGCTAGATCTAAAAGATCACGACGTTTCTTGCGCCGCTGCAACACTTCGTCAGGTGATAAAATATAGTTGCTGTTGGTCAGTGGCGTACGCAAGATTTTTTCAAGGGTTTTTTTTTAAATCGGGGTCCAAAATTTCGCAAAGACTCAGCCAGCCGCTGAATTAGCGGGGGGGGGGGGGGGGGGGGGGGGTAAGCGGGCACTTTTTTTTTGGGGGGGGGGGTAAGCGGACACTTTATTTTGGGGGGGGGTGGTCTCGAAATTTGCAAATTTGACATTTTGTTCCGAAAACTCAGTTAGGTGGGGGGGCACCTGACATGATGGAGAACTCACTTCAATCAATAATTCGAAAATTGTTCCTTGTCCAAAGTCCGACTGTGCAAGGTGTTTTTATTGTTTAATTATGATGAACCATTATGTATACACGATTGTGAGTGTACTGGTGGATATCATTAGACACTTTTCTCAATTTGAGGTCATTTGTTCGTTATCAGGATCAGAGATACAAGCTTTTTTGCTATAATGCTCGCTATTAAGAAGACATCTCATCATGAATTGCTTTTATCTATTTATAATGAAGCAATGTTGATCACTAACCTTATGTTAGCGGTACTAATGTGATTATGGATTTGGGTCAAGTTCGGGTTACATTTGGGGTTTAAGATTTAGGGCTAAGGTTAGCATCATGATGATTAAGATTTAGCTTCCGAGTTGAGCAATTAGAGACAATTCCATACGAGCAAGGCTATTGCTCTTTATTGGTCAAACTGACTACACACGAAGCTTTCATTTCAATCTTTCAATCTTAAATTCTTATACGATATAAATATTCGCATACAGGATAGTAATTTGTTTGGAGGTAACATGGCATGAAATGACAAATAAGTATGTAACATTTTGTGTGTGATAAAGTCTCATTCTTTAGTCACAATAAAAAATAAGAAACATCAGTGCCAGCGTTTCGGTAGGGAAACAAATGACCTGTGTTTTATCAATTACCTTTAAACTTAGACATGAATAGGACTTTTAGAAAAATCTCAAATCAAGAAAAAACTTCGACCTTGTTCGGAATATTATTTTGCCAAGATGTTCAGATACATTTAAATGTATACAACAGAAGGAAATAAAACATTACAGCATCACTAAAGAAAAGCTGTGACCCTTTTTATAATAATTGTAATCATGCAAACAATATTAGAAATAACATTATTAAATCGTATAGTTGTGGAAAGTTAACCAATAATTTTTTTTTAAAAGAACACTATTTTTAAAAAAATCCCTCCTTTCCTCTTTCTCCCCTCTCTCACTCTCTCTCCTCCCCTCTCCTTTCTCTCTGGCTCTTTCACCCTTTCTCACTCTCTCTCTCTCTCTCTCTCTCTCTCTACCTATTTCTCTGTTACTTGCTCTTTTGTTCAGGCTAAGTAGAACACAAGAAAATCCTATTTTACATTATGTGAGCTGATGTTATTGTTTATTCCAATTCATTCTTTTCCCAAATCCCTTGAACGCCAGCGTCTGTTTTATAATCAATATCATTATTTGAATTTGCATACTAAGCGTTAGATATATTTTATCGATTATTCATGTAGTAATTATATTTGTCAAAGAATAGAAGTGAAATAAATTAAATCACTAAAAACCACTCTTTTGTCACATATACTTTTTCGCTATTCTGCTAGCCTGCCCAGGTCGGGAAAAATTCGTGCAAATTTATGAAATTTCTGTTATGAGGAATTTGAGAGGACAACTTTATAAGTGACAACTCGATTATGTTGCAAAACAATATATGCCAGCACAACAATAGCTTCCTGAGAAAGAATAACAATCAATAAATTCTAAAGTGCGTATTTCCACCGATTCATTGTTTCATTTCTAGTTACATGAAACGAAAATAACAAGAAGTCCTCTCCTTTTGAAGTATAAAGCCCAATAACATTACAACGTTCAACATCTTTAATAGATTCACTAAAATCCCAATCTCAATTCCACATTAGCAATTGTTAATAATTCTGTAAGCTTTGATTAAATGGGTTGTTTTGAGAGTCAAAACTTTCTTTCTACGTTAAATACGTTATACTATCTATAACATTCGCACAGTTAAACATTTTTGTCCATCAGTAGATCAGTAAATTTTGTTATGATATATAGATCTCAGATCTATATTCAATTTTGTACAGCAGTTGATGTTTCTTCACAAAATATACTCCCAAATACAATATCAAGTAAATTTGATGATAATATCCGCATTTACAACCGTAAAACAAGGAGTAAAAACTGCTTCTGATAGTTGGAAAGTTTCATATGGTTTCGAGTCTCCCTATAATATGGAATATCATACCGAGTAATAAAGTCAACGATTATTACACCAGTAAGTCTACCGATGTTAAATTTGTGCCTTACACCTCCATTACATAACCCTTACCCCTCCTTTAGCCCTATCTCACCCCCTCCCTAACCCTTTCCTTACCCCTCCTTTGCCCTCCTTTATAACTTCTTTACCCCTGGCAGTAAGGACTATCCCCGTTGGTCTCAAGATAGAATGCCCCTATCCCTTTGTTGAGGTCCGCCTTGTACCCCATCTGAGGGCAGCTCCAGCTGGTACACGGCGTCCATCTTCCAGCGTCGATGTCGTCCCATGTCGACCCCGTCCTCGTGGAGGAAAACGTACAAGATGACGAGATGCTTTCGATGTAGTACTCGACGGCTCGGCTGTGATCGCATGAGGCGTCGAGTCGAGGGCAACCAGGCATTTCCATGCCACCGTTCGGGTAGAAGTCTTGATGGCCAAGCTGTGACAGAAAGTAATCATGCAAATCGCAAGTTTTGGTTATTAGGACAACACAACTACACAAGACGACATTCTGAAGGGCAATAACCGGTGTTAAATCCCTTCAGGATAGGTTCCATTTTGGCTTTTAGTACACAAATATAATAGTCAAAAGGCGGGAAAAGTTTATAAAATCTGAAATTGTATTTGTTAAATAAATGTCAAGCTTTCATCTTATTCTTTATATCTTTCAATATCAATGCCTGCGTGTTTTGTTTATTCCTCTATTGCTCAATTACTCAACCATCGAGCCATTTTTACATGATCGCAAGCTGAATTGTACCGCAATCATTCACAATAGAGATATGGCCATTAAACTTTGTAGAGGTTTCATTCTTAAACTAGATACACTTGAAATATTGTGAGTACGTTGAATCTTAAAAATTGATGTGCGGGTTCTGTGACTTGTTTTTGTTTTTAAATATTGCTTCGAAACCATCTTGTAAGAAGTTTGAAGCCCCTCTAAATTGTTGGGAGCCCAGAAAAAATCTGATGGCAAAATTTCACTTAAATTGTATCATAATGTGAAAGAAAATGTAATTTAAGACACATTTCTGGAAGGATTTTCAAAAATGTGTTCGTCAAAAGTCGAATATTGATGAAAGAATACAAAATTTAGGTTTTTCGCGTACAACAGAAAATCCAAATTATGTATTCTTTTCTCAATATTTGTCCTCAAACACATTTTGGGGGGGGAGAAATCTTTGCAGAATTGTGTCTTAAATTACATTTTCTTTCACATTATGATACAATTCAAACTTATGTGGCTTCAGAGAATAATTGTTCTCCCCCCCCCCCCCCCCATGTTTTCTACAGCAGATGTTTGTCAACAAAGTCGTTTTTTTAAGAAATATGTCATAAGCCATACCTCATCCATGAGTCCGGCACCACCACCAATAAGGATTTCACCATCAGTATGCATAGCATCGACGAAGAGGGCGTCAGACCGATCCAGTCTACAGGCGTTATCAAGATCACCACTAAACTCTGGACCAGCGGGATCCATTCCTGAGGGGAAAAAAATCCAGAATAATTATCAATCAATTTCATTCCAAAGTGTGTCGAAATTATATTATGCATTGATGTAGAACTTTCATCATTGAGCAAATGAAACAAGGATATTTCTCAAGCGACAAATTGATTACTTTTAATTTGTTAAATATCTCTTCTTAAATTATCCTGTGAAACCATACCACAATGTTCAATGTTCTTATATATTTGTTATGTTTATGTTATCATATTTTATGTTTTATGTATTGTTTTACCCATCTTTGAATTTTATGATAATAATGCAGACATGTGCAGGATTTGATTTTCGCTGACGATGGTCTAGTACTTAATTTATCCTGGGAATGTCGCTCAACAAGCCTAGCTTTTTTGAGATTCCCCTTTTTCCCCTTTCAGTTAAAACAAGCAAGGCGCGTACGCAGGATTTTTTGAAGGGGGGGGGGGGGGGGGGGGGGGGGGGGGGTAAGAGGACATTTTTTTTGTTTTTTTTTTGGTCTCGAAATTTGAACATTTGACATTTTGCTCCGTTGGGGGGGGGGGGTTAAGGTCACCTTTTTTAGGTCAGCCATGGGAATATTTTTTTATTTATTTTTTATTTTTTATTATTAAAAAAAAAAGGGGGGTGGGTTTTTTTTTTTTTTTTTAGGGGGGTTCATACACATAACAATACCAAAGGGGGGCGTACGCGCCTGAAACAAGCAATATAAAATATTTTGTCTTATTCTCAAACTTAAATGTATTCTGTAAAACTTTTTTATTACGTACATACTTTTAAATACAGTATTTCGCTACTTGCATCATTCATTTGATCTATTATATATTGTAATGCTGTGTGGTATATATGCCATTTTAATTTGTGGAAATTTGAGTGGAAAAATAAATCGAATCATATAAAAAAAAATATATATATCTCTCTGCATAACAGGGGTTCTATAATGTGATGACGTGACAGAAAGGATTGAGAAGTAAGGTATATACCTGATACTCGACCAATGGTGCCCGAGCATGCCTCTCCAGCGTAACCACCGATGTGAGCGCCCAGGCTGTGACCAATGATGTGCATGGAGCCGAAGGTAGCACCGGTAGCAGCGTTGAGAGCCTCAATGAGCTTAGCGATCTCCCTGCCGACCACGCGAGTGTTAGCTCTACTCCGAGTGTACCCCATCAAAGCACCGTCCGACCAGTCAACCATCACGACGTTGACGTCGTACTGAAAATCAAATGGACGCATCAACATACAAAGGGTTTTCCTTCTATCACGTCGACAATGATTAACTTTGTAGATTTTTAGTTCGTCATTATTGGGAACTTTAATATGACCATGCGACTGTAGCTGTTATCATTTGGCCTGTTATTCTATGGGTATAAAGGAAGATCTCGAGCTCTTAAGTTAAGCTCCATTTGCTACTCTCGACCCAGGTCTAGATCTCCGTGGCGGCTACCCGGTTATAAATTATTCCTTAAATTCAATATTATTGTGCACTGAATAGTTTTCACTGCTGTAGCATAACGCAAAATACGCTTTACAAAACGGTATATAATCATTGTGATGTGATGTGATCAATAGATTAATAATCACGATAACTTATTTTCCCTCAGGAAAACTATCTCTTTCGATATCTCGATTAATAGCTTTTGTTGTCCGTCATTTCTTACGTTATCAAGTAGGGCATCCCTCATGTTGATCCAGCTACTTCCTCTCATACTATCAGTCCAGCCGTGGACGATGAGTTTGGTATCTCGACTCGACCCGAAATTCGATGAAGTGATCGTAGCGTCGTCCGTACGATCGAGGACATCGCCTGAGTATCTATTCTGTCTGGTATAGAGCTTGAAAGTGGTTCCTATGTCGGCAGGAGAGCTAGGGTTTCTCCAATGGCACTCCATCGAAGTGGCGAAACATCCAAGATCATCGTAACAAACACTACATGAAACTGATCATCATCATTGAGAAAGAGAAACAAAATTATACAAATCGTTGATTGAAGTGAAATACTGTTATTTCACTTATAAGTTGTATTATAATGTACCCATGTACCTCAGCTGGTACACCCTCTTTGACTTCCTTTTTCTATCCCCTCCTTTGTTGGTAATAATAATCTCACTATTGCATGATACTTGTCAGGTCACGGACGACATAGGTACAATATTATATAACGATGGTTGATGATGAAGAGATAAACCCAAGTATACACGATGCCATAGCCTGTAAATATTACCTTCCTCATGAATTTAATTAAAATGTTATGAATCATAAATAGTCATTCAGCCTATTTCATACGAATGATCGTAGTCGTGACTTCTCTTACTATACACTTTTCAGTAATAGGTGTTACTGAAACTTGGTTTAGTGACAACTCACCACCTATAATATCAATGATTATTCACTGATACGCTCTGATAGACAATCTGGTAGAGGTGGTGGAGTTGCAATGTATATATCTAATTTGTTGTCGTATAAAACAAGACCAGATCTTACCTTCAACAATTATTTCATTGACTCAAAAAGTGTAGAAATTAACTTGCATAATAAAAAAAAAAATGTTATTGTTTGTACGGTCTATCGGCCTCCAAATACGAGCGTTGATATATTTTGGAAGATTTAAACATTTTATTAGAACGGATAAATCATGAAAATAAAGATGTATACTTGATGGGTTATTTTAATATAGACCTGTTGAACTCGGATAATAATTATTATAATACTTTTGTGAATACTTTACAAGCGAATTCTTTCATTGGAGCCATTGATAAACATACACGAATTACGTAGAACACATCAATATTTTTACGAATGTTGTTTATACTGAAGATATGAATGCTGGTCTAGTAAACAGTAAAATATCTGATCACATTCCTGTATTTCTTATTTGTAATAATGATCTCATGTCTCGTACAAAACAAAAGGAAATATGAATGTCTCGTAAATTTAAAACAGAAAATATATTATCTTTAAAGGCCCACTGCACTACTTGTAGCTACTTGCGCCCTCTATATAACAAACAATGCCTAATCGGTGACCATTGGTCCCCCATGATCCTCTTTTTCTTATGTTAACTGAGAGCTGAGTTGATGAGATAACCACCTGTCCAGTGACCTTGCAGGGCGGTCTAATCCCTCCTGTAAACTATGGCAGATAAGCTTTAAATAATGATTTAATGATGGAAACATGGAATAATTTAGTATCTTGTAGTGAAACTGATACTGCATATGGACTATTTAAGAATATATTTTCAGCCAACTTTGATAGATGCATTACAAAGACGAAACAAATTATAAATAAAAGAAAACCACAAAATAAGTAATTTTAATTTGTTAAGTTATGTTAATAATATTTTGTTTTCTTGGTAATTTGAGTAATGTTAATTCCATTCGTAATATTAATCCTCTTTTTTTTTAAAGTAATTTTGATTTGTGTACATGTACAGCGCTTTGAAACTTTTGTCACAAGCGCTATATAAATTGTTCATATTATTATTGTTATTATTTAAAATCCATGGATAAGAAAGGGAATTTTTCGTTCGATTAAGAAACGAAATATATTGTACAAACGTAGTGTCCGACATCCAAGTAACGAGAATAAATACGAATATAAATTTTATAGGAATAAATTAACAAACAATAATTAGACTATCTCGTAATATGTACTGTGTAAAAGAATTTAAAAATGCTAACGGCAATATGGCATCTACCTGGAAAGTCATAAAAATCTCTTTGAAAGCAAAAGACTAAGTCAAAAAATAATATTAACAAAGATGGTCAGACAATTTCAGACTCTTAAGATAATTATAGCAGATTGTTTTAATAAGTATTTCGTAAATGTAGGCCCTATTCATGCATCTAAAATAAATTCCAATGGTTCAGATCATTTACAATACCTTTCAAATCCATGTGATAAATCGTTTTTCTTTATGCCTACAAACTGTGTTGAATTTTGGAATATTGTCAATTCATTGAAATTAAGTTATTCTTGTAGTCATATTGAGATGAGTACGCACTTTTTAAAACAAATAGCAGGAAGTATTGTAACGCCTCTAGTACATATTTGTAATGTATTACTTACAATAGGAATCTTTCCGGACTCACTGAAAATAGCAAAAGTAATTCCAATATACAAAAAAGACGACTCTTATCTAGATTCAAATTACCGACCTGTTTCTATCTTACCAAGTATTTCTAAAGTCTTAGAAAGACTGATTTATAATAGACTGTATGATTTTCTAACAAAAAATGAAATGTTGTATGAAAATCAATATGGTTTTAGAAAAGTTCATTCAAATGACTTAGTATTGTTACAATTATTTGATAGAGTGTCAAACGCCTTAGCAGATCATAAGCATGTTATTGGAGTATTCATGGATCTGAGCAAGGCATTTGACACTCTTGACCATACAACACTTATATGTAAATTGGAATATTATGGATTGAGGGGTGTTGCTATACAATGGTTTAAAAAATTATTTAGCAAATAAAAACCAATATCTATGTTATGATTCAAATGAGTCAGAATTATTATCTATAACGTGTGGAGTTCCACAAGGGTCAATCCTCGGCCCTTTGTTATTTTTGATATATGTAAATGATATTTATAATTCATCAAATGCACTACAGTAAATTTTATTCGCTGATGACACAAATGCATTTTGTTCCAATTCAGAGTTTCAGATCCTTTTAAGAAATATTAACACTGAATTACCAAAATTATCAAAATGATTTAGAACTAATAAACTGTCTCTTAATTTAAAGAAAACAAACTACCGTGTGAGTCAAACAAAAGTTTACACCTAGAAAATTGCAAATTATTAAAAAAATTATCTATGAACAGTAAATTATTATACATCTCATGAAAGAGTGTTTCATCCCCAATCATTTGGTATCACTTTTGTGTGGTATGTGTTCACGCTTGGATGAACATGAGGCATTGTTTGCGAGAGTGCAAAAATCGAGTCGATAATAAACGAGTGTCCTCAAATGAGAAAGGTACAACGTTGAAATAGGCCTATAAGATCTTTGCCAACATGGTGACAATAATATATCATACACTCTTGCCAATAAAGTTGGAATAATTTTTCTGTAACTCTTGTCATGACATTACATATAGCGGTATGAATTATTCTTAATAGACAAAGTATGTCAGAACTTTATTGATCAATCAATCTCTATAAAACTTTCGATTAATCGATAAAGTTCTAAGATGATGCAAACTTTGTGATTTATGAATAATTCATATTGTTACAATCATGTCGTGAGAAGATGCAAAGTCAAATTATTCCAACGTGATGGGCAACTGTGTATCTGGTGAGAGTAAATGACAAGTTTTTATCATTACCAAATTGAATCACATCACACGCACTTACACAAACACATACAAATAGAAGTTTATACTTTACAAAAATAATTTACCTGCTGCTATAAAACATGCGAAAACCAGTATATGAACGAGGGATTCCATGATACTAGAAATTGATAATCCAAACTTCAGCGATCTCTTGTAATACTGCAGTCGAAAACGTCCGATTTACAAAATCGACCACCTTTATATAAATGTTTATGGTCATCTATAATTAGTTAATATTAATCTGCCCAAGATAAAGCAGCCAATGACGTTCATTATGACGGTGTTAGATAAGGTATCAAAGTCAGAAAACAAAGCGATTGGTTATAATCCCTTACGAAATATTGTTTGTAGGCTACGTCGGACGTTCGTTTGGCATCAATACTAGAGCGCTTTCGCAAACACGACGGAAGCAGAGAACAAGGGAGAATGACCCCAACCGATATCAATTAATGTATGCAGTTGGAATTCTGTCTATTGAAATACTATTATTCTTATCAGGTGAATAAAATAATTTGTATTGAAGCACTTCACACAGACTTATGCATTAAATTTGGTTACATTCCGAAAATCGGAATTGTATGGCGATACAGCTCTTTCGTCGTGTCTAGGGAACAAACGCTAGTATGGCCGACGGACTGTCGTGAAAATCAACCAGACTGAGAAAATTTTGTTTCGTGCATGCGCAGATTGATTGTTTCGCTAGGTTACCCTCGTCTTTACATTCCGTCGTGTTTGCGAAAGCGCTCTATCGTCTAACCTCGTTTTCTGTGAAGGCCCATACTCCCATACTTTTCCAAGAACATTTCTAGAGTAGGTAGCAAATATTTGTTTTTGTGCTTTTATTTTGCTTCGTGGCAAAGGGAACCCTCTTAGACTACCTCGGATAAGAAGTCAAGACTCCCTGGCTAATCCATTCCTGCAAATTCTCCTTTTGTATACCATTTATTCAGATGGTCAAGGGTGTTAACACCTCTTTAAATGTCTTTCTTGCTCTCAGTGTTGGATTTTGACAGCTATACGTCGAACCTGTGCGTTGAGGCCATCCAATGGAAACATCTAGAAGTATAGCCTTTCTAAACAGGTTCTGTCAATCCACAGTACGTGATAATTCGCGTGCATTTATTAATTTTTATTCATTTAAAACAAAATGGTGCGTGCATACGTAATAAGCGATCCATGGGGCTGTTTAGATCTTTAATTTTGATTCTTAGAATCGCTCATTTTGCATGACTTTGGTCTCACTTAAAAGATGAGATTTTAAAGTTTTTTGGGCAATGTATGAAAATTATGTCGGTGAGGTGATTGGAAATGACATTTAGGTTCGGATATTGGCTAATAGAGATTCCTTTTGTTGGCAATTAAGTGCTAATTTTCACCATTAAATTACTTTTTCGTCAACAAAAAATTTACATCTCTCGAACGAGTAGATATTGATCTTTATATAGGTACCAACAGTGGCGTACCCAGGATTTTTTCAAGGGGGGGGGGGTTAAATTTGGCCCAAAATTTGCTTCCGAAAATTGAAAATCGCGCCGGCCGAAAAGTCGCTCATGGGGGGGGGGGCGGGCGGGGGTAAGCGGACACTTTTTTTTTGGGGGGGGGAGTCCCAACAAAATCGCTACGACTCAGCCAGCCGAAAATTCGCTCAGTGGGGGGGGGGGGGGGGGGGGGGTCTCGAAATTTGAAAAATTGACATATTGTTTCGTGGGGGGGGGGTAAGGTCACCTTTTTTAGGTCAGCCATTGGCATAATTTTTTTATTTATTTTTTATAACAAAAACAAAAACAAAAACAAAATCAAAACGGGGGGGTTTCACAAAAAATATATACAAAACATACACTTAAAAAAAACTTAAGGGGGTTGAACCCCCCCCCCCCCCCCCCCCCCCCCTGCGTACGCGCCTGGGTATCAACATGTTGAGACGAAATGGCGTAGCTGGGTCAGGAACCAATAAAAAACACATGTTTTTAGATTAAAACAATTTTAGATAGCGGAGATAGCGAGTCAGGAGTGGGGGGAATAGCTGGCGTGCGTGAGCTTACAGAAATAATGGCTTTGAGAATACCGCCCCTAGCCTCTTGGAAGAGCCAACTGGGTCCTAACGTATAAACCAAACTTCGTGCAATAAGCATAATTTCGTGCCCGCTTAGAATTATTAAAATGTTTAGTTCAAATATTTTGTATTTTTAGGCTAAATTCGTATTCTAAATTTCCAAGAATACAGTTTTGCGTCAACATTCAATTTGACAAATTTTGCTCACTGGAATGATTTTGGTAAACCATTCGAATTATGCGATGTACCGAAATGATGGTCAAATATCAGAGCAATAAAATAGTCATTAAGTCGTCCCTTTATAATAAAAGCAAGAGTAAAGAATATTTGATAAAATAACGACCGATTTTTATCTTGCCAACCTTTTCCAGAATGTTAGGAAAAAAATCTTACTGATTAAAAACAATATGTTGTACTCTGCATAATTAGGATCTAGGAACAATATACTAAACTTCCTTGGCTTTATTTGTTTAGTTATAAATAATGTATCTAGTGCAAAAGAAAATAAACTCAGTTGGTATTTTCCTTGATTTCTCGAAAGCTTTATATAATGTGATTCGTTCATTTCTCTTACAAAAACTCTTATTCTATGGTATTAGAAGCATTACTTTTAAGTGCAACGAACTTCGACATACTTTACCCAAGACAACAAACAACAGAGAGGGAAAGAAGGAGAGAGAGAGAGATAGAGAGGGAGGGAGAGAGAGAGAGAAGGGTGATATTTTTGCAAATAACTTTAAAGGGAAACAACCAAGAAAACTATTTTTAAAAAGAAAAATATCAGAGAAGCAGGCTGGTGAATATTTGAACAAAAATAAGAAAATTATGAATTTCCGGAAGTTGCCATCACTACACGTATCGGTATGGCAACTTCGAATTGGCTCAATAGAAATTGTCACTGTGATGTAATGGCGGACAATTTTCCACTTTGTTCCAAAACAAAATGACTAAAATTACATCACCATGCAGGAAAGCCTTTCTTCTTTTTAGATGTCCTATAATGATATACTATCCAAAGTATACTTTGAGTAGTGTCCCAACAAATAGGCACTCTTTTATTATCACCGATTTACTTTTCAAACTTTCGTCATCCTATCTCTCATTTTTTCTGTTTTTAGTGCTTTCATACAAATTAAATCATAACACAGATTGGATAGCCCTTTAACGTATAATGCTAGCTCTCTGGCACCAATTAAAACTCTTTTCTCTTTATTTCTTTACAGTTTACTTATCAGGTCGTAAACATTATCGTAATTACCCCATAGCTTGTTTTAGGACCATTAAAGCCAAGTGCCGAAATAAATTATTAATATCCAGCTGTAAATGACTTACAAATTTCTTTATAAAAAGGGGATATTTTTGCTGGTGAGTATACTTCCTATCCGAGAGGACTTTTGAAGCAGATCGTTGAAAAGTCGGACCGACGTCCTCAAGTATCATGGCAACTTTAGTCCAGCTACTGGTCTTCGCATGTCTTCTTCTAGCAGGTATCGTTGCTTCTAATTATCAAAATCAATTTTTTTTTTCATTGCATTTTGCCCCGACCCCCAACATAAAAAAAAATCTTCTATGGGGGCATGCCTTGAACCATAATGCATGGCCCTACAAAGGTTTTTTTCCTGCTGGGGACTGGGGGGAAATGCAATGAATTATTGAAAATTTATTGCATTTTCTCTCTTTTTTGTTTTTGTGGGGGCGTCGACGTACCCTAGCGCCCGCTGCGTACAGTCATGATTCATTGGCTAAGCAATGGCCTCGTAACTATGAGCCCCCAGGATCAACACCGTGTCGATGTGCTATATTAGTGCCCTTGTATGAGGTATTAATCTCCATTACTGTCAGTTATGACTTAAGGACGTAGGTCCCTAGTTGATTAGCATAGCAGCACACATATGTTTTAGCAGTCACGCAAAACAAACTCTCCCCAATTGTCATTCAATAAAATCTGAGAATGTATACTATTATCTAGATCTATTAGGAATAAATCATTGTCAAAATCATTCAATAAATTGGGGTAAAAATAATTATTCCACCATTATGACCAACAGTGTATAATCCAAGAAATTACAAATAGCACACCATGGTTCATTGTTTTTTTCGTCGCATTCAACGTCAGTATCATGTGAATTATGTTACGACGATCTCGGCTGCTTCGAGACGTCGTTTTCATGCCATGATCGGAAAGCAAACACCCCAGCCGAAATCGGAACACATCAATCAACGATTTGTATAATTTTGTTTCTCTTTCTCAATGATGATGATCAGTTTCATGTAGTGTTTGTTACGATGATCTTGGATGTTTCGACACTTCGATGGCGTGCCATTGGAGAAACCCTAGCTCTCCTGCCGACATAGGAACCACTTTCAAGCTCTATACCAGACAGAATAGATACTCAGGCGATGTCCTGGATCGTACGGACGACGCTACGATCACTTCATCGAATTTCGAGTCGAGTCTCGATACCAAACTCATCGTCCACGGTTGGACTGATAGTATGACTGGAGATAGCTGGATCGACATGAGGGATGCCCTACTTGATAACGTAAGAACAACATATCATTTTCAGAATTGAGTTACTATGGAGCGCCTTGAACACCTTGCAGGTGGATATATGCGCTATATAAATATCCAATAATATTATTATTATCCATATTATCCCAACTCTTGTCTCGCAACTTTCATGAATTTGATTTTTTGTTTGTTGTTTGTATAGTTAAAACTGTAATAGAAAAGATCAGAGCCCACTCGTTTTACATAAATGATACTTCACGACTGTAGTCTAATCAGATTTGCAATGTTTATAATAATATTCCGCTATCATATAGCGCTAAGTAATATGCTGTTTAAGACAGTCACTGGTCTTCATAATGGTTTAATACATTGCCACTAAGTGACACCAGTCTTAATGCTGTTTGGGCTTTTCACCAAGTACGAATAAACATATGAATCCAATAATCAGTCCATCCATAATCTTGGCAAATAAATATCACAAACAGTGGGCACCTTTGCCCTTGATGCTGGTTTATTCTTAAGCTTAGTATTTGTGACAATACTAAAACGGTTGAAATAATGTGTTTTTTCTTCTAGTATTTTCTTAATTAGACTGATGTCAAAGTTACCCTATTATGTTGTTTTACTCAGCCAAATATTACTCATTGCCTTTACCGAAAATACGTCGTAATCATTAAAGATCATTGACAGTATACATGGGATAATAACAAAGAGTTTCTTTGCTTAGACAGACAATATAGGCAGACAATACTTCATCGGATGAAGTGTATAACGTACATAAAAATGAAGAAAAAAAAATCAACGTTATTTAATTAACAGTACGACATCAACGTCGTGATGGTTGACTGGTCCGACGGTGCCAAAATGTTCTACACGAAGAGCAGAGCTAATACTCGCGTGGTCGGCAGGGAGATCGCTAAGCTCATTGAGGCTCTCAACGCAGCTACGGGTGCTACCTTCGGCTCCATGCACATCATTGGTCACAGCCTGGGGCGCTCACATCGGTGGTTACGCCGGAGAGGCATGCACGGGCACCATTGGCCGAGTATCAGGTATATGTTTTATATCAATCATTTTTGTCAGGTCATCACTATCTTAAAGATGTAGACCGGTAGTGGTAAAATTGCGGTTTAAGGGTTTTGGGTGCAAAATATCCATTCAATATTGTTAAATATTGCCTTCAGAGGTTTAGATGGTAATACTTCAACCTAAATTCGCAAAAACAGCAGAAATATATGCCCAAATGTTCAATGTTAAAGTGCATTCTCGATATCTATCCAGGCCGGGTGAATACGATAATTTATCAAATAAATCAATTAGTAGGCGGTTTCCCGGCATATTTTGTATCATCACGTATTAGTGGGACATTAAAAAGCAAACTCCTATGTAAACAGATTTTAAATCTTGAATAACTAAAGTTTTCCGTCATCGTCTATCATTCCATGATATGTATGCAACAATTATGATAGGGAGGATCGAAACACATTTCAGTTTCATTATGTAATTATGTGGAAGAGGGGTCTGTACATTAAAGAAGAAGAAAAAGAAGGTATGAACTTGTTTTCTTAAAACAAAAGTTTTTTAATATTATTTCACTTTCTCTCTGTGACTGTCTGCCTGTCTCTCTCTCTCTCTCTCTCTCTCTCTCGCTCTCTCTTTCTCTCTCTCCCTGTCTATATTCCTGTCTCTGTATGTATCTCTCTCTCTCTCTCTCTCTTTATCTCCCTCTCTCTCTCTCTCTCTCTCCTTTCTCTACCTAAATAGGACTGGATCCCGCAGGTCCAGAATTCGCTGGTGATCTTGACAAATCCTGTCGTCTGGATAACACAGACGCCAACTTTGTCGATGTCATGCACACAGACGGTGAAATCCTGATACTCGGCGGGCTTGGACTAATGGATGAGGTATGTCATTTTGTATGTTAAATGTTTGTGGTCTTTATATATATATATATATATATATATATATATATATATATATATATATTATCTTTGAGACGTGTTTTCAATATGTTATGACAATGACCAAAAATCGGAGAGAGAGGGAGAGAGAATGTGTGTGTGTGTGTGTGTGCGTGTGTGCGTGTGTGTGAGAGAGAGAGAGAAATATGCGTGTGTGTGTGTGTGTGTGCGTGTGTGTGTGTGTGTTCGTGTTGGTGTGTCTGTTGGTGTGTGTGTGTGTGTGTTAGAGGATGAGAAGAGAGAAAAATAGAGAACTGGGTCGCCATTGTTATTTATCTAGAATTCCCTTATACCTTATTTTGACCAGATATAGACAAATCATAATCAGTATTACCCTGCAAAAATTTCAGTTCTGTCACCTGCAAAAAACATTATTTATTTCTTCTACTGGTTTGTGTTTGAATTTTTTTTTTTTTGACCGTGTACTGAATCGGTTAAACAAAACGGGGGTCGTCAGCAAGGATATTAACAGAACACAAACAATGACACCGATGTTCTATTCCTTTTTATCATTTTCAATGTGTATTAATAAGAATACTGCTATGTTGACTATCTTTTATTTTGATGGTTCGTCTGTGATTATAATTACAACGATATAGTTTTTCATATATATCTTATGTATTTTTACAATGTGTGACAAAAACAAATTTCCATGTATTCCTGTGAATTTGGATGAATAAAAAGAATTGAATTGAATTGAATTGACTCTAAGTTATAGAGTAAGAAGATGAAAAAATTGAAGCCCATCTGTACTAGTTTGGCCAGGAAGGATTAGACCACCTAGGGTGGTCACAGACAGAAAAAGAGGATCATGGGGGACCAATGGTCACCGTTTATGCATTGTTTTCTATATAGAGGGAGCAAGCACCTACAAGTAGTACAGTGGGGCTTTAAACAAAAAGAAACAAATTATATATGTATTTTATTTTATAATCATTTTTAATCACAGCTTGGACATCAGGACTTCTATCCCAATAACGGGCAAGAAATGCCTGGTTGTGAAGGAATTTCACCAACTTGTGATCACCTCAAGGCCGTCGAATACTTTATCGAGAGCATCTCATCAACGTGTTCATTCACCGCTACGAAGAAAGGTTCGACCTGGGACGACCTCGACGATGGTCTCTGGACATCGTGCACGAGCTCCACCTGCCCTCAGATGGGGTACAAGGCGGACCTTAGCAAGGGGCAGGGGGCATTCTATCTTGAGACCAACGCGGATAGTCCTTACTGCCAGTAAAATGCGTAACTATGGTACAACGTCATGCCATAAAAAGCACAGCGATTAACTCCTTGTAATCGTATTGAGATTAAAATGAAAAATATGTAACATTTATGAATCTCTTAGGGATTTAAACATAAGCAGTGTCCTAGTATTCAATTTATACAAGGAAACTCTTTTACCTTTTAGATTTCATTGTCAGACACTATGAGTGACTGTCTGATATCTCTTTTCTTTGGTAATAACATAATATAAAATGAGCTGTACCAGGTACATGAGCATGTGTCTACATCAATAACCCACTACTTGTAATGGCCAAATTCAAACTGATTGAATTTTTGTGCAACACAAAACGTACAACCATTTTGGTAAAAGGGTCTGAAAATCAGTCTATAACTTAGGTGATTGCAATCACTTAAGTCGATTCGACAACTATTGGTCGTTATTTTTCCACTTAAACTTATTTCCAAGCCCTTTCGTTTTAAGGGAAGTTCTAAGTTAGTATTGTCTTTCAAATGCCGTTGGAATCTAACTTTTTTCATTTTTTCGGCCTGCTAATGGAAATAATTATTTTAAAACATGCTTAGTTTGTAAGAATGTTGTTGCTTAGACCAGGAAGCTTTGACCTTTTACAGCTCCCTTCTTAGACTGCATAAAAAGGCTAACATTATGTTTCATTTGGAGCTCTCTAAGTTCTTTGGTGTTATCCAGGTAATTGCTTGGTTCAACTATAGGGTGCTGAGGCAGTTGTACAGCTCCTTGGTTCTTGAGTGTAAACCGTTCCATGTGAACTTTTAAATCTAAACTGATTTCCCAGTTGTTGGATGTACACAATGTTAGATGACGTAAGCAATCGTTCAATAAAAAGCATGACAAGCATGATTACATCGCACTCTCTACTTCTTTAAATATTGTACAGCATGGATGAGAAGGGAGATTGAATGCTTGTCATTGAAAAGGAAATGAGAGAAAAGGCGAGAAGAGTTAACGATAGGAGAGAGGGAGAGAGAGAGAGAGAGAGAGCTAAGAGCGGGAGAGAGAGATACAGAAAGAGAGGGGAGGAGGGATACAGAGAGAGAGAGGGTGAGGGGGAGTGGGAGAGATGGATACAGAGAGAGACAGAAAGAGAGACAGAGAGAAAAAGACATAGACAGACAGACAGAGAGAGAAAGAAAGAAAGAAAGAAAGAGAGAAATTATAAGAGCGGGAAAGAAAACATGAGATCAAAATTTGAAAGAAAGAGAGAGAGAGTCAAAAGGGCATATACATGTACAATGTATATAGAGAGATTGGTAAAGCCAAAAAACAGTGGGAGCTAGAAAGGGAGACAAACAGACAGAGACGAAGAGGACGATCAGACAGGGGCGTCGCTAAATGGGGGTGTGGGGTGCAACACCCCCCCCCCCCTCACTTGTCAGGCATATTTGCTCCGTTTAGTCTCATTTGACAACGCCCCCTATCGGCATAGCCCAGCAGCCTAACATGTACGTTAGCCTATGGACTTTTACCCCCCAAAAATCGTTACAAATTCAATTTTTTTTTGTTTAAACGAAAAGCACGTCCACCCCGACGTACGTTATCACTAGCTCTTTCATTGGAACCCTCATGTCCCATTGACTTTTGAAAGTTCACCTACCGTAGTTCGTTCAAAATAGGTCGCAAGCTCGCCATTGCCTATATAACAAATGTACAACAAGTCAAATTTGGACTCAATTTACCACGCGATTGTAAGGTTATAAGTCAAGCACACGAAGCATGCGAAGCATGAACTATCATAAATCAGATCTGATTTGCTCATTATTTTTGTTTCATCCAACCCCCCCCCCCCCCCCCCCCCCACCGTATTTGTCCATTTAGTATAGGCAAATATTCAGCCGAGGTAAGCAAAAAAATGAATATTCATGAACACCATGGAATATTCGATTATTAACAGAGGGGTGCAATTGTGCACCACATCAAACTCCCCTACTTTCAGTCAAGTATTTCTTGTATTATTTAGTTTGGTAGGTTATTTTACTACTGATCAATGATAGTTTAAAGATATGGAAAAGATTCTTGTATTTTATAATAAGCAAAGCAATCAAACATACCAAATCACTATCAAGTGTCGTCTGATCCGCCGATTGTCGTCTGCTATATACGGGAACGAGCTACGTATGTGCTGGCGAAAATGAGACAGCCGGAGCAATATGATACTGTCGTTAAAATTGCGCTGCCGTCGGGGAAAGGGGAAGGGGAAAACGAGAGGGAAAGGGAAAGAAAAGGAAAAAGAAAAGGAAAAAAAGAAAGAAAGGAAAAGAAAGAGAAGAGAAGAAGAAAGAAAGAGACAAAAGGTAAAGATGAAAAAGAGGAAAGAAAGGAAAGAAAAAAAAAGAAAAGAAAAGAAAGAAAATGAGAAAGGAAAAAAAAGAAACAAAAAGGAAACAAAAGAAACGGGGGATGAAAGAGAGGAGAAAGAGGGGAAGGGTAAGAGCCAGAGAAAGGAGGGCTGGGAGTAAATCCCCCCCCCCCCACATCGGGAACGGAGAGATCGCATTTATGTTCCCAAAATCTCCGGCTCGTGACAAACAAAAAGATACATACACCAATTATTGTTGTTGTATATTTTATTAAAATAAATCATGAGAATCACATATTTAAAAGATTCGTTGAAGTGAAAAATACAAGATACAAACAACAACAACGACAATATTACAAAAAGAGCATTAACTATACTTCGTGCAATATAGTATTTGATTCCCATAATTGTATTTTTATGCTAATATTCGTATTATATATTTTTCCAAGAATACGACTTTGCGCCAACTTAACTTTGACATATTATGCTGACTGGAATGATTTCTTTGGTAAAACATTCAAATTATATGGTGTACTGACCCGACGGGAGCGGTCTTTACTTTATTTCTGGTCTTAATAATATCGGGAAAATAGTGCTTAAGTCGTCCCTATAAAATAAACACAAGGGTAACGAACAATTACGGACCGATACTAAAAATCTATCCTGCCAACCTCTTCCAGAATTTTAGAAAAAACTTGTTTTCAGACTTCTGACTGATGATATTGTTAAAATAATATTTTGTACTCATCATAATTTTGATCTATATATAGGAAAAATACTAAAATTCTTTGGCTTTCATTAAGTTATGAACTATATATCCAGCGCAATAGAAAACAATTCAGTTGGCATTTTCCTTAATGTCTCGAAAGTTTCGATAATCATGAATCATTGATTTCAGTTACAAAACTACCATTCTTGGTATTAGAGGCATTACATTTCAGTGGTCCCAAAAATTATTTAAATAATCGGATATCATTTTTTGTTATTGATCAACAGCCGTCGATTTATGTTGACGCCAATGCCACCATATAGACTGGGGTGACGCAACGGAACTGCCACATACTGTACCAAGACCACAAACAACAGAGAGAGAGAGAAAGAGAGAGAGAGAGAGAGTGGGGGGAGAGAGGGAGAGAGAGAGAGAGGGAGAGAGGGGGTGGGGTAGAGATTATTTACAAACAGCCAAGATTAATAAACCTAAAAGAGGCAGCAAATCAGAGGAGCAGCCTGGTGAAAGTTGGAACAAAAATTGGAAAGTTATGAATTTCGGAAGTTGTTATTACTACACGTATCGGTATGGCAACTTCAAATTGTCTAAATAGGTAATATGACTATGATGTAGTAGCGGAGAACTTTCCAATTTGTTTCAACACACAAAAATACTCAAATTAGACCACAATGTTGACCTATAATGATATACTATCCAAAGTATACTTTGATCATACTTTGAGTGCCCCAAGAAATGAGGCACTTACGAGAAATAGAGAAATTAATGATATTTTTGTACATGGCAAACGGGAGAGTTTGTCCATGTCTACGTCATAATCCACTCACAAAATTGCCCATTTCGAATAGCTATAGTGATCTCATATTTCAAACATTCATAACTCTCTAACAATTGGACCGATTTTATTCAAACTTGCGTCATCATGTGTCACTCATTGTCCTGCTTTTATACATATTAAATCATTACAAAGATTGGATAGCCCGTTAACGTATAAAGCTAGCTCTGTGACACCAATCAAAACTCTTTTCTCTTATATTTCTTTACCGTTTACTTATCAGGTCGTAAAATTATCGTAATTACCCCCAAGCTTGTTTTGGGACCATTAGAAGTTCCGGAACAATTATTAATATTAATATCCAGCTGTAAGTGACTTACAAATTTCTTTATAAAAAGGGGAATATTTTTGCTGGTGAGTATATTTCCTATCCGACAGGACTTTTGAAGCAGATCGTTGAAAACTCGGACCGACGTTCTCAAGTACCATGGCAACTTTAGTCCAGCTACTGGTCTTCGCATGTCTTCTTCTAGCAGGTATCGTTGCTTCTAATTGAATCAAAATAAAATTGGCTGTTTGATTTGAAAGTTTTATTGAAAAAATAACACTTTAAATATTCATAACGAAAAAGAAAAAAATTGTCATTTTGTAATAAAAAGAATTCGATCGACGCTATGGCGGAAATCATCCACGACGATGGAAAACGCCATAAATACCAACAACAGCTTTAAACTTTCTTCAATTATCGGGTAATTATCGTCCTCGTTTCTTTTTTTAGTAGGTATAGATATTTGCATATTTTTTTGTTTCTTTCAAAACATAATGTTTTTTTCAAAATGGTGTGATTATTATCTTCACGTACAACGTTTTGCATGGTAATTTGCATCTCATTTGAAATCTGACTTGTTTGGATCTGAAAACGGTATTGATTTGATTTTTTTTTTTTTGATTTTTTTTAAAAAAATCATTAAGTTAGCAATTAGAAGTTAGATATTTGTATTATAGCCAAAGATGATAGGCAGGTAATAGATGTACGACATGGGAACTAATTATTCAATAATTGAAATAGCACCAATAAAATACATCAAAATTGGCGTGAAAATTCAGACACAAGAAGAATAAACCGTGTGGCGGTCATCTCAGTTTTTTTTTCTTAATTAATCATCATTATAACCACAGCACAACTTGTTAATGTTATATCTAATATAACCTGGTTCATTGTTTGTCTTCTTCTCATTCGTCGTCAGTATCGTGTGATTTCTGTTACGACGATCTCGGCTGCTTCGATACGTCGTTGAAATGCCATGATCGGAAAGCAAACACACCAGCCGAAATCAAGACCAGTTTCAAGGTCTATACTCGACAGAACCGAGGGAACGGTGATTCACTGAACCGCAATGACCTCGCTTCGATCACCGCATCCAGGTTCAGAGCGAGTCGAGATACCAAACTCATCGTCCACGGTTGGACTGATAGTATGACTGGAGATAGCTGGATCGACATGAAGAACACACTTATTGACACCGTAAGAACAAAATATATCTTTAAGGAATTTAGTCATTAATGTACACATTTAATTTATCCCAACCATCGGAGCTATCATGACTAAGATGTTCAAGTATTGTTTGTATATAGTTACAACTTTTATGAACAAGGTCACAGCCTTACTACTATATACGTTCATATTTATTTTATGTATTTTACATAGTCATTATCTAGTCCAATTTGTCAGATTTTCAGTTTATCAGATTGCAATGTTATCAAGTCACTGGTCTTCAAATTGTTTAATACATTACCCTATAATGGAAACCAGTCTTAATGCTGTTTGGTCTTTTTACCAAGTATGAATAAATATATGAATCAATCAATCAGTCCATCCATAATCTTGGGAAAAAATATCACAAACAGTGGGCACCTTTGCTCTTGATATTGATTTATTATAAAACTCAAGTTTTAAGGCAATCTAAGTCAACAGTTATGTTTTTCTATCAATACTAAAACGGTTGCAATGATGTGTTTTTCTTCCAATATTTTCTTAATTAGACTGATTACAAATTGACATTATTATGTCGTTTTGCTCAGCCAAATATTACTCGTGGCCTTTACCGAAAATGCGTAGTAGATATTCAAGATCATAGAGGCTGTTCACATCGGCAGAGATAGCGCGCGCTAGACCGCGCTATCCCTGCGGTTTTGAAGGGCGTGTTCACACCGCAAGGGGGGACCGTGGGCGGACCATGGATCGCGCTATCGTAGCGCGACCCACGGTCCGCCCATTGGCATTCGCCGGATCCACACCGCAGTGAGATAGCGCGGTCTAACTGCACCCCCTTTTTTGAGAGGTCCTGTTGTCATGACGCGTGACGTTCTGAATAGGCCATTTTTCGTAATGTAACCAAATTTAATGCATACGTCTTTGTAAAGTGCCTCAATACAAATTATTTCATTCACCTGATAAGAATAATAGTATTTCAATAGACAGAATCCAAACTGCATACATTAGTTTTTGTCAGGTTGGACAAGCATTATGGCTTGACCTACCTATATAGCAACACTTAATATATGCAGTTGCATTCTGACTATTGAAATACTATTGTTCCTATCAGGTGAATGAAATAATTTGTATTGAGGCACCTCACAAACACTTATGCATTAAATTTGGTTACATTACGAAAATGGCCTATTGTACCGATTCAGATTCAGATCGCACCAAAATAGAATGAGTATAAAATTCCCCGCGTGTAGAACGATGAAATCCGGCGTGCTATCGTAGCTCGGGTTCACACCGGCAGAGATAGCGCGGTCTAGCGCGCGCTAGACCGCGCTATCTCTCGTGGACCACCCCCAAGAGGTGCTCCAGTGTTGGCTCGCCGTGGCTCGCTGTTGGGCGGACCGAAACGACGTTGTACCTTCCACACCGCAGATAGCGCGCGGTCTAGCGCGCGCTAGACCGCGCTATCTCTGCCGGTGTGAACAGCCTCGAAGGTACAACGTCGTTTCGGTCCGCCCAACAGCGAGCCACGGCGAGCCAAAACGGCGTGCCACTGGAGCACCTCTTGGGGGTGGTCCACGAGAGAGAGCGCGGTCTTGCGCGCGCTAGAAAAAAGGGGGTGCTTCGATAGACCGCGCTATCTCATTACGGTGTGAACAGCCTCATAGACTGTATATACATGGGATAGTAACGAAGAGTTTATTTGCTTATGATGTAGACATACAATACTTAAATCGGATGAACCGTATAGTGTACATAAAATGGCGACACAAAAAAAAAATCACCGTTGTTTAATTAACAGTACGACGTTAACGTCGTGATGGTTGACTGGTCCACAGGAGCCGATAAGTGGTACTACAAAAAAGCAGAGCTAATACTCGCGTGGTCGGCAGGGAGATCGCTAAGCTCATTGAGGATCTCAACGCTGCTACCGGTGCTGGCTTCGGCTCCATGCACATCATTGGTCACAGCCTGGGCGCTCACATCGGTGGTTACGCTGGAGAGGCATGTTCGGGCACCGTTGGCCGAGTAACAGGTATACCTTACCTCTCAATCCTTTCTGTCAGGTCATCACATTATAGAAACCCTGTTATGCTTCCCTGCTTCTTTTTGTTTCTTTGTTGTCCCCTTAGAAATAATGTTTATGTATGTATGCATATTGCCCATGGATTTTGTCATCATAACACAGGAAGTGTATAATTAAAAAGATATATCTTAGGGGAAGGTGAGAAACAGACCATTGGTACAAGAGAGAAAATAGGACGGATAACAGGTTGGTAAACTGTCGATTAATCGCTTCTTCCTCCTTGGAAGTATCTTTGGTGGCAAATCTCATCACCCCTTTAGAAAATCTTTGTTTTGACCCCCTTCCTGAGGTAGAAATTCTTCCAGTGAGACATTAAATCAGCAAACTCCTATGTAAAAAGAGCGATTCCAAAACATTTTCTAACTTTGAATAACTGAGGTATTCTGTCTTGAAGTATTCGATACGACTACAGCTATCCCAAGTTATGTCTATTTCATGAAATGGTAGGCATAGTACTATGATAGGAAAAATCGAAACACACTATCGTTAAAGTACGTTCCTATTTCAGTTTCATTTTGTAAATATGTATGAAAGGGTCTGTACATTAAAGAAGAAGAAAGAGGAAGAGGAGAAAGAGAAGGAGGAGAAGAAGAAGACGAAGGAGAAGGTTTGGCACTTGTTAATAACGAGAGGTGTAACTGCTCTTATCTGTCTATCTTTCTCTCTCTCTTAAATAGGATTGGATCCCGCAGGTCCAGACTTCGCTGGTGATCTTGATAAGTCCTGTCGTCTGGATAAAACAGACGCCCGCTTTGTCGATGTCATGCACACAGACGGTGAAATCCTGATAGGCGGCGGGCTTGGACTAATGGATGAGGTATGCCATTTTGTATGTTAAATGTTTGTGGTCTTTTTATATATATTTTCTTTCTAATATGGGAGACGTTTTTGCCCAAAATTGGAGAGAGAAAGAGAGAAAAGGGTGAGCCGCCCTTGTTTTTGATATAGAATTCTTTTATACTTTATTTTGACCAGATATATATATATAAAACAATAATAATCAGTATTATTTTTGATTTTATTTTATTTCTGCATTTTCCAAATATAATAACTGAATGACAAAGAACATATAAACGCAAGGTATAATACAAAATATACTGACAATAATAACTTCATGTCAAAATGTTAATTTTTTTTACATATGTACATAAAATAACGAAACTTAATATTTCTACAACATATTATTATAAATTTAAACTTAAAGCATTATCCAAACTATCTGTTGAAAAAGTGCAGGAGACCACAATTTTAAGCGATGCTTGACTTCGATGGCGGCCTCAAACAAAACAACAAAAAAACAAAAAAACAATCCAGTTCTGTCACTTTAATACAGAAGGTGTTATTTATTTATTTTACTGGTTTATGTTTGAAAATTAGTTTTGACCGTGTACTGACTCGGTTATACAAAACATAAACATTAATAGGAGGCGGGGGTCGTCAACAAGAATATGGACAGAACACAAAAAAATGACTATGCAGATGAAGACGTTCAAGATAAAGAGTAAAATGATGATAAAATAGATCAAGTGTGAATAATGTACCTTAGACAAACAGAAACAAATGATATGTATTTTTAAAAAAATACTTTTTATTCACAGCTTGGACATCAGGACTTCTATCCCAATAACGGTCAAGAAATGCCTGGTTGTGGAGGAATCTCACCAACTTGTGATCACAGCAAGGCCGTCGAATACTTTATCTCCAGCATCTCATCAAGTTGTTCATTCACCGCTACGAAGAAGGGTTCGACCTGGGACGACCTCAAAACGGTCCCTGGACATCGTGCACGAGCTCCACCTGCCCTCAGATGGGGTACAAGGCGGACCTTAGCAAGGGGCAGGGGGCATTCTATCTTGAGACCAACGCGAATAGTCCATACTGCCAGTAAAATGCCTAACTATAGATACAACGTCATGCCAAGAAAAGCACAGCGATTAGCTCCTTATAATCTTATCGATATTAAGATGAAAAATAATTATGTAACACTTATGAATCTCTGTTAGATATTTTTTCTAAATTATGTAGACTAGTTGACTGCACAAACGCGAATTCCCACTTTAAGATCTACATTAAGAAGATTTTTAACGTTCCAAATACATCAAGACGAAGTGATAATAGATGCTATTAAATTGAATGTACTTTAAGAATATTAAAACCTAATTAGTTTTGAAGACTCTCTTTGCTTTGACCAGGGAGCTTTGACTTTTTACGGCTCCCTACTTAGACTGCATAAAATGGCTAACATTATGTTTAATTTCTGTTGGCAATGTCCTACCATGGAGCCCTCTAAGTTCTTTGGTGTTATCAAGGGAAATGTTTGGTTCAACCAGGGTGATGTGGCATTTTTACAGCTCCTTCGATCTTTAGTGTAAACCGTTCCATGTGAACTTTTAAATCTAAATTGATTTCCCAGTTGTTGGATGTACACACTGTTAGATGACGTAATCAATCGCTCAATAAAAAGCATGACAAGCATGATTACATCGCACTCTCTACTTCTTTAAATATTGTACAGCATGGATGAGAAGGGAGATTGAATGATTGTCAAACCAGAAAGGGAAAAGGGGAAATGAGAGAAAAGGCGTGAAGAGTTAAGGAGAGGAGAGAGGGACAGAGAGAGAGAGAGAGAGAGAAAGAGTAAGAGAGAAACAAAGACAGGGGAGGGGGAGACATACAAAGACCGAACGAGAGAAACGGAAAGAGAGAGAGAAGAGAGAGAGAGAGAGAGAAAGAAAAAGATGAAATGGACAAGAACAATATTAATCATGCTAGCTGAATATTTCCTCCACATGTTGATGGAATAAGAAGTTAATATAGAAATCAAAAGAAATATGACATTTTACGTAAACTAAGAGGAAGATGAATCAAAGCAATTTTAGGTACTCACATAATCATTTAATATAAAACCAGGGACGTGATAGAGAAGGACTGGAACCAAGCCGCTCTCCTTTGACCCCATGCTCCAAGCCGCCGAAAAGTTTTGCACTAATCTGCAACTCTTGTCCATGTGGTGAGGTAAAAGAGCGCATGAAATATCAGGAATTAGAATTCCTACATCAGAAAATGGTATCACAGCAACTGTTCGCTGTCCCTTTCAATGATTTCTCATCCATTGTTGAATGTGTAAAGAGTAGAACAAGCAAACACAAACTGGTGTAATTTCATCTTTTTTTTTTTACCTTCAAACACTATTTTAAAAAACGCGCGAAAACACGCAATAGCAAACTTAATGTTAATGAAGATTGTAAATCATGGATTAAATAACGGGACATTAAAACAAGCACAAATTAGCGCATTATCCTAAAATATTGAGTTTTTGTCAGGGTGTAATGTTTCTTTTACCAACTCTGGCACACAAATTATAGGAAGGACGGAGTACTAAATTTGAAAATTTGTTTGATGCACTATTCCCAATACAATCCCCATATAAAGTTTTTGATTTTCACTGAAATTTTGCCGGTAATTTAATATTTTGTAATAAATGTAAAACTGGTGCCTGGCTTCAGAAAGTCCCCGCAGTGGAAGCGCGGTCCGGAAAATGGAACTACAAAGCCACGTGGAATGTTACACATCCCATTGTTACGCTTTAGAACTCACGAATGCGTTTGAATAAATTACACGAGTTTCGCCTCCTTTCATTCACCTCCCTGATATAACTACAACTTTTCCAGAAAAAGGGGAGAGACCATCGAGAGGAGGTACAAGGTGGACCTAGACAGGGGGAGAAGAGTTCTATCTCGAGAATAGCAAGGAAAATTCTTTCTGCCACGGGTAAAGAAAGCGTGTAAAAACGACATCCCAAGTTTGTTTGTTTGTTTGATTGATTTTATTTCTGCGTTCAAATAACAAATACAAGGTTATACCTTTTTACATAAGTATTACGTGCATAGCAAATTATATCTAATAATATTATACAATAACAATAATACAAAGCATACAAACAAGTATAACGGATATTTGTATATATTTTTCATTGAACTAAGAACGCAGGAGACTGCCATCGTGAGCGGTTAGGCTGGAAATGGATGGCGGCCTCGTGAAAAAATGGGGGGAAGATTTAGCAACAATACTCTCTTGGTAAAACCTAGTGATCAAGTGGGTGCAGTGCAAATGCAGGTGCGGGTACAGCAGACGGCAGTTGAGTAAAAGGAATATTAAATCATGGTTTCAGACAAAGCTATTAAACTACAAGTCATGTTTTTTTTCGCCGAGAATGAATGTACGCAGATTTGTATTGAAGGTAATTCCTTTTAAAACCAATCTTAATATCATTTATAGGGTGCAAGTCTGCAATACGTGGCTGCTATTGTAGAAGCGGTCTGCACTCCTAAGGGTGCTCGTTTGCACCCCTAAGGGTGCAAGTCTGCAAAATTGCACCCTATAGGTGGCTGCTATTGTAGCAGCGGTCTGCACCCTATAGGGTGCAAATTTGTACCATTATTTTTTAGTGTGTATAGTCAAGCTCTGTAATTTTTGAAGTATGGGCACAATTGATTTGTTCCGATATAATTATGTTTATTGATAATGGGACGTTTTGAAGCTTACATCATCAAGTATTCCTCAAAGGCTCCAATTCAACCAGTCTACTTTTCATTCTTGGGTTACGACAAAAAAAATTACAAGAGGTAGGAATAATTGAGTTGCTTACTGTATGTCCACTTTATGTACGAGATGTCATTTGGAATGTGTAAAATAAAGAGCCTGCGAAATATCCACAAAAAAAAGTTGTGCTCTGAGGGGGCTGGGTTTCATTATATCGGGAATATTTATCTTATCTTATACAGATACACGCTATTGTACTTAGTTTCGGTGTCATTACACGACTTATGACTAAAATTAAACGAAATTACTAAAGAGAGAGGAGAAGAAAATCCATGCAACTGGTTACTTTATGTTCTATACAGTACGATCATAACACGGGTTATTAAGTGGTCGGGATTAGACAGACAGAAAGCAAGATAAAAATTAATAGAGTAGGAGCGTCAAACCATCAACACAAAAGTGAGACAGGAGAAATGGGGAGGGGTGAAGGGATTGAGAAGGGAGTGGAGAAGGGGACAAAGAGAGAGAGAGAGAGGGGGGCGGGGGAGTAAGTGGGAAAATTAGGGGAGAAAGGGTAGGGAGAGTGAGAGGGAGAACCGGGGAAAGAAGAGAGAGAGAGAGAGAGAGTGTGTGTGTGTGTGTGTGTGTGTGTGTGTGTGTGTGTGCGTGCGTACGTGTGTGTGTGTGTGCACGTGTGAGAGAGAGTGAGAGGGAAGGGAGAGAGAGAGAGAAAGAGAGAGAGAGAGAGAAGAGAGAGGAGAGAACGGGGGAATAAGAGAGAGAGAGGGGAAGAAGGAGGAGATAGAGAGCAGGCGCGGATCCAGGATTTTCCAATAGGGGGGGCCGGAAGTTTGAAAATTGCGCCGACCGTTTTTTTCAAGGTCATATTAGAAGCACCATACCATTACAATTTTTGACATTTTCATCGGGGGGGGGGGAGCTATAGCCTCTTATCCGAAAAAGTAACTTTCTGGTTGCACAATTCGGCTAGTGAGCGAAGCGAGCGAGCAACAATTTGAGCAAAATATGTATTTTGTGAAAGTGTTATTTATAACCAAAATAAACAAGAAAAGATATCAAAAAATCATATGCGGGTAGCTCGCTAACCCCCCTCCCCCCCCCCCCCCCCCAATGACGCGCGAAGCGCGGAAGCTTTGACCTATCATTAATTATTAGAGAAAGAAGACGATTTGTTGTACCATTCTCGACTCTTAATCCTTCTCTGAATTCAGTTTTCCCCCCTCCCGCGCAAAGCGCGGAAGCTGTGACATTTTATAGTTTAATGAAATTATTAGAGAAAAAGATGATTTGTTGTTCCATTCTCGACTCTTAATCCTTCTCTGAATTCAGTTTACCCCCTCCCGCGCAAAGCGCAGAAGCTTATCGTTTCATTAAATTATTAGAGAAAGAAGACGATTTGTTGTACCATTCTCGACTCTTATTACTTGACTGAATTCACCCCCCCCCCTCCCGCGCGAAGCACGGAAGCTTGGCCTTTTATAGTTTAATGAAATTATTAGAGAAAGGAGATGATTCGTTGTTCTATTCTCGACTCTTAATCCTTGTCTGAATTCAGTTCCCCTCCCCCCCCCCCCCTCTCGCGCGAAGCGCGGAATCTTAGACGTTTCATTAAATTATTAGAGAAAGAAGACGATTCGTTGTACCATTCTCGACTCTTAATCCTTGGGTGTATTAAGTTCCCGTCCCCCCCCCCCCCTCCAGCGCGTTGCGCTGAAGCTTTGACGTTTAATTAAATTATATGGAAAAGGAGACGATTCTTTGTACCATTCTCGACTCTTAATCCTTGTCTGAATTGAGTTCCCGTTCCCCCCCCCCCCCCCTCCCGCGCGTAGCGCGGAAGCTTTGACGTTTAATTAAATTATAAGGAAAGGGGACAATTCTTTGTACCATTCTCGACTCTTCCTTGTCTGAATTAAGTTTTCCCTTGCCCGTGTGATGCGCGTAAGCTTTGACGGTTCATTAAATTATTAGAGGAAGAAGACGAATCGTTTTACCATTCTCGTCTCTTAATCCTTCTTTGAATTCAGTTTTCCCCCTCCCACGCGAAGCGCGGAAACGTTGACGTTTCATTAAATTATTAGAGAAAGAAGATGATTCGTTGTACCGTCATCGACTCTTTATCCTTGTCTGAATTGAGTCCCCCCCCCCCCCCTCCCGCGCGAAGCGCGGAGGCTTTGACGTTTCATTAAATTATTAGAGAGAGAAGACGATTCGTTGTACCGTTCTCGACTCTTAATCCTTGTCTGAATCGAGTTCCCGCCCCCTCCCCCCCCCCTCCCTCGCAAAGCGCGGAAGCTTTGACGTTACATTAAATTATAAGGGAAAGGAGACGATTCTTTGTACCATTCTCGACTCTTAATCATTGTCTGAATTGAGTTCCCGCCCCCCCCCCCCCCTTCTCCCGCGCGAAGTGCGGAAACGTTGACGTTTCATTAAAGTATTAGAGAAAGAAGATGATTCGTTGTACCGTCATCGACTCTTTATCCTTGTCTGAATTAAGTTTTCCCTTGGCCGCGCGTAGCGCGTAAGCTTTGACGGTTTATAAAAATATTAGAGAAAGAAGATGAATCATTTTATCATTCTCGACTCTTAATCCTTGTCTGAATTAAGTTTTCCCTTGCCCGCGCGTAGCGCGAAAGCTTTGACGGTTTATTAAATTATTATCCTTCTTTGAATTCAGTTTTTCCCCTCCCACGCAAAGCGCTGAAACGTTGACGTTTCATTAAATTATTAGAGAAAGAAGATGATTCGTTGCACCGTCATCGACTCTTTATCCTTGTCTGAATTGAGTTCCCCCCCCCCCCAATTCTCGCGCGAAGCGCGGAATCTTAGACGTTTCATTAAATTATTAGAGAAAGAAGACGATTCGTTGTACCATTCTCGTCTCTTAATCCTTCTTTGAATTCAGTTTTCCCCCTCCCACGCGAAGCGCGGAAACGTTGACGTTTCATTAAATTATTAGAGAAAGAAGATGATTCGTTGTACCGTCATCGACTCTTTATCCTTGTCTGAATTGAGTCCCCCCCCCCCCCCTCCCGCGCGAAGCGCGGAGGCTTTGACGTTTCATTAAATTATTAGAGAGAGAAGACGATTCGTTGTACCGTTCTCGACTCTTAATCCTTGTCTGAATCGAGTTCCCGCCCCCTCCCCCCCCCCCCCTCCCTCGCAAAGCGCGGAAGCTTTGACGTTACATTAAATTATAAGGGAAAGGAGACGATTCTTTGTACCATTCTCGACTCTTAATCATTGTCTGAATTGAGTTCCCGCCCCCCCCCCCCTTCTCCCGCGCGAAGTGCGGAAACGTTGACGTTTCATTAAAGTATTAGAGAAAGAAGATGATTCGTTGTACCGTCATCGACTCTTTATCCTTGTCTGAATTAAGTTTTCCCTTGGCCGCGCGTAGCGCGTAAGCTTTGACGGTTTATAAAAATATTAGAGAAAGAAGATGAATCATTTTATCATTCTCGACTCTTAATCCTTGTCTGAATTAAGTTTTCCCTTGCCCGCGCGTAGCGCGAAAGCTTTGACGGTTTATTAAATTATTATCCTTCTTTGAATTCAGTTTTTCCCCTCCCACGCAAAGCGCTGAAACGTTGACGTTTCATTAAATTATTAGAGAAAGAAGATGATTCGTTGCACCGTCATCGACTCTTTATCCTTGTCTGAATTGAGTTCCCCCCCCCCAATTCTCGCGCGAAGCGCGGAATCTTAGACGTTTCATTAAATTATTAGAGAAAGAAGACGATTCGTTGTACCATTCTCGACTCTTAATCCTTGGGTGTATTAAGTTCCCGTCCCCCCCCCCCTCCAGCGCGTTGCGCTGAAGCTTTGACGTTTAATTAAATTATATGGAAAAGGAGACGATTCTTTGTACCATTCTCGACTCTTAATCCTTGTCTGAATTGAGTTCCCGTCCCCCCCCCCCCCTCCCGCGCGTAGCGCGGAAGCTTTGACGTTTAATTAAATTATAAGGAAAAGGGGACAATTCTTTGTACCATTCTCGACTCTTCCTTGTCTGAATTAAGTTTTCCCTTGCCCGTGTGATGCGCGTAAGCTTTGACGGTTCATTAAATTATTAGAGGAAGAAGACGAATCGTTTTACCATTCTCGTCTCTTAATCCTTCTTTGAATTCAGTTTTCCCCCTCCCACGCGAAGCGCGGAAACGTTGACGTTTCATTAAATTATTAGAGAAAGAAGATGATTCGTTGTACCGTCATCGACTCTTTATCCTTGTCTGAATTGAGTTCCCCCCCCCCCCCCCTCCCGCGCGAAGCGCGGAGGCTTTGACGTTTCATTAAATTATTAGAGAGAGAAGACGATTCGTTGTACCGTTCTCGACTCTTAATCCTTGTCTGAATCGAGTTCCCGCCCCCTCCCCCCCCCCTCCCTCGCAAAGCGCGGAAGCTTTGACGTTACATTAAATTATAAGGGAAAGGAGACGATTCTTTGTACCATTCTCGACTCTTAATCATTGTCTGAATTGAGTTCCCGCCCCCCCCCCTTCTCCCGCGCGAAGTGCGGAAACGTTGACGTTTCATTAAAGTATTAGAGAAAGAAGATGATTCGTTGTACCGTCATCGACTCTTTATCCTTGTCTGAATTAAGTTTTCCCTTGGCCGCGCGTAGCGCGTAAGCTTTGACGGTTTATAAAAATATTAGAGAAAGAAGATGAATCATTTTATCATTCTCGACTCTTAATCCTTGTCTGAATTAAGTTTTCCCTTGCCCGCGCGTAGCGCGAAAGCTTTGACGGTTTATTAAATTATTATCCTTCTTTGAATTCAGTTTTTCCCCTCCCACGCAAAGCGCTGAAACGTTGACGTTTCATTAAATTATTAGAGAAAGAAGATGATTCGTTGCACCGTCATCGACTCTTTATCCTTGTCTGAATTGAGTTCCCCCCCCCCCCCAATTCTCGCGCGAAGCGCGGAAGGTTTGACGTTTCATTAGATTATTAGAGAAAGAAGACGATTCGTTGTACCGTTCTCGACTCTTTATCCTTGTCTGAATTGAATTCCCGTCCCCCCCCCCCCCCTATCGAGCGAAGCGCGGAAACGTTGACGTTTCATTAATTTATTAGAGAAAGAAGATGATTCGTTTTACCATTCTCGACTCCCAATCCTTGTCTGAATTCAGTTGCCCCCCTCCCGAGCGATGCGCGGAAGCTTTGACATTTCATCAAATTATTGGAGAAAGAAGACGATTCGTTGTACCGTTCTCTATTACACCTACCATGGATAAATCACGGCCGGGAGCGTCATAATTTTGTGTTATCGGGCGAGGGTCGGGGCCGGGGCGTAGCGACCAAGCGAGATTTTGCAATGTTGAATGCTGGAAATTATGCATTCTAAAAAATCCCTAAGCCCGATATGTACGTTCTTTCCGCTATATTTATTTCTAGCTATATTTCTAAATTTCCTGGGAGACTTGTCCCCATATCGGGCCCAGGATCGCCGCCCCTGTCCATGATTACTACCAACATGAGTTCTAATACAATCACAAGCGAGTCGATACGAGCTGAATCCAAATGAAGGGCAAAATAAGAGTTGTGAAGCGGCCCTACCGTTAATTTTAAATTTGACTGTTGAGTATATAACTTCTATTTAAAAGACATCCAAAATATTGTGCCCTTTTCAAATTTCTCACTAAAGAGTGATGACCGCAGGGGCTGTTCTTAACGTTTAACTTTGAATCCGCGGCTCGAGATTTTATGCGGCCGGCCCGGCCCCCCTCTATTCAATAACGTTTGCCAATGAGCCTTCTGAAATGTCCCCTAATCTCCCGATTATAGTTTTCCCATATTTGTCGTTACTGTCACTTAGCGCCATTTCCTTGCCTTTCCCCCTTTCTCACCGACTTTTCTTTTCCCCACCCCCCCCCCCCCCCCCTCACCCTCTCAGTGTTATCTAGGGTACGCACATGTATGTTCCCTCTCTTTGAAAGCACCCCTCTGTCTCCGGTGTGTAAAGTCAGTACGGGCCGGATTTTTGTGTATTGCGGGCCGGACTTTGTTTCGTGAAAAGTAACTCTTTATCGGAAATTTAGGGAACACAAATTCGGTCCCTCCGACCCCGGAGTTGGAGGGAGGGGGGTGGGGGACGGCTTTTTATTTATCTTTTCTCTTCTATTTTCTTTTCTCTTCTTTTTTCCTTTCTCTTCTCCTTTCTTTTCTCTTTTCCTTTTTTTTCTCCTCTTCTCCTTTCTTTTTTTCTCTTCTTTTCTTCCTCTTTTTTTTTTTCCTTTTTTTTGCGCCGCCAATAGGGGGGGCCGCGGCCGTTTCGGCCTGGATCCGCCACTGGAGAGAGTTAGTAAATATACTGGAAGAAAGGAAAATAGAGTGCAAAGATAGAGTGAGTGAGAGAGAGAGAGAGAGAGAGGGGGGAAGAAAGAGAGGGAATAAAAGAGAGAAAGAGATAGGGAGAGAAAGAGAGCAAAAGAAAAGAGAGGGAGCAAAGGGGAATCAAGTGGCATACATGTACGTCACACGAGATATTGACCCATTTCATAACGAGTTTTAGTTATTTATATAATACAAGTTTCTATCTATTCCTGTACTCGTCTTATCTAGTACCGTTCCATCAGTGCCATTCTTATCATATAGATATGATAACACGTCACTTCAAGCTGATAGCATGGTGAAGATAGCTTTAAAATATATTTTCAATATAACAGACTGGTTTATAGATATGAATACAGTTTGATCTGAGGTTTTAGGTGGATTGGTGTTTAAAACTCTGGTTATTAATATCAATTACCATGGCAACGCTCCCCCGGCTATTGGCCTTCATGGGTTTTATTGCAGCAGGTATACCCATTTGTTTATTTGCAGCTTTATTTAAACATAGCATTCAATTGAAGGCATTTGCATAATTATGGATGTTAGCCGTTAATGTAAACAAATATATAAATTCGTTCTTAAGACGTTTCAGCGATTGGTATCGCTATTTTATCGCTTTTATTGGTATCGCTATTTTATCGCTTTTATGGCAAATAAAGAAGGGCTTATCAATAAATTCATATATAGTGTCTGTTTCCTTTTCTTTGACTTTATGTCTACACTCTTTTAAGATACTTTCTTAGTAGATGTATAAAGATTTACACCCTGTAAGAACCAAAAACAGAGCCATGGTACAAAGCAAACCAATTCGATACCACGTCGGTCAATTCATTTTAAAAATATCCATGTTTTGATAATATTATACTCGCTTAAAAGTTAAATTGCATTCTTTCATTATTCTTATTGTTCCTTCTTTTGTTGTATATTTCTATGTTTTCGTTTTCTTTCTACCTTCGTTCTTTTTTCTATCGTATCTTATTTTGTTTAAATCTTTCTTTTATTTCCCCCTAATTTTATTTTGTTGTTGATCTAATACGCTCTATGAATACCTCGTTTGTTTTGTTGCGAGAAGCAACAAGAATGCCTTTTCTTGAATTGAATACTCCAAATGAAGTGGAACCGGTGGCACTGTTCATAGATTTTTCACTTGAAATCAGTAAAGATTATGTCAACACCAACATGATACAGAAACCCCTCTTCTTCGAAAAAAACAGTAGCAACAACGAATCACTGAGTAATGTTCTTTTTGATAGAACACTCGTAATAAGCACTACGGATAGTATGGTAACATTTTAAGTAATACCACAAATGAGACGAAATACGACAAAACGGCTCATTCTGCAAAATAATGATCTAAAATCTCGGAATGAGGAGGTTGAGATATGATCATCCAAACTCACGATTGCGATGAGCTATTCTTGCAAGTTCTAACTGCTTTAGAGCTTGATTATGGTTCTCTTTTTGTATCATCCATGGTCAGTTTGGTGCAATACTTGCTTTGATGATCTGGGTTGTTTCGATTCACCCCATGACTGTCACAGGATGACCCCAAGCAACCCTGCCGACATCGGAACCACATTCCAAGTCTTCACCCGAGACAACCCGAAGATCGGCGATGTCCTGGATCGTAAGAATTTGGATACCATCAGGGGATCGCGTTTCAGTCCGAGCAGGGAGACCAAGATCTTTGTGCATGGATGGAAAGATAGCATGCAGTGGGGAAGCTGGGAGAAATTTAGAGATAGATTCCTTGATACGGTAAGGTAACCTCACTGCCCGGCTCCATCAAACTAATAACTATAGTAACAAGACAATGTTGCTCATAAAGTTGGAATAACTTTTAACCTTTCATCTATTCATAAAGTGATAGTTACAATATGGCTTATTCTTGATAACGTTTGCAGGTATATATTTTCAGAACTTCATTGATCAATCTTAAGATTAATAGAGATCGATGTAGGCCTATAAGATTTGTTTTAAACATCAACAAGGAAAAACCGTTGTCACAATCACTTCATGAAAAAATGTAAGAAAAAATTATTATACACATAGAAATCTAATTATAAGTTTAACTATAAATTTAAGTTATATGCATGTTAATTGCACTTTACTTGTTGAAAACTATACCTTTGAAAGATTCAGCCCAAAAAGTCATATCTGATGTTTATATTTATCTCTATCAAATTCAAATTTTGGTCTTGATTCCTTTCAGTATGATGTGAACGTGATCTATGTAGACTGGTCGAAGGGTTCTGGGATGGGGTACCTGAAGAGCACAGCCAATACCCGCGTGGTCGGCAGGGAGATCGCTAAGCTCATTGAGGCTTTCAACGCTGCTACCGGTGCTACCTTCGACTCCATGCACATCATCGGGCACAGCCTCGGGGCTCACACGGCGGGGTATGCGGGAGAGGCATGCCAGGACCCGACATCGAACAAGGGAGAGGCAGTCGGCAGAATTACAGGTACTTATCGTATTCCTTCTGCACACGAAGCGTTATTTCAACTGCGTTATTAACTGCGCCAATTAAATAAAGGCCTATTTCAATTTTATTTGTACTGTCCGATGGAAATTTGCTTTGCTCACAGTTTACGTGCATTCAAACATAACATAACATAACACAAATATATAATTGTTTAGCAAATGAAGACAATTACTGCATACACCAGTTATGAAACGCATTGTTTGCACTTATCTGTTTGTGTTCACCTTTAAAAACAATATTGCTTTCACATTCTGTATACTGACACAGTCCTACGTCACACAAATAACGCCTCGTGTGCAACGTAGTCTGCAAGCACAGGTCCTGATTTGACACTTTATCAAAAAATAATTGTGCCTTGGGAGAAGCCTAGCCCAGCTACATTACTGTTTGAGTCAGTGTCAGGAGCAGCTATATAGTACATGGCCTATGGTAGTCTTATAGTGCAGACTCTCTTTTACGACTGACCAGGGTTTGTGCCTGCAAACTATGTGCAACGGGCCAGGCATTTGACAATTGTTGTCATTAAAGTTTGCATCAATGCTCCCTTGGACATGTTGGGCATGTGGGAATATGGTTCGGTGAGAAGTTGGATCAGAAATTGAGATTATTGGCGGAGAAAAAACAGTGACAAGAAAGATTTCTATGATTCCATTAAACTTGTACGACTAAAACAAAAATATTATGTAGTCTTTCGGGGGGGGGGGGGGGTTCGATTTACTGTATGACATCCCCCCCCCCCCCCCCGATATATAATTTCGTCATCATACTCTGTAGATCAACATCTTCTGAGTAAACTGGTAATTAATAACCAAATAACACCCATTTTGCTATCAAAATCACCCAAAATATCATTCGAATACAGATGCATCCATATTTTTTAGTAAAAATCAATGAACAGTGAGATAAAAAGCCAAGCCATCATCATGATTATAATTATTTTCAATGTTTTTAGGATTGGATCCTGCCGGTCCAGAGTTCAGTGGTAATCTTGATAACGCCTGTCGTTTGGATCGGTCGGATGCTCCCTTTGTTGACATCATGCATACTGATGGCGAGGTCGTAGGGGGCGCTGGACTCATGGATCAGGTAGGAAGTAAAGGAGAACCCAACTTTAATGGAAAAGTACTCTAAAATAAAGCAGACAAATCTGAATCATGCTGGTGAAAGTTTGAAGTGCATCGGACAAAAAAAAATACAACATTTATGAATTTGTACGTATGGGAACATCAAATCGGCTGATTCGGTAATGTCTAGGGAACGTAGTGCCGGTGCCGGACAACTTTTCAATTTGTACTAATACATTTCTAAAATATCAATTTTTCAAAAAAGTGTGACTCAGGATGGTCTTTATTTTTCCATAGTTTACCAAGATACAAAGCACTAAGTAGAAAAGCAGACATTAATGATATCGTTGTCCCGATTTATTTCAAACTTTCCTAGCTCGGTTTCTCTTATTTTTCTACTTTCATACAAAATAATGATCTTATTACAAAGGTTGAATTGCCCTCTTTTCCACATGAAGCTGCAGGTCCACATAAAGTGTGTTCTTCAGTAGCGGTACTAAATGGGGGCTTAGGGGGGGGGGGGTTGGGGCTCAAGCCCCCTCCCCCATAGACTTCTTGATTAAAAATTAATTTAAGCAAGGCACATGTAGAAAATGAGGGTAAGTACTCCCGAACCCTCGGGCCCTTAAAGCCTGCCCCACCAAAATATTATCACTGTTCGACAAATTGGGTGGGCTGAAGAAAAGAAATAGACAGTCGATTAAATGCAGGTTATGTCATCGTTGTAAAAGATTGTGCTTATGTTAATCAGCTATCACAAACAATTACAATATTCTCTGCCCTCTGCCTCTGTCTCATAAATTAACTCCATGTTTTGCTTTTTGTTTGCTTAATCCTTGTTCTGTAAAAAAAATTAAAATAAAAAAATAAAAAAAATAAAAAAAATAAAAAAAAAGTGTATCCCAGCTTCATCGTTGAGGAGCACTCAACAACATAATGATAATGCTAAGCAATTTGAATTTGAAGTTTAAAAAATTAATTTGCTTTCCCACCCCCAGTTGGGTCATCAAGATTTCTACCCTAATGGCGGCAAGAACATGCCCGGATGTTCGGTGGTCGCTCCGATGTGTGATCATAACCGAGTCACGGCATTCTTCCTGGAGAGCATCGCGTCATCATGTTCGTTCTCCTCAACGAAGAAGGGAGCGACGTGGGAGGACATCGAAGCCGGACGAACGACGAGATGCACGACTAAGACATGCCCTGATATGGGCTACAAGGCGGACTTCAACAAGGGGGAAGGGGCATTCTATCTGGAGACCAACGCAAAGAGTCCTTACTGCCAGGGGTAAGGGAGGGTGAAAGAAGGGGTAAAAGAAGGATAGGTGCAGTAAAGGAGGGGTGGGGAGAAGTAAGGAAGTGGGTAAGAAAAGGGTAATGGAGGATAATATTGAAGGGTAAGGGAGGTGAGCGAGGGGTGAAGGAGAGATAAGGGAGATCGAGATAAGGGAGGGGTTACGGAGGGGTAAAGGAGGGATGAAGAAGGTATAAGCGTAGGGAAGGGGAGGGTTAAGGGAAGTGTGCACGAGAAGCATCGATTGTTTGCCGTTACTATGATTATAAACTATAAGATATTTGAATAAATGAATCATCAAACTTAAGAAGAATGATATTTAGTTGACAACATTAAAGCATAACGATGAACTGAAGAAATGAAATGTACATATTACTGTGCATCTTTAATAAATAGCAGAAAAAGAACGTATCGTCGAAAAGACGTTTTGCGAATGTGCACTCAATGATAAGTATAACAAAGTCATATATTTGCAAAAAGAACACGGGTATGATAATTATTTCGAATTCTGATTAATAAACGTTAATTAAAACAAATTACAACAAAATTATGGAGTACTATGGACAATGTAGTACCTATGCGATTTTGCGAGATATCCTGATTTTATTCGATTCCACTACCAGCATGGCATTTGTTTTTATAAATTATTTGTTTGTAATTGATAGATAATGTTATATACAATGACAGTTGAAAGAATAACAGATACAGAATCATGCCAACGACTGAGAGTTATTTAATACATTGTACAGTACGGTTAACATGATAAACGTATTGTGGCATTTTACGGCCATTTTCGCGAAATCTTTCCCACCTGACTTGAGATGGCTCCTTCCCACAAACTCAGCAATGTGATAACACGCCCAGAGAGAGAGAGAGAGAGAGAGGGAGAGAGAGAGAGATAGAGAGAGAAAGAGAGATATATATATATATATATAGAGAGAGAGAGAGAGAGAGAGAGAAAGAGAGAGAGATAGAAAGGGGGAATAGTTCGATATAGGAAAACTGAGAGAGAAACGGAAAGAGTAGGATAGATAGGAAGAGAGAAAATGAGAGAAGAAGGTTATGAGAGACGAATTATATTGAGTGAAAGAGAGAGTGAGAGAGAGAGAGAGAGAGAGAAAGAGAGGGAGAGAGAGAGAGAGAGAGAGAGAAGAAAAAGAGAAAGGGGGAAAGGTAAATGAGTATGTATTGCTCCAATTGCTGACTATAATGCGGTTCATTATTATAAACACCAACAACTTAAACAAAATCAAACGATTTATCATGCTTGATGCAGTGGTTGGTATTAAATTATAAATTTCACCCTCCTTTTACTAGAATCTTGCTCACATGAACCTCGTGACGAAGGGATCCACAATTTGCATAAAACATTGGAAATTGAGGAAAAGTTCTCCATACTTGAGTGCGGAGTGCTGCTTGAGTTCATGCAGAACATGAGCACAAAACAGAAGAATACGCTATGTTGTGGCCAATTGAAATAAAGTTGCAAAACTCTTTTTAAATAATTGCTCTGCTTGAGTACGAAGAAGACCGCCTTCTGTGGTTATATAGCTAACGGAACTGAACAGATTCTTAGGTTTATAACTACATCACACGACACCTCCACAAGACAGTGATTAATATTGCCCTTAAAAATGACCTTCACGTCCTTCATCTGATCACTTTTTTATGCAGTTCAAATTATTAAAGCTGGGATTGCCTTGTATACTCAATGTGTGTCACCTTACACTCGAAATACAACACGGGTGGAGGGAAAAGTGAACAATTATTACATTAATTCTGTAAAATCTTCAAATACCAACCATGATGCTAAATGGTAAGGTAATCATGCTGATTCTGGTCAGACTGAAGGGAAAATACAAGGAAATGTTTAATGGTTTGAAATAAAAATGGAATTTCTACGCTCAAATTACAAAAACAAACAATACTCGAAATGAAACAATACAATTTATTGTACGTTTAAAAACAATTTTTAACTGCTGACACATGAATTATAGTTTCTTCTTGCAAGTTCGATTTGGACTTGTGACAGCCAAGTCTATGAGAAACTGGCAGGTGTTTATCGCCTAGAGTGCCAAGATATAAATGGGGATATTTAACTACTGATTACCGTCAGATAAGTCGTAATATTTACTCGAAACTAGGGCTAATGAGGAAAAGCGGATATAATTTGGGTCATGTGCTACACATATGGCAAACAGAGTAGAGAGGTGGGAGTGAGAGGTGAGTGGGAGGGGATTGAGAGGGGGAGTTGGAGGGGTGTGGGAGGGGAGTGAGTAGGGAGTATGAGGGCATTGAAAAGGGGCGTAAGGAGGAAGTGGGCGGGGAGTGAGAGGGAGTGAGGGGAGTGAGGGGAGTGAGGGGGAAGTTGGAGGGGTGTGGTAGGGGAGTGAGTGGGAAGTTGGAGGGGTGTGGGAAGGGAGTGAGAGGGGAGTTGGAGGGGTGTGGGAGGGGAGTGAGAGGGGAGTTGGAGGGGTGCGGGAGGGGAGTGAGAGGGGAGTTGGAGGGGTGTGGAAGGTGGAGTGAGAGGAGAGTTAAAGGGGTGTGGGAGGGGAGTGAGGGGGAAGTTGGAGGGGTGTGGGAGGGGAGTGAGAGGGAGGTGGAGGAGTGTGGAAGGGGAGTTGGAGGAGTGTGGGAGGGGAGTTGGAGGGGTGTGGGAGGGGAGTGAGAGGGGAGTTGGAGGGGTGTGGGAGGGGAGTGAGAGGGGAGTTGGAGGGGTGTGGGAGGGGAGTGAGAGGGAGGTGGAGGAGTGTGAAAGGGGAGTGAGGGGGAAGTTGGAGGGGTGTGGGAGGGGAGTGAGAGGGGAGTTGGAGGGGTGTGGTAGGGGAGTGAGTGGGAAGTTGGAGGGGTGTGGGAAGGGAGTGAGAGGGGAGTTGGAGGGGTGTGGGAGGGGAGTGAGAGGGGAGTTGGAGGGGTGTGGGAGGTGGAGTGAGAGGGGAGTTGAAAGGGTGTGGGAGGGGAGTGAGGGGGAAGTTGGAAGGGTGTGGGAAGGGAGTGGAGGGGTGTGGGAGGGGAGTGAGATGGGAGTTGGAGGGGTGTGGGAGGGGAGTGAGAGGGGAGTTGGAGGGGTGTGGGAAGGGAGTGGAGGGGTGTGGGAGGGGATTGAGAGGGGAGTTAGAGGGGTGGGGGGAGGGGAGTGAGAGGGGAGTTGGAGGAGTGTGGGAGGGGAGTTGGAGGGGTGTGGGAGGTGGAGTAAGAGGGAGGTGGAGGAGTGTGGGAGGAGAGTGAGAGGGGAGCTGGAGGAGTGTGGGAAGGGAGTGAGATGGAAGTTGGAGGGGTGTGGGAGGTGGAGTGAGAGGGAGGTGGAGGAGTGTGGGAGGAGAGTGAGAGGGGAGCTGGAGGAGTGTGGGAAGGGAGTGAGATGGAAGTTGGAGGGGTGTGGGAGGTGGAGTGAGAGGGGAGGTGGAGGAGTGTGGGAGGGGAGTGAGAGGGGAGCTGGAGGAGTGTGGGAGGGGAGTGAGATGGGAGTTGGAGGGGTATCGGAAGGGAGTGAGATGGAAGTTGGAGGGGTGTGGGAGGTGGAGTGAGAGGAAGGTGGAGGAGTGTGGGAGGGGAGTGAGAGGGGAGTTGGAGGGGTGTGGGAGGTGGAGTGAGAGGGAGTTGGAGGGGTGTGGGAGGTGGAGTGAGAGGGAGTTGGAGGAGTGTGGGAGGTGGAGTGAGAGGGAGGTGGAGGGGTGTGGGAGGGGAGTGAGAGGGGAGTTGGAGGGGTGTGGGAGGGGAGTGAGAGGAGAGTTGGAGGGGTGTGGGAGGTGGAGTGAGATTAAGGTGGAGGGGTGTGGGAGGGGAGTGAGTAGGGAGTATGTATGAGGGGATTGAAAAGGGGTGTAAGAAGAAAGTAGACGGGAAGTGAGAGGCGAATGGCAGTAGATTGCGTGTGTAATGCCCATACCAACTCATTACCGAACGTAAAGTATTGAATATCTCGACCAAAATTTAACACGGAATATTGGAAGCCAGTGTATATCCACCATCATTTCGCCACGTATTAGGTAAACCTGGATAATAATCACACGTATTGGACAATTCTGTACAACGTCGACGACACGCCACACCCTTATACTCAAAAGGTGTTCGTTTTTACTAAATGTACGCTTTAAATCGATGCAGGTGTAATAACATTTAAAAACTTCCAGGACTTTGGAGCTCTCTTTCTTTACGCCTTTCTTGAAAGTTTTGAGTGTTCTCCATACTAAACCAGGTGCAATACATAAGTTCATCTCCCATAGTTACTTGGATGAAAATAAGTGTTTAAATATTTAGATATCCTTCGGCCACTTGTACTAATTAGTGTATGGTGCGATAATAAAGTCGATAGCCACATTAACGAGAGTTAACGACCCCTAATTATCATTTGGTAAGTAAACTTAATTAACACACCAATTAATCACGATAGACCACATGCTTGGTTCACAGTGAAAATGGGGCGATAGTCGGCAATGTCAAGTTGAGGCTATCGATTAACCCCCTGATTAACACATTCAATCTTTACGAAAAATATGGTACGAAAAGACTTATTTTGTTCGTATATACCGCTAGCGTTCATTTTATTTGAGTTTATTATTATTGTAATATAATAGAATTACACTTTAGCTTTTCTTTTCTTTTATGATTAAGAAATAAAAGAGTATTATAAAAATCCAAACTTTTCCAACACTGAAACTGAGTTTTGAAAGTGAGTATTTTAAAGTCAGATATCATTTTGTAATTCTGTAAGAGAAAATTGGATGTTCGTTCAATTAGTCGTAAATAAAAACAGACTTAATGATGGGAAGTTAATTAGTTAATTTTGAAATCTGGCAGCGAATATTTAAAATGGCAATTTAATGATGAGATCTCTTCGAAGTCTCGTTGTAGCCAAAATGTCAGTCAAATGTATAGAATGAAATATTTTGTTTTTCAAATCCTGATCTCAAATGACAACCCGGAGGGTTGAAACTATTTTATCCACACGCTGACAGAGTTATGTATGGTGTGCTACACTGTGAAAAGGTTGGGCAATAGTTTCCAACACTTTGCCCAACGTTGTGCCAATAGTCAACCAACCATCTATTGGGCAATAATTTGCCCAGTGGTATTGGTAAACGTAAGTACCCGACTTCACACGTGCATAATTGTTTCGTATTTTTACCGAAATTTGGGCAAAGATATGACCCTTCAACTGCCCGACTACGGTAGCCCACTTGTTGGGAAAATCTTGACCAGCTGTTGGGCAAAATACGAAACAATTATGCACGTACTTACGTTTACCAATACCACTGGGCAAAATATTGCCCAATAGATGGTTGGGTTGACTATTGGCACAACTTTGGGTAAAAAGTGTTGGAAGATATTGCCCAACCTGTTCACAGTGTATCATGATTATGTATATAAGCAAACAAAAAATGATGTAGTGCCATTTTATTGTTGATATTCCTTTTGCTCGGACATCTCTAACTGTTCTTTGTGGACAATGGACATTCTTCTTCTTCTCCTTCTACTTTTCTTTTTCTTCTTCTTCTTCTTCTTCTTCTTCTTCTTCTTCTTCTTCTTCTTCTCCTTCTTCTTCCTTTTCTTCTTCTTCTTATCATTTTGCTTCTTCTTCTTCTGTTTATCTTATTGCAGTTGTTTTTACGGAAACACGTTCATACTACCAAAAAGCAAACAGAACAAATTTAAACGTTTGACAACCTAAAATCTCTCCCTAAAGAAAAGAAAAAGTAAAAAGGTAACACCTAACGTAAAGATTGTGAAAAATTAGGAGCTTGAATTAGTCATCACCTTTGCCACAGATTCGAGCCATCCCAGCCAGAGCTTATCTTTCCTGTTTCCTAATCATCAACTTTATATTCTTTTTCAAATAGAAATATGGCAAGCAAAATACTGCACAAGGGTCGAACCGAATACCTTATTTAAAAAACAATCACATGTTTTTATATCCAAATTATCGTTAAAATAACAGATTAATAATTTCCAAGTTTAGGAGCTTATTTGTTTTTTCTGAATAGCATATCATTTTTTTAAACTACTTATCCTCATTAACAAGTATTTTACATGATTATAATCGCTAATTAATAACCCAGCATACAGCAGTTATCATCCACTATTGACATTGGATGTTTACGTAAGGCTAGATATGATGGGTTTTTAATAGTATAAATAGGGGTGATTTGATTCGATTAAAATCACATTTCTGCTACGAGTAGGATCAGGTCATCTAGCATCTATTCATCAGCTACAAAGATGGGGAGTCTTTCCTTAGCCGTCGTGTTTCTGGCTGCTGCCATTATTCAAGGTAAGATTCAGACTATATTCATGCTGAGGAGAGAAAATCCACTCTTTCAAAGGATAATCTAAACTTATTAGCATATTATTCTAAAAGAAAACAGAACAATCAGAGAAGTGGACTAGTGAGGGTTTGTATGGAATCGGACTAAAATAAGAAAGTTATGAATTTTCGAAAGTTGTAATGCGATTCGAATTGGCTGAATCAGTAATTTCCTTGTGATGTAGTGCTGGAAAACTTTCTCATTTATTTCAACACACAAAATGACTAAAATGTCAATTTAAAAAAAAATTAAGTCTAGGACCTATACTATTATGCTAATCATGTCATATTTTAAGTAGTGCCCCCATAGGAGGAAGGCACTTCGAAGAAAAACAGAATATTAATGATATTTTGTAAACGACAGACGGGAGAGTTTTCCGTGACTTCGTAACTACAATCCATTGACCAATTTGCCAATTTGAGATTCGCATAGATTTAGGGATCTCGTTGGCCTGTTTCAAACATTAATAACTCTCTTATCATTGGTCCGACTGATGTCAAACTTTCCCTATTCTGTTTGCCTTGTTTTTCTGCTTTCATACAAATGACCTTCTCACAAAGGTTGGATTGTCCTTTAACGATTCATGTCACTTCATTCGGAGTTGAATCCATTCCATATACTGGTATCACTTACACTTTTAAAGGTACTATGTCCCATTTGCAGGCCAAAAAATGAAAAAGTTAAATTCCAACTACATTTGAAAGATGATACCAATTTAGAACTTCCCTAAAAAAGGTGGGACTTGAAAATGTCTTCAAGTGGGAAAATAACGACTATTAGTTGTCAAATCGACTTTAGGGCTATAGAGCCCAAAAGTAATAGTCTTGATTTTCAGACAATTGTACCGAATGGTCATACGTTTTATGCTGCGCAAAGATTCAATCAGTTTAATCTTGGCCATCACAAGAAGTGGGTTATTGATGTAGAAAAATGCTCATGTACCCTTTACAACTCTTTTCATGTATGATATTACCAAAGAAGAAAAAAGCCAGTCAGTCACTCAATAGTGTCTGACAGTGAAGTCTAGCAAGTAAACGGGTTTCCTTGCATAAATTGAAAATGAGGACACTGCTAACGTTTAAATTTCACAGATAGGACATACAGTACATGACATATAATTCCTGCAAACTTCTACAGAATGTGAGGTTGGCTGCAAAAGGGACATAGTCAGTACCTTTAAGAGTGGATTCCAAGAGCGATTAAGCGCGAAGTCATCTTCGTCACGGGGTTCCAGCCTTGTACGTTTCATAGAGAGCATGCCACCCCCCCCCCCCCCCCCTGTCTTAAACCACTGTGCTTGCAATTGTATTCAGGGTAAAATCAAATATTGTTTACATACAATTAGTGTTACTTAATAAATAATAATAGGCCTAATTAGAACGAATATTTTAGGCTATATTCCAGAGTCTCATCGTATTAATTTGTATTTTGTATATTTATTAGGAAAACTTCATGCGCATGGTGGATGAATATTATGTTTATACAAAACCAAAGTATAATCACAAAATTAAATGAATCTAGTAAATTTTAAAATATCACACTTGGACACTTCGAAAGAAACTTTATTCACGATCGTCACTTCCACAGAGTCATGTATCTTTTTTTTCCCAGGGTGTCAAGCTGAGTCCGTACAGTACGATGACCTAGACCGGTTATACTACGGCAGTGGTGCTCCGGCATGTCATCATTCTAAACCAGAAAGCCCAAGTGCCATCGTTATTAGATACTGGCTCTATACAAAACAAAACAAGAACAGTGCACAGGAACTGAAGAGAAAAGTCTCAAGCTCCATCACCAACTCCAACTTTCAGGTATGTTTGTTTAATGGATACTTGCTTGCGATAATAATGGTCTGTTCAAAGCTAAAAGGGCGTTGACCCGTATCGCTTATCACAGAGTTAAGTGTTTTGTAGCTCTCAACAGAAGATATTAAAATAGAAACGTCATACTTCAAGTAAAGAAATATAGGGGAATGTTTAAAATAACAATGAGGCAATTAAGTATTAAAGCAAGTATATAATAGAACAACTTGTTTATATTAAAGCCTGTCTGTACTAGTTTGCCCAAGAGGGATTAGACCTCCCTACATGGTCACTGACAGGTGGTTATCTCATCAAATCAGCTCTCAATTAACATAAGAAAAAGGGGTTCATGGGAGACCGACGGGTACCGCCAGGGGCGTCGCTAGACCGTTTTCAGTGGGGGTGTAGAGGCCATTGATTACCGACAAAACCAGCCGCTAATTACCGACAAAAATGTCCCAATGTCTACAAATTTAACTCTATAAACCCGGGGCCGAAGGCTAAATTATTTTTCCGATGAACTATCTATAGCACTTGCGTATGCGCACATGGTCATTTTCCTCGACGACATAAATATACGATTCATTTAATGAAGGCGCGTAGCTAGGATCTTATTTGTGGGGGCAGTAGTTAGCACGCAAAGCAGGCGAATCGCTTAAGAGCGCGACTCTTCATCCTTGTCTGAATTCATTTTCCCCTCCCGCGCGAAGCGTGGAAGCTTTGACGTTTCCTTAAATTATTAGAGAAAGAAGACTATCCGTTGTACCGTTTTCTGTTTGGCCAGGGGGATTAGACTCCCTGCAAGGTCACCGGCAGCTGGTTATCTCATCAATTCAGCTCCCAATTAACATAAGAAAAAGAGGTTCATGGGGACCAACAGGCATCGATTATTATTAGAAATATTCAAACACAGTGTACCTCCATCACACCAATGAGATTACAGCTGACCGAAAACATACAGAACAAAAATTACAATACCCCGAATGGCTACGAATCGGTCAGTTTGGTGTCGGTCGTGACCGAGGTATTGGGTACATCGTAGTACATTGTTGTAGGTCCATGGTAGTTGGTACATTGTTCTAATTCGGCTCGATTTTGAGCAATGTAATGAAATATTAATGTAGTTTCGATGCTTGATGTTTTTAATAGATTGAACCGTTAGAGCTCCCTCTATGTCAGGGCAGTCAACTCTGTTGTTCAATCATATCCCAGAAATTACAAGCCAGTAGCCTGCAAATCAAATAATAATAATATATTCATTTATATAGTGCTTAATACAAAATTTCTAAGCGCTTAAATTTCAACTTTCCAACTGTTTTCCCCTCACCAAATTATTTCATGTTACTTACCAATCTCGTCCATCCCACTTTCAATTGGTAAACATGAACGCCAATGCAACTCACTTATTACAATGATCTCAACAATGACTTTGGTAGATATTTTTCTGATTCACGCTCATTTATATTCCTTGTGCTTTTAAACATATTTTTAAATGCTTTTTATGTTTTCATACCTAATGTAATTTTGACATGAAACTCTATATTTCATTCATTTTTTTAATATATAGTGAATAATCTGGATTTTGGATGCTGAATTTTGGATCTTAATTGTTAACTCTTCAATTTAGACTCTTGAATCTTTTTACAATTTTGAGTAGCATAATCGCAAAGACTTGAAAAACCAATTTTGAGTTTTGTGCGTCACCTTTTAAAAACGGGTAAACTTTACAATGACATCTTACGTCATCTTAAAATCGAATCTTTAGGCAATACAATATGATATTATAGGTTCACATGAGGTGATTTCTTGAAAGTCTGTGCGATCAATTTAAGTATGATTTTTTTTGTGTGTGTGAAAACTTTCAGTCTAGTCGCGGCACCAAGTTCATCATCCATGGCTACACAGACGACTACAAGGCATCTTGGGCTCAATCGATGAAGAACGCCCTTGTTGATAAGGTAATTATCACAGTCACACCAAAAACATAGACAACAGATAGACATTAGATCGACCACACATTTAAATTACCATCTACGACCAAAAATCGGTTGGGTTGGAGTAGGTGCACTGTGGATTTAGTTTGGCGGTGTGGCTGATGTATAATTCCCGCAAAAAAATGCGAGAATTCGGTTGTAAAAAAATGGCAAGGCGTATGACACTTGCTCCGGTCTATTCCTACACTAACCGTGGTTAGTTTCCTACATTAACCGAAGTCCAAACTTCAACCTTCAACCAAACACTATGCCTAACATAAATCGTAATCGCAAACTTAATCTAAAACCATAATCCAGCCGATCAATATCTTGTACGACATAAAGCCCACAAAAGATCTTAAATTAAAACAGCATTTTCAAAGGTTCTACATTTAGAGGGTTTTCTTTTGTTAGTAAGTTTCTCGACAAGAATGGATTCTTCTTGGTTTCCGTAAAATTGTGCCCCACTTGAGAAAGAAGTGAATGGTAAACCACTTACCGATCATGTCAATGTTCCAAATCTAAGCAACAACATCACGTACCGTTCTGGAAGGGTGGCGCATTTCTTATGTGTGCCAGCATCTCTATAGATTTGCCACTGCTTTTCTGAATGCTGTCATGTTAGAAATGTTATTATTTGCTAAATAATCCAAAACAACGGAGAATTATTGCAATAGACTCTCTCCTTTTGAAGATGTCTTTCTGTTTCGTTTTTTTTTTTTTTTTTGCTTTGCTTGTTTTTTGTTTTTGTTTTTTATTTTTTTGTTTCTTTCTTTTTTAATATGTCAATTTGTCTGTTGTTTTTTCCACTCTCTCTTAGAACATGAACGTGATAATGGTTGATTGGGAGGTAGGAGCGGGTCGTGTTAATTACGCTCAGAGTAGAGCTAATACTCGGGTAGTAGGTCAAGATATCGGTAAACTCATCGGCGTACTGAACAGCAAGGGAGCGTCTTATGGTAGCATGCACATCATCGGCCATAGTCTGGGGGCCCATACTGCTGGGTACGCTGGCGAGTCCAGGTCTGGCATTGGACGACTAACTGGTAAGTTGTCAAAATTCGTTGCCCAAACTGTTGGATTAACGTTTGATAACCTCTTTTCATAGGTGATTGTGACAATGTGATTTGTTCTTGATAGATAAGTTTTTACATTTTCTCATAACTTCATTTATCAATCTCTTTGATTCTTATAATTCATAAATGAAGTTCTGAGAACATATCAACTTTATCTTTTAGGGAACAAATCATTTCACGAAAAGAGGTCAACAAAAATTTATATCAACTTTGTATGGACAGCAGCGTATTTGCGATTGTCCGTAAACTTAAGGTTTCAGGTTGAGGTTTTAAACTTCGAGGGGGTCCCTATTCGGAGCTACGCCTCGGTCACAAATACCATTACGAACTACTACGAACGATTTTCAGACAATTTTGTAAGATCTTCTTAAGAAAGCCGTACGAAACCAGCATTCGTAAACCGTTCGTTAACTTTTCGTAAGTTCGCAGACCGGTCGATGGTCTGAATTTTTTCAACCGCGTACAAAAGCCTCTCTTCGTAAGACGGCCGTACGAACGTCGTAATAACATCGTTAGAACCACGCAAGATCTTCGTACATTTCGTAGGGTCGGGAGAAGGAAATTCTAGAAGCCTCAAAATGTTTACGACGATCGTAAAAACGCCTTAAGTTGGTCATAGAGGGCTCTTACGGCGTTCGTAAGAACGCATTACGAAGGAGACTCGTATGACCTTTATACGAACGTCTCCTGGCGTTCGTATGGTGTTCGTAAGGTTCTCGTCAATTGTACGTACACAATTTTTGCAATTTATGCAGTGTCTTTTTTTTTTTTTTGCCACCCGACAAAATATACATCAAACATTGAGAATGCCGTCTTGCGAGAACAAAAACTCGTAAGATAGCCGTAAGTCTAAAATAAGAAGAACTCAAGGCATTCTTACGAAAGAAAAAAACAAAAAAATAAACGGCGTTCGTACGATGCACAAAGGACGTAAGAAACTATGCCCCATCTACGAATCTCTACGAACTCTGGAATTCGTGCGAACCTTTGTGACCGTAGCTTTACGTGTCATGAAATAAACTTCGAGGTTATGACTGCTTGCCCGGCTTGTGGTTCAAAATGTTAAATACTCGTTGTTTCGGTCACGTGGGAACCCTCGTTTTTGGTAGTGGATTGTTGTTCCACAGTCACGTGTTTATAATTATAACGTCACCATGGTTATGCAGACACAAGTCAATATTGATACTAATATTGTTATTATCATTATTGTCATTTTTTTTATTATCGACATCATCTTCATCATTATTATACCAACGTAATAGACATTCAAAATACAGATTAAATGTGATTTGCCCCCCTCCGATGAAGACAAGACGAAAAGCCTTACTCAGGGGCGGATCCAGGAATTTCTTCTGGGGGGGGGGCACACGGGGGGGGGCACACAGTGGGAAAGAGAACATATATATATATATATATATTTGTTTAGTCCCAACAAAAATCACCTTTATAGGTGAGCCATTGGCATTTTTTTTTTTTTTATTACATTTTTAATAATTTGTTTTGGCCGGGGGGGGGGCACGTTCCCGTTTTTCAGTACATTTTGGGCGAATTTAGAGCTGATTTTAACATATTTTTCTTGGTCGGGGGGGGGGGCACGTGAATCGAGATGTAAGAAAGGATTACCAATATTGTAAATGGAATTGTGTTGTGATAGATTTGAACCAAATCTAAACATATATTCATCAAGAATATATTTAATCTTAATACTATTTAAAATGTTAAGATACAAACAACTGGTTGTAATAATCATTAGCGAATAATACAGAATTAATTTGAAGAATTGTGATAATGATTATGTAACCTTGTTTTACAACGCATGATGCACTTTTACAGAAAACAGGGAATCATGGTATTTTGATACATATTTCTGCTATTCACTACTATTACTATTACTAGGCATGTAACTATTCCTATTACAGCTGCTGTTGCGATCACTGTTACTATTACGATAATCATTACTATTACTACTACTATCATTACTATTACTATCATTACTATTACTATTACTATTACTATCATATACTTACTATCATTATTACCATTACTATAAATTTTACTATTATATCACTATTTGTATCACTATTACTATTTCTAGTAATTACCATTACCAGTAATTGATATTACTAATACTATTACTAATATTATCACTCTTACTATTTGTATTACTCTGACTATTACTATTACTATTACTAATAACTACTATAATTGATATTACTCTTTTGATTACTTATTTACATTGTTTAATTTGTGTGTACATAGGATTGGATCCAGCAGGACCTGAGTTTACTGGATATGGCAGCGAGTGTACCATCGACAAATCAGACGCCACCTTCGTCGATAACATACACACCGATGGAGAGTTTACAGGAGCTGGACTTCTTGATCAGGTACGAGGGGCGTTCATTTAATTTTTTTTTAAAGTTCCAGGTACTTCAATTTGAAAGGCTGCTCTAATACAGTGGCGTACCTATGGGGGGGCAGGGGGGGCAGAGTGCCCCCCCTGACGGGCTCCAGGGGAAAAAAAGAAAAAGGGGAAAGAAAAGAAAAGAAAGGGAAAGGAGAGAAAAAGAAAAAAGGAAAAGGAAAGAAAAAAGGAAAGAAAGAGAAAAAAGGAAAAAAAGGAAAGAAAAAAGGAAGAAGAAGAGAAAAGGAAGAAAAGGGAAAAGAAAAGGAAAGGAATAAAAATGGGGAAAAGAAATAAAGAACATGGCCGTAAGCACCGGGGGGGGGGGCAGTTGACCCCAGATATTTTGAAATCGTACAGTTTTTTTCCTGAAAATGTAGTGTAGGCCTATACCAAATCCTTCAATTCTACTTTTGAAAGTGCAAAAGTACCCTCATGACCAGTTCGGTCGCTCGAACTCCCTTCACTCCTTTTGCTTTTGAGATTCTTCGAAAACTTTTAACGCATCTTTCCCCCTTCCCCCATCAGAAAAATATTTAGCATACGGCCCTGAAAAATTAAAACAAATGAAAATAGGAAAATATAAGTGATATAACAAATTTGAAACTCTTCGCTGGCGCGAACTGCTTGCTAGCCTATTTTGTATTAAATGTTTTCACTTCCTCGTCCCCCTGAAAGAGAAAAGGATTAGTATTGCCTAGAATACAATTGTGCCTGCCCCGACGGGCCCCGACCTGCAACCATGGCAACAATAACACACAATATATGTACCAAATGTTACTAAAAGAGACTAATTCATTTTTCTCGCTCGCTACACTCGCTCGCGAATAAAATGAATAGACATTGCTTTGGAAACAATTGTGCCCACCCTTGACCTGCAACAATACCATTAAAAATGGAAGAGTTTTTTCGCCCTCTCGCCAAAAAGGAATTGAATCGCGTTAAACGCGATTGCGTCCATCCTGACCTGCACCAATAAAAACAAGTTTATTTATTAATTTCTATTAAAAGATAATTTTTTTTTTTTGCTTGCTCGCTATGCTCGCTTGCCAAAATGGACCTAATCACCTTAGACATGATTGTGTAAGCCCTGCCCTGCAACAAAAAATCTGAAATTTATGAACCAATTATCATTACAAAAATTTTGCTCGCTCGCTACGCTCGCTCGCCAAAATAGAAATAACACAGCTTTTAATAATCACGTCCCTGACATGGAACAATTAAACCAAGTTTATATACCATATTTTCCCTATAAAGAGAAGTGATTTTTTTTTGCTCGCTCGCTACGCTCGCTCGCCAAAATAGAATTAACACCGCTTTTAATAATCACGTCCCTGACATGGAACAATGAACCCAAGTTTTATGTACCATATTTTCCCTATAAAAGAAAAGTGATTTTTTTTTTCGCTCGCTACGCTCGCTAGCTCGTGGAATTATGTGCCCACCACTAACCTGCTACAATATCATTAAAAAGAGAAATGTAGGGGGTTGCCTGCCCGCCAAAATGGGATTGACATTGCCTTAAACACGAGTGTGCCCGCCCCCTACCTGCAACAATCACCCTAAACACAATATTGTTCCCGCGCCCTGCATGGGACAATTGAACCAAGTTTAAGTGGCAATTATTAAAAAAGAAGTGATTTTTTTCTTGCTCGCTACACTAGTTTGCAAAAAAATGAAATTAACGTTGTTAACAAGTGAATGTTCCCACCCCCAACTTGCAACAATACCAGTTTATATACCAAACGTTACTTAAAGATTTTTTTTGCTCGCTCGCTCGCTCGCCAGAAGTGAAAATTAGCATCGCCTTTTTTGTTTGTTTCGGTCGCTTGCCCCCCCTGACGGAGTACCCCAGGTACGCCACTGCTCTAATACCTAAGTGGGGTGCTGCTAAACTTAAATTTTGTCATTTACGTCGCCTGTTCCTTCAAATTCGGGCTATGAACTTATTGAACGCCCAACGTAAAACACTAATTGCGTAGCTACAGGGGAGCAAGGGGACATGTGCCCCCATCGAATGGCGAAATAAGAAAACAAAACTACAGAAAACTACGAAAATATGAAAAGGTGGGAGAGGAAGGAAAGTGAAAAAAGAAGATCTTACGGCCCATCACACGCCTTCCCCACAATACATCCGTGTTGATCAGTAACCTAAAATTTGTAGAACGAATGTAGTTTGTGATTTTGGTTAGGGTTCGGGTATTATTTTTGTTTTCGGATTTAGGGTTTAGGTTAGCATTAGGATTACGATTTGGCTTCCGAGTTCCGATCGATACGAGTAATGCGATTGATCTTTGGTCAGACTGACCACACATGTAGCTTTCATTTATATCTTCACTTGCCATCCTATATAGATATATTCGCGTGCCACCCCCCCCCCCTCCCTCTTCCCATTGCACCGGTGTCCCTTTATTGCATTTTCCTAAGTTACTCATAGACATGTTAAATCGAATAATCTATTTTCATAAAGCCCAGTTTAATTGTTGTAATTCAAAATAAAAATTGAATTCAAATTAAATGAAATCGCAAATGAAGCGATTCAGACCAGATCAAATCCATTCAACATAAATCAATTTAAATTTCAAATGCGATGAAATCAAATCGAATCTAATCAAATCAAGTCACAACATGAAATTAAATTAAATAAAATCTAATCAAGTTCAATCAAATCAAATTAAATCAAATCAAATCGAAACGAGTCAAATTGAATAAAATCAAGACAAATTAAATTAGATCAAATCAAATCAAATTAATTCAAAGCGAAAAGATTGGAAAATGGAATCACATAAAATCACCTTAAATAAAATCAAATATTTCTTTTCTTTAACGTTGCAGCTAGGACATCAGGATTTCTACCCAAACGGAGGAGAATCCCAGCCAGGATGTGCGGGTACAAGCATTGCGGCAGCCTGCGATCACATGAGAGCTGTATATCTCTTTACAGAAAGTGTATATTCTAGTTGTAACTTCTCACCCACCAAGAAATGTACTAATTGGAGCAGCTATCCAAACTGCAACAATTGTGGCACCTGTCCGGAGATGGGTTACGGTGCCTTGAAGAGTAAGGGCCAAGGAGCCTACTATCTCACGACAAATAGTAAATCTCCATACTGCAAGTAGAGAAGGTCCATGAACTTACTATCTCACGACAAATGGAAATGCTATCTCACGACATATAGAGAATATCCATTCTGCAAATATAGCAGGTCCATGAATTTACTTTGTCACAGTAAAAATAGTAAAAAATATTTCATTTCAAATATAGAATATCCATTATATTAGTAAATCCGGAATGAGAGATCCAAAACGTACATTGAAAAAGAAAGAAAGGACATCAACACAAATTCAGGAATAATAATACTACTAATAAATTCATGATAGACGTGTGTAAAATCATTGAAACCTCCGTCAGTGCAGGGAGGTGGGAAGCAGGCCAATGGAAATGAGACTAAATAGTACGAATAAAAGAGTTTATATCTCATGTTACAAATCTTTTAAAGCAAAATAAATTAGGGGAAGAAAGAAACATGCCCATACTTTAAGGGTTTTGATCAATTTTGATAAGCCATTTTAGAAGTCACATATCCAACCGATGAGGGTTTTTTAAATGCAACAAATAAAAAAATAAAAAAATAAACAATTTCAGAATGAAAAGTGATAGTAATATTGATGATGATATTGATAATAATGATACTAAAAATAATAATACGAGTAATTATAATGATAATGAACACTATACTAATAACAATTCATTTTAACGTTTTAGCCCTTCATAGGCTATTTCATTGAATCAATAATAATTATAATTTATGTTGCTTTAAGCACCAAGTTGGATGGTATAAAACCAAGAAAATAAAGCAAAATATAGAGCTTTGTGGAAAACGGGAGTTCTTGACAAACAAACAAAGATCTAAGTCAAGGCAAGCATCGAAACTTTTTATTGCCCGCAAAATAAAAAAACAAATCTGTATTTAGTGGATGATTGGATAATTCATAATAACAAATTATGAGAAACCAGAAACATTTAAAAATGGCACATATATTGTACTCTTGTTTTTGTTGTCGTCTAGTTTCTTAATTTTCTTTTTGATCAGGTTGATAATCAGTTATTTCATCTAATTGCCTTTTCCCTTGATTTGCTTTGAAGTAGTTTCTTCAGAAAGATTTGATTTCATTGGAATAATTTTTATTGACGCTAATAAAAACAAATATGGTGCGAATTCGATTATGACTCGGCTAATATTATGTTAAAAGTTGTCGATTTTGTATATGCTAATTGTTTGTATATGAGCGTTGCTATTGGAGATGTTTCGTTGTACGCCATATTTTGTTGATTTGTTATTGGGAATTTCATCCATTGCCATATCCACACTCTTTGTGATCTGCTGTGTTTTTTTCTCCAACCATCTTTAACCTCTTGATGGGATGTCATCTCGGTACCTCATTGTACTGTGTTGGGTCTTCCTTGACCATTTAAAGAGTGTTAAAGGAGCTACACAATCAAAATTCACTAACAAGTGATAATTAGAACAAATGACATATGGATGGAAATATTTTTCTTGAAAAACACGAACAATTTGCTGAGAAATCATATAGATATCATGGAAAGGCGTAAAATGCAATTTTTCAAGACCCTCCTTAGACCCCAAAGCGCCCCCGAACGTAAGCCAAACACACGAGCGTAGCGAGCTCTGAATAGTGACGTCACACACTGGACAAATCGCGGGTGTGACGTCACAAATATTGACGCTCTACAAAGGACCGCTGAAGGCGAAAAATCTGGATCTCAAAACTAACATTTTTGAGAGTCGATTACTGCGGGCCCCAAACATATTTTGAACTTGAAGAGGAGAGTTGTTGTATTTGATCCCCCCACCCACCCTTTGGCGGCTTTAAACAAAATGAAAGAACAACGGAGGAAAAGGAAAGAGGAAATAGAATAGAAGGTAAAAGAGAAGTGGAGAGGAAAATGAGAGAGAGAGATGAAAAGAAATGAAAAGAGAAGAAATTTGCTTTCGTCATAAGATAGAGGCTGTGTGGTTTTCAATGAAATTACGATTTCTATCGCTTGTGGTGGCCATCAATAAAGGTACTAAATTGCTATTTACAAACAAAAAAGAACCCTCTAGATCGACCGGTGGCTTCGCCACCTTGACCCCCGACATGGGCCCTAAGGAAGGGCTCTGGCATTGACCCCCCCCCCTTTGGAAAATTCTGGATCCGCCGCTGATCAGCAGTTGAACATAAACCATACATAAACACACACACACACACACACACACCCACACGCACTCACACACACACTCACACACACTTTTTTTTTTTAAAACAATTTTGTTTTATTTCTCCAGATGTGTAATACAAACCATGACATACAATTGAATAAAATAAACGTGTTCAATATTGATGCTTTTACATAAACATAATTAAACACAAACTTATTTGCAGTATAATATAACTTAGCAACAAAGTAAACGTATAAGTACTTAAACATAATATGTCAATTGTAAATGTTATTTACTTATATATTACAAAAAAAAAAAATCTGGAGGTAATTTTACTGAAACAATCCTGCCCCCTCCCTGCCCCCTCCATCACACAGACATACTCACCCTCTATCACACAAACATACTCACCCACTCACACACATACTCACCCATCCACCCACCCACCCCCCCCCCCCCCACACACACACAGTACTCACTCAGTGGATGTCTGCCAACATTCTCAACTCAAGAAAAATATACTAAATAAGTTATCCGGCCACTAAATAAGTTATCCAGGCCGCAAAATCGAGTTACGCTTTTAACAGGCTCACGGTGGAGAAGAAAGCAAATCTTAATTAATCTTAAGTTGCTCCCACTTTAAGAAATGTGATCCTAGCTTTCCAATTTTAATTGCTATTTTCTTTTCCTCATCCCTATACTTAAAAATGCTTTTTTTCATCTTTTCTAAAGTTAGTACTCGCCCCCCTGATCTTGACATAAATGTAACATACTTCACCATGAAAATGATAGTATTACACATTTTTATTCTATATGAACTACCTACCAACCCAACAAATATATCTCGCCATTCTAAATCTTTAATTTCATCTAACTCAAAAAGTTGTATTAAAGCCTGCCATAACCTTTGAACGCTCCCACAAGATAAAAATAAATGTTTGTATGTTTCTATTTCCTGCTTACAAAACGAACATAAATTATCACCAACAAAACCAAATCTATGAAGATGCTCATTAGTGTATATGGCTCCATGCAATAATTTAAATTGAAATTCACGTTGTTTTCTAATGAGTATAGTAATTCTTGGTCTAACAAATATTTCTTTTAATTCTTTATCTATAAAATCATAATCATTTTGCCCATCCCTTACCTGCAAATCATACGTTCGTTGCAGTGCTTTGATAAAATAATCATAGATTGTTCTTGAACCCACATCCACAAACTGTATTTTTTTACTAGAAATATGGAAATAAGTATTAAAGCTTATCAAATCAACCTCGAGGAATTCTATTAACCCTGAATCATTCTTCCATAACCTGGGTATCGCATCATAAATATCAATAATCATAAGCAAATTATTACCTTTCATACCGAGGTTCATAAAATATTTAACAGGCTTAACATGACCTTTCTCAACCAAATGATTCAGTTGAACAATCCCTCTTTCAAACAAGTATCTATCAAATATACTTTATCCATTTATACATATATTCTGATTATTAAAAATAATTGGATTAATATAACCCTCCAAATATCTTAAATTACTTGTCTCTTGCCATGCTTGCAACATTTCCATATAGTATGGTGGAATATCTAAAACGAATTTAATCTTGTTTAAATCATAATCACATAAAAAAAAAAATCTACCACCCACAAACTGTAAGCAATGATCAAAAAACAATTTCCATCCCAAACTTTTCTCTCCATATAAAAGACGTTTTATCCACATTATGCGCTGTATTTTAACGGACATTTCAAAATTAATCATTCTTAATCCTCCAAAGTCATAATCCTGATACATTATTGCCCGTTTAATTCTATCTTTCCCCCTCCATATGAATTCAAATGAAATTTGTGCAACTTCTTTATATACCCAATGAGGGACAATAACGAGAGATGAAATATAATTTAATTTTGAAAGCGCATAAGTTTTTAGCAAATGTATTTTACCCATAATAGTTAAATCTCTTTGTTTCCACCATACAAGCAATTTTTTTATTTTACTTAGAATTTCTTTATAATTCAAATCATCTTTTAATCTTCGATCTAATGAATAACTAACCCCTAAAATATGTATTTCCTTAACCAAATTTCCAAATAAAGGCCCAGCAGGTTTGTTCTCATCCTCACCCATCCACATAAAATGTGTCTTTGTTTTATTCACTTTAAGACCACTAATTTGTTCAAATGATTCAAAAATATATTGCAACCTTCTAACCGAATCAATATCCTTCAAAAATATTGTCATATCATCTGCATATAACACTTGCCTAATTTCAGATTTTCCAAATTTAATCCCTTTAATACCGTTGTCCCTCCTTACTGCATGCGCCAAAATTTCGATGGCAACCAAAAACAAATATGGCGATAATGGATCCCCTTGCCTTACTCCCCTTTCTATTTCAAAATACCCCGTGGAGTGACCACCGTTCATAACACAACTACTTATCCCTTTATACAATAATTTTACCCAAGAGCAAAATGAATCTCCAAAACCGAACAATTTCAATATTTGAAATAAATATCTATGAGATACAGAGTCGAAAGCTTTCTCAAAATCCACTGCACACAAAAACCCTTTCCCTTGTTCCCCATAATGCATAGAATAAAATAACATGTCATCTATCAATCGTACAGCTTCCCCAATATTTCTATCTTTTATATATCCAACTTGATCATGATGAATTATTTCATTTAAAACCTCTTTCATTCTTTTTGCTAGAACTTTAGATACAATTTTATAATCTACATTCAAAAGCGTGATGGGTCGATAATTTTTTATATGGAGAGTATCTTTCGCTTCCTTCTCAATTAAGGTAATTACCCCTTGTTTTTGAGATGCCGTTAATTCCCCCCTTTCGTATGTTTCATTCAATACTTCTACTAACAAATCACCCAAAGCTGGCCAAAAAGTATAATAAAATTCAACTGTTAACCCATCATTTCCCGGGGTTTTATTCAATTTCATTTCTTTTAAAACTTTCAAGCATTCATCTTTAGTTAATTTACCTTCACAGATTTCCCTATTGTCTTCATTTAACTTTGAAATATCATTAAAAAAGAAAGGGTCGTTTTGATTTATATCAGCCCTTAAAGAATATAAATCTTTATAAAATAGTTTAATTTCCTTTAAAATTTCCTCCTTATCTCTAGTAGTTTCCCCATTTTCTTTGTACACCTCCCTAATTACACTTTTCCTTTTATTCGATTTTAACAACTGTTCAAAATATTGCGTATTGTTTTCTCCATCTTCAAACCAAGGTGCTCTTGATCTTATTTTAATGCCTTGTCGAGAAAAATCATACAATTTATTTAGTTTATCCCTTTTCTCCTCAATACAATCAACAATATATTTAGTGGGTCCCACTACTAGTTCGCCTTCTAAATCCTTGATTTGTTTCTCTAACAGTTCTATTTCAACCCTCCTTGCTTTTG